ACTTACCATTTGGGATGGGAGAGAGAGGAGAACTCTTTAAAGATTAGACAAATCTTATTGAAAATCAAGTAAGGAACTGTCGACATGTATGCCAACCCCCTTGACAAGAGTAATTAAGATTGATTAAGTGTGAGGTTAACTCTAGATTGCTTGGTTACCTTAGAGATTTTGCTGAGCTAGCATGTCGATCCACTGTAAGAGCTTCTGTTAGGCTTGTGCCTTTAGCTGGTTTCTGCTCTAGGGTCATGGATTGTTAGCACAACACTCTCAATTCTCAAAGCAAGTTCATAACTTCCGGACTGGTTTTTGACTCAATAAAACTTTTTGAAAAACATGAAACAAAAGTGACTAAAACATAAGAAAAGAAAGAAAAATGCATTAGTAACACAATAAAACTCCCCCCAGACTTAACTTGCACCGTCCCGGTGAAAGCAAATCACATTAAGGTGAGAGGTAATATTCAAAACAAAAGAAAATTAAAGAAAGAAAATGAAAAGAAATGACCTTCAATGGGTTGCCTCCCATTCAGCGCTTTGTTTAAAGTCTTTAGCTTGACTGTATGGCACTTCCTTAAGGATCTGGTGGATCGCCAAGAGCTAGTGTGGTCTCCTGTGGTATGGTGGTGGAGGCTAGGTAAGGTTTTAACCTTTGTCCATTGACTGTAAAGTCTCCTCCCATTGGATCCCATAGTACCACTGCTCCATAGGGGCGAACTTCTTTAATCCTGAATGGTCCTGACCATCTTGAGCGAAGCTTTCCTGGAAAGAGTTTCAACCTTGAGTTGAATAGTAGAACTTGGTCGTTTGGCGCAAAGTTCTTTGGGATGATCTTGCGGTCATGGAAAGCTTTGGTTCTCTCCTTATAGATCTTTGAATTCTCATAAGCCAGATGCCTAATCTCATCAAGCTCATTCAGCTGGATCAATCTTCTTTCTCCTGCTGTCTTTAGGTTGAAGTTTAACTCCTTGATAGCCCAAGCTGCTTTGTACTCCAGCTCTACAGGTAAATGACATGCTTTACCATAGACAAGATGAAAGGGGGTGGTACCAAGTGGTGTTTTGAAGGCAGTGGTATGCCCATAGAGCATCATCTAGTTTGGCACTCCAATCCTTTCTTGTCTTGCCTGTTGTCTTCTGAAGTATGCTCTTGAGTTCTCTGTTTGAGATCTCAACTTGTCCACTAGTTTGGGGTGGTAAGGAGAGGCAACTTTGTGAGTAACTCCATGCTTCTTCAAAAGGTTGGCAAAGATTCTGTTGATGAAATGTGAACCTCCATCACTTATGACTATCCTAGGCACTCCAAACCTTGGAAAAATGATGGATTTAAACATCTTGATGACCACTTGTGCGTCATTAGTAGGGCTGCGATGGCTTCCACCCATTTGGAGACATAATCAACTGCCACTAGAATGTATTGGTCACCAAAAGAGGTTGGGAAGGTCCCATAAAGTCAATGCCCCAAACATCAAAAACTTCAACTTCTAGTATAAAGTTCTGTGGCATCTCATTCCTCTTGCTTATATTTCCCATTCTTTGGCAAGCATCACATCTTGATATGAATGCATGAGCATCCTTAAACATAGTTGGCCACCAAAATCCAGCTTGTAGGACTTTGGATACTGTCTTGTAAGTGGCAAAGTGCCTGCATAGCTAGAACTATGACAAGCAAACAATATTCCTTCTACCTCTTCCTCAGGTATGCATCTTCTAAACATTCCATCTGAACATTTCTTGTATAAGTAAGGTTCATCCCAATAGTACCTTCTTACATCACGCAGAAATTTCTTCTTTCTGTAGCCAAAGAAGTTTGGTGGTGGGTATTCAGCTGCAAGGAAGTTTGCTATGTGGCGAAACCATGGTGTGTTTGATGATGAGATCTTTGTTCCTGGCCTGTGATGGCCTAGTTGTCCATGCTTATTGCTAGCTTCAGCTGCATAAACTGATTCTTCAGGTAGCCTATCATCAAGGGGTAGATTTTCTTCAACTCTCATCCTTGAAAGATGATCAGCTACTCCATTATCTGCACCTCTTCTATCCTTGATCTCAAGATCAAATTCTTGCAGTAGTAGAATCCATCTCAACAATCTTGGCTTGGCATCTTTCTTAGATAAAAGATACCTTAATGCTGCATGATCAGAGTGAACTATAACTTTTGATCCCACCAAGTATGATCGAAATTTCTCAAATGCAAAGACAATAGCAAGAAGCTCCTTTTCTGTTGTGGCATACTTGCATTGTGCCTCATCAAGTGTTCTGCTGGCATAGTAGATCACATGTAGCTTCTTGTCCTTTCTTTGTCCAAGCACTGCTCCTACTGCATAATCACTTGCATCACACATTATCTCAAAAGGTAGTTCCCAGTTTGGAGGTTGAACCACTGGCGCACTGACCAATGCATCTTTGATCTTAGTGAAAGCCTTGTGACACTCCTCTGTGAACTCAAAGTTAATATCCTTGCATAATAGGCGTGTTAGCGGCCTTGCTATCTGTGAGAAATCTTTAATGAACCTCCTGTAGAACCCAGCATGTCCTAAGAAGCTTCTGATATCTTTAACTGTCTTGGGCGGCTGAAGGTTTGTCATTACTTCAATCTTGGCCTTATCAACTTCTATGCCTCTCTCTGAGATTCTATGTCCAAGCACTATTCCATCTCTAACCATAAATGGCACTTCTCCCAATTTAGAACTAGGTGCTTGTCTTCACATCTCTGTAGCACTCTTCCAAGATTCCCCAAACATGATTCAAAGGAAGAACCATATACTGAGAAATCATCCATGAAAACCTCCATAATCTCTTCTATGAGATCTGTGAATATGGACATCATACACCTTTGGAATGTAGCTGGAGCATTGCACAATCCAAAAGGCATTCTCCTATAAGCATATGTGCCATAGGGACAAGTGAATGTAGTCTTTCCTGATCATCTGGGTGGATTGGAATTTGGAAAAATCCTGAGTATCCATCCAAGAAACAGTAGTATTGATGATTGGCAAGGCGCTCAAGCATCTGATCTATGAATGGCAAGGGGTAGTGGTCCTTGCGCGTGGAGGAGTTCAGCTTCCTGTAGTCGACACACATTCTGTGTCCTGTGATTGTCCTTGTTGGAATGAGCTCATCATGTTCATTCTTGATGACTGTGATCCCTCCTTTCTTTGGCACAACATGTACAGGGCTGACCCATGCACTATCTGATATTGGATAAATCACTCCAGCTTTCAATAGCTTCATTATCTCCTTCTTGACAACTTCCTTTAGGTTTGGGTTTAGCCTCCTTTGGTGTTCAATTGAAGAACTAGACTCATCCTCCAGGATGATGCGATGTGTGCATAGTTCAGGTGAGATTCCTGTTAAATCATCCAAAGAATAACCAAGAGCCTTTCTATGCTTTCTCAGTTCGCGAACAAGTAAAGCGGTCTCTTCTTTTGTTAGTGCAGCATTAACAATAACAGGATATGTTTCATTAGGACCAAGATATTCATACCTTAGACCAACTGGGAGTTGTTTTAGCTCGGCTTTTGGGCTCTAAGTGGGCACCATGGGTCGAACTTAACTTTGGTTTGTGATTTCCTGACTCTTGTCAATGTCTGGCTCTTCCTCTTCTCTCTCTAAGTCCATATAAGCTATCAGCTCTTTATAAGCTTCCTTGAATCCATGAACTTGACTAAGCATTGAGCTTCTCTTTCCATGTATCCATACTCATTCTCAGCCTTTGTCAAAGCTAGCTCCAAGGGATCAATAAGAAGAGTTCATCCAGCACTTCTTCTCTTGTCTCTGCGAGCTCTCCAATCCAAAAAGCTTGACCATCTACAGTTGGCTTCTCCATAGACTTGTTTACTTCGAAATTCATCACTATATCTCCAAGATGCAAGTCAATCTTTCCATTCTTGACATCTATTATAGCTCCTGCAGTAGCTAGGAATGGCCTTCCCAAGATAAGAGGGTCTTTAGGTTGGTGTTCCAGCTCAAGAACTACAAAATCAGCAGGGATGTAGCAATCTCCAACCATGATTGGAACATCCATAATAACACCAACAGGGCGGCGAACAGATCTGTCTGCAAAGACTAGAGAGATCTTTGTAGGTTTGAAGTCAGTGATGCCCAATAGCTTGGCCACTGAGTAAGGCATTAGGTTCACACTGAACCCAAATCACAAAGTGCTCTATGGAAGTGTGTAGAACCGATCTTGCAAGACAAAACAAAACTCCCTGGGTCGTTCAGCTTCTCTGGCATGCGATTCTGAAGTATGGCACTACACTCCTTTGTAATCATCATTGCTCCTTCTTCAAGACTCACATTGCTTGTGAGTATGGCCTTCATATACTTCCTGAGAGATGGAATTATTTGGCAAGCATCAATGAAAGGTAACCTTACTGAAAGTTGGCTAACAAGATCCTTGAGCTTTGCTTGCTCCTTCTCCTTCTTGGGTTGAGAAAGAACATTTCTGTATGGGATCTTTGGCTCATACACTCTTGGTTCTTCAGGTGGCTTCTCCACTTCCTCCTGAGTTCCTGGTTCTATTCTGACATGGACTTCCTTAGGTGGTTCAGTCCCATCTCCAATGATAACATACTCCATTGGTTTCTTCTTGTTGGCGGCTTTGCTTCCTCTTGATCTGGGTATGCTGGTGGTTCATACCCTTTTCCATTCCTAAGAGTGATAGCTGCTACAGCTGCTCTCCTTGGATTGATTTCCACTTTTCCTGGTAGCACACCTTCTTCTCTCTTAATAGAGCTGGCTATGTTGGCAACTCTAAGATCCAAGTCTCTTGTGAAAGAAGAAATTGAATCCAACTTCTCATTCAATCTGTGAAGGCTGACTCCAATCTCTCATCAATCAAGGCTGTATGCTCTCTATGAGAACTCTTGATGAAAGTTATCAAATCTTCAAAGTTGCTCCTTGGCTCCATTCTTCTCTTGTGAGGTGGTTGCTGATAATTTCTTCCTCCATGAACATCCCTCTTCTCATTGGGTGATTCTTGAGTAAAAACATCATGCTCTCCTTTCCAAGCTTCTTCTCTATGTGCTGATCCATCTATTCCAACAAAGTTTACTTCTTCTTGAAACTTGGAATCAAATCTCCAAAGTAATCTTGAATTATTGTGGATTCAACTCTATAAGCTTCTCTTTGTCTCTCCACTTCTCTTCCTTGGTTTCTCAGTATCTCAGCCATCATGGCTTTGATTTCGCTGTATCCATCTCTGTATGGATCAGAATTTATGGCCTTCACTGCTCTCTCATGCCCAATGAAGTTGTCACTGTCGCTTGAGGCTAGATTTTCAATCAAAATCTTTGCTTCAGTAACTGTCTTGGTCATGAAATTTCCATTGCTGGCTGTATCAAGAGAAAATCGACACTTCCCACTTATTCCTCTGTAGAAAATGTTCCATAGACTGCCATCAGATAGTCCATGATTAGGACATTCTCTTGTATAGTCCTTGAAGCGCTCCAATGCTTCATGAAAAGGCTCCACCGGCCCTTGTTGGAAACTAGAGATCTTCTCTCTCAACAAGTTTGCTCTTTGCTTTGTGAAAAAGTGACCTAGGAATGCCACCTTGTACTCTTTCCATGTGGTTATGGATTGAGCTGGAAGAGACTTAACCCAGCGCAAAGCCTTCCCTGTCAAAGTGAAAGAGAATAGTTTGCACTTTAAGTACTCCTTGGGTGCACCTCCTGCACTGATGGTGCCACAGATTTCTTCAAAAGCATCAATATGTTCCAAAGGATTCTCCTGGGTTTTCCTTGGAACTGATTTTGTTTCACCAAACCAATGATCTCCGGTGAAATCTCATAGCTTCTTCCTTCAGGAAGTGGCGGCTGGATGGGATTCCGATCGATTAGTAGTGTTGGATTGGAATCGAAGTCTCCCATGACTTCTTCATTGTGTCGCGCTCCATCATTGGCGCGATCGTGCGCGGCGTTGGATCCGGCGGATCTCGTGTTGCTCGGCCAGCGCGATCTCTCTCGCGGCCAAGTTTCTCTCTCTCTTGTCGTCCGAATCACTCATGTTAGAGTCCTTCTTTCAAGTTTAGTACCTGAAAGGATAGAGGCAAGATTCTTTAAATAGAAAACAGTAAAAAGGAAAACAAAAGTTGAAAAGTTTGCAAAAACAAAAAGGAAAAACGAAATTCTAGGCTAGACTATAGTTGGGAACTCGAAGGTAGCTGTATTGCTCCCCGGCAACGGCGCCAAAAACTTGATCGCGGGATCAGGTCTTCCCTTTTCCTATCCCTGATTCTGCAAGTGCACAGATCAAAAGTAGTAAACGGGTATCGAACACAAGGAGCAGATAAGTACACTTCGAGTATTGCAAGTCTAATATAGCTAGAAAACAAGTATGATTTAGGGTTTTGATTGTGTAGCAAGAAATCAAACAGCAGACTAAACGGTTTATGAAAATCAATAAGGGAAACGCTAGGCAATGAGAAACTCGCAGAGATTCAAGGTTAACAAGATATTAGAAGGTTCGCTAGGGTTTGCGCTATCTAGAACTCAGGTCACGATTGTATGATCTTTCCACTGTCGAGGCTCCGACCCCTTTGTTAATCTACCTAGTCGCTAAACTTTTGGTATGTCCCTAGGTGATTAAATCAAGCAATAGTTCGTTCAAGACCCAATTGTTCACAACCCCGCATAGATCAACTTTCGCAGTCTATGAAGTTTTGCTCACCAAATACTTAGTTCAGGTTATATAGCAAGCTTTTGGAGAGTATATGAAACCTAAGATCTGATGCTAGTTGATCAGAAAAGCAAGCAGCAATGAATTCAAGCAGAGGCGAAGATGCGATATGATAAACCCTAGCTTCTAACAACCTATCAAACCATGAACTCTTTGATAGATCTCACAACCTAACTAGTGAATTACTCAGACATAATCAAAGCAACAACACAAAGAGATGAAGAAAACATGATTGCAATAAAACTCAAAGTATGAAATCGAATACAAGGCGGCTCTCTTTTCACAAGAGGCTAAAAAGCTATATATATAGTGCTAGGTCTTTTGAGGCGGCTTAGGGTTAAGCCGGGCTTGAAAATATGAAATCGGGCTTCAAAACGGGCTTCGGGTCGACCGCGGCGTTGGGACGGTCGGTCGGGACGATCGGCCGGACAGTCGGGTCGTGGCCGAGTCGGAACGGTCGTGGCCGGATGGATTCACGGTCGGCCGGCGTGGTCGGACGGAGAAGATTTGGCCGATGGTTTCTCGGCCGGACGTGGGACGTTCTTTCCCGGCTCGGACGGATGCATCGGCCGTGGTACGCGAAGGGTTGCGCGGCCGCGAGGCTTTGTTCCCGGCTCGCGCGGCATGGTCGTGCGCGGCGTGGCGTGACGGTTGCTTGGCCGACCGCGGGCAGTTTCCCGGGTCGTGATTGCGTGATCGGCCGGTCGGTTTGAACTTTGGCCGAGACTTCAGACGGACGGATATGATTTGGCCGAGCGCGGAACATGTTCCTCGGCCAGCCGGACTGCGCGGTTGGGCGCTGATTCTCGATAGAGCCGTCTGGACAGTCTTCACTCTTTTGGTTATAACTCCTTTTCTACTCATCCAAATTAGGCCGTTCCAGTTGCGTTGGAAAGTTAACTCAATCAGAGCACGCAGGGAACTGGTCTTGATGAAATCCATTGAGTAGATCTTTTTCTGGGCCCTCTTAAAGTTGGTGCTTGTGCATGGAGCGGCTTGAAGTGCAAATCCTATGGTTTTGCTCCAAAATGCATCATTTCACCTGTTTAGACTCTAGACACTATAAACACAGTAAAACTACCTTTTTAGATAGAAAACCTGCCAAAAACCATTAGAAAACAATGCTAAAACAGTATAAAAAGCATGTAAAATAGAGGTATATCAACTCCCCCAGACTTAGATCTTTGCTTGTCCCCAAGCAAAAAGAATCTAAATCCGTGAAAGAGGTTTGAAAACGTGGAAACTCCCTTGCTCTTTTGAATATCCTGTGAAAGGTTCCTTTCCTGTATTCCACTATGAACATAGACAACATAAGGTTAGCTTCACATACACCCTGCAAGTTTAGCGAACAATACCAACCCAACTAGTCTCATCCAGCAATCCAAACTCTCTATTGCTAACCTCTTGCATAAATTTAAAGCGTGAATTCTTTATCAAGGGGACATCGATCAATTGAACTTGTTCTTACCCACTTGATCTTCTCCAAGATTGTCTTTAAGTGCAATGAGTTCTTTTCCTCTCTCTTTCTCACATCAGAACTTTGAAAGGTCAATTTCTCCCTACTTTTCTAGGGTATCATTTTATTTTTTCTATTGACCCTTCTTTCAACCACAGGATAAGTCTTTAGCTTGTTCCTTGTTTGACTAAGGTATTCCATAAGACATGAAGGTACAGACATATGCATTCCTCATGCTTACTTGTTTTCCTTGTGCTCTTTGAGCTTTTTCTCATAAACATTACTTACCATTTGGGATGGGAGAGAGAGGAGAACTCTTTAAAGATTAGACAAATCTTATTGAAAATCAAGCAAGGAACTGTCGACATGTATGCCAACCCCCTTGACAAGAGTATTAAGATTGATTAAGGGTGAGGTTAACTCTAGATTGCTTGGTTACCTTAGAAATTTTGCTGAGCTAGCATGTCGATCCACTGTAAGAGCTTCTGTTAGGCTTGTGCCTTTAGCTGGTTTCTGCTCTAGGGTCATGGATTGTTAGCACAACACTCTCAATTCTCAAAGCAAGTTCATAACTTCCGGACTGGTTTTTGACTCAATAAAACTTTTTGAAAAACATGAAACAAAGTAATAAAACATAAGAAAAGAAAGAAAAATGCATTAGTAACACAATAAAACTCCCCCCAGACTTAACTTGCACCGTCCCGGTGAAAGCAAATCACATTAAGGTGAGAGGTAATATTCAAAATAAAAGAAAATTAAAGAAAGAAAATGAAAAGAAATGACCTTCAATGGGTTGCCTCCCATTCAGCGCTTTGTTTAAAGTCATTAGCTTGACTGTATGGCACTTCCTTAAGGATCTGGTGGATCGCCAAGAGCAGTGTGGTCTCCTGTGGTATGGTGGTGGAAGCTAGGTAGGGTTTTAACCTTTGTCCATTGACTGTAAAGTCTCCTCCCATTGGGTCCCATAGTACCACTGCTCCATAGGGGCGAACTTCTTTAATCCTGAATGGTCCTGACCATCTTGAGCGAAGCTTTCCTGGAAAGAGTTTCAACCTTGAGTTGAATAGTAGAACTTGGTCGTTTGGCGCGAAGTTCTTTGGGATGATCTTGCGGTCATGGAAAGCTTTGGTTCTCTCCTTATAGATCTTTGAATTCTCATAAGCTAGATGCCTAATCTCATCAAGCTCATTTAGCTGAATCAATCTTCTTTCTCCTGCTGTCTTTAGGTTGAAGTTCAACTCCTTAATAGCCCAAGCTGCTTTGTACTCCAGCTCCACAGGTAAATGACATGCTTTACCATAACAAGATGAAAGGGGGTGGTACCAAGTGGTGTTTTGAAGGCAGTGCGGTATGCCCATAGAGCATCATCTAGTTTGGCACTCCAATCCTTTCTTGTCTTGCCTGTTGTCTTCTGAAGTATGCTCTTGAGTTCTCTGTTTGAGATCTCAACTTGTCCACTAGTTTGGGGTGGTAAGGAGAGGCAACTTTGTGAGTAACTCCATGCTTCTTCAAAAGGTTGGCAAAGATTCTGTTGATGAAATGTGAACCTCCATCACTTATGACTATCCTAGGCACTCCAAACCTTGGAAAATGATGGATTTAAACATCTTGATGACCACTTGTGCATCATTAGTAGGGCTGGCGATGGCTTCCACCCATTTGGAGACATAATCAACTGCCACTAGAATGTATTGGTCGCCAAAAGAGGTTGGGAAGGGTCCCATAAAGTCAATGCCCCAAACATCAAAAACTTCAACTTCTAGTATAAAGTTCTGTGGCATCTCATTCCTCTTGCTTATATTTCCCATTCTTTGGCAAGCATCACATCTTGATATGAATGCATGAGCATCCTTAAACATAGTTGGCCACCAAAATCCAGCTTGTAGAACCTTGGATACTGTCTTGTAAGTGGCAAAGTGGCCTGCATAGCTAGAACTATGACAAGCAAACAATATTCCTTCTACTTCTTCCTCAGGGATGCATCTTCTAAACATTCCATCTGAACATTTCTTGTATAAGTAAGGTTCATCCCAGTAGTACCTTCTTACATCACGCAGAAATTTCTTCTTTCTGTAGCCAAAGAAGTTTGGTGGTGGGTATTCAGCTGCAAGGAAGTTTGCTATGTGGCGAAACCATGGTGTGTTTGATGATGAGATCTTTGTTCCTGGCCTGTGATGGCTTAGTTGTCCATGCTTATTGCTAGCTTCAGCTGCATAAACTGTTTCTTCAGGTAGCCTATCATCAAGAGGTAGATTTTCTTCAACTCTCATCCTTGAAAGGTGATCAGCTACTCCATTATCTGCTCCTCTTCTATCCTTGATCTCAAGATCAAATTCTTGCAATAGTAGTATCCATCTCAGCAATCTTGGCTTGGCATCTTTCTTAGATAAGAGATACCTTAATGCTGCATGATCAGAATGAACTATAACTTTCGATCCCACCAAGTATGATCGAAACTTCTCAAATGCAAAGACAATAGCTAGAAGCTCCTTTTCTGTTGTGGCATACTTGCATTGTGCCTCATCAAGCGTTCTGCTGGCATAATAGATCACATGTAGCTTCTTGTCTTTCTTTGTCCAAGCACTGCTCCTACTGCATAATCACTTGCATCACACATTATCTCAAAAGGTAGTTCCCAGTTTGGAGGTTGAACCACTGGCGCACTGACCAATGCATCTTTGATCTTAGTGAAAGCCTTGTGACACTCCTCTGTGAACTCAAAGTTAATATCCTTGCATAATAGGCGTGTTAGCGGCCTTGCTATCTGCGAGAAATCTTTAATGAACCTCCTGTAGAATCCAGCATGTCCTAGGAAGCTTCTGATATCTTTACTGTCTTGGGCGGCTGAAGGTTTGTCATGACTTCAATCTTGGCCTTGTCAACTTCTATGCCTCTCTCTGAGATTCTATGTCCAAGCACTATTCCATCTCTAACCATAAAGTGGCACTTCTCCCAATTTAGAACTAGGTGCTTGTCTTCACATCTCTGTAGCACTCTTCCAAGATTTCCCAAACATGATTCAAAGGAAGAACCATATACTGAGAAATCATCCATGAAAACCTCCATAATCTCTTCTATTAGATCTGTGAATATGGACATCATACACCTTTGGAATGTAGCTGGAGCATTGCACAATCCAAAAGGCATTCTCCTATAAGCATATGTGCCATAGGGACAAGTGAATGTAGTCTTCTCCTGATCATCTGGGTGGATTGGAATTTGGAAAAATCCTGAGTATCCATCCAAGAAACAGTAGTATTGATGATTGGCAAGGCGCTCAAGCATCTGGTCTATGAATGGCAAGGGGTAGTGGTCCTTGCGCGTGGAGGAGTTCAGCTTCCTGTAGTCGACACACATTCTGTGTCCTGTGATTGTCCTTGTTGGAATGAGCTCATCATGTTCATTCTTGATGACTGTGATCCCTCCTTTCTTTGGCACGACATGTACAGGGCTGACCCATGCACTATCTGATATTGGATAATCACTCCAGCTTTCAATAGCTTCATTATCTCCTTCTTGACAACTTCCTTTAGGTTTGGGTTTAGCCTCCTTTGATGTTCAATTGAAGAACTAGACTCATCCTCCAGGATGATGCGATGTGTGCATAGTTCAGGTGAGATTCCTGTTAAATCATCCAAAGAGTAACCAAGAGCCTTTCTATGCTTTCTCAGTTCGCGAACAAGTAAAGCGGTCTCTTCTTTTGTTAGTGCAGCATTAACAATAACAGGATATGTTTCATTAGGACCAAGATATTCATACCTTAGACCAACTGGGAGTTGTTTGAGCTCGGCTTTTGGAGCTCTAAGTGGGCACCATGGGTCGAACTTAACTTTGGTTTGTGATATTTCCTGACCTTGTCAATGTCTGGCTCTTCCTCTTCTCTCTCTAAGTCCATATAAGCTATCAGCTCTTTATAAGCTTCCTTGAATCCATGAACTTGACTAAGCATTGAGCTTCTCTTTCCATGTATCCATACTCATCTCAGCCTTTGTCAAAGCTAGCTCCAAGGGATCAATAAGAAGGAGTTCATCCAGCACTTCTTCTCTTGTCTCTGCGAGCTCTCCAATCCAAAAAGCTTGACCATCTACAGTTGGTTTCTCCATGGACTTGTTTACCTCGAAATTCATCACTATATCTCCAAGATGCAAGTCAATCTTTCCATTCTTGACATCTATCACTACAAGAAATCATGTGTGTTTCACTTATAAAGTGTCAAATAAGGGGGAATTGCTCAATATAGTACACAATTTGCTTTGAAATGCAAAAGTAGACCCCTTATTGCACTTATGTCAAAACTAGTCTTCTGGCCATGGCAAATTACAAAACCCACCCTTATGAACAAACAAAAAAACGAGAGCCATAATGTCTGTTTTACCCTATTTAAAGTCTAATCATGAACTCTACTACATCGTAGACTTCATCATGAACTCTAACCCCTAATCACAACTTAAATTTAAATTATACAATTAACGAAAAATAATTGGATCAAAAATAATTATACATAAATAAGATGAAAACATTTGTCATCCATTAAAAATCAAATTGCATATAAATGAATCAATTTAAGTGAACTAAGATTAGTTTGGTTTGTAATCTCTGAATTGTGTGAAGTCTACCCTCGAAGTCTATTATTTAGTACAATCTTAAATTTAAATTTTAAAATGTATTAAAAAATATTTTTGTAAATAAATTTACACATAACTTTAACATAGACATTTAGTATCCATGAAAAATAAATCTGCATGTAAACCGATCAGTTTAGATCAAGTAAGACAAATTATGATAAAATTCCCAAAAAAAGGGATGAAGTTTGCTTAATACCAAAATCTAAAATTTAAAGTTTAAAATATAAGAAAAACAATTTTGATAAAAAAAGTTATACATAATTTAAATGAAGACATGTCCTACCTATGGAAAATAAAATTTCTTGAAAATGAATCAATTTATAAGTTTCATGAGTAAACAAATCAACATGTTAGTGTTGAGGTATATTGTATAGGGTTTATCATGAGCATTGTTAGGGTTCTGATAGTTTTGACCAAAAAAAATTTTGGGGTTCGTTTAACGATTTAAATCTTACCAATTTGTAGTTTCTAATGTAAATCGTGATTATGTATACATAATTAACGTTTCCTATAGTTTTGATCTTAAAAATTTGTTTTAGGGTTTAGGGTAAGTCAGACTTCACTGGTAGAATTCAGGGGTAGACTTTTCTGAGAAGTTTGTAACTCAAAAAGCGAGCGGGAAACGAAATAGTTTGGGCGAGAACCGGAAATATTTTGGGCGGCAATCGGAAATATACGCGGACAAATTTCCTTTTTCTATTATACTTCCCAAGTAGACTTTGTTGTTTGGGCTTTATTCGAAGTCCGAATTTTAAACTGGACCGAAATGTTTGTGCGAATTGGATTTAACCAAACTGAACCGGACATAATCGGAAGTTGTAACCAGTAATCACAATTTTACAAACCCAAAATTAGGGTAAACTAAGTTCACATTTCACTTTCACTTTCACAACCGCCGTTCCCGTTCCGTTCTCTCTGTTTCAGGCGATTGCATGTTCTTCGCCTACCGTCGCCGTCGAATCCAGAAAGAGCCATCATCGTCGCCGCCGCCGTTTCTTCTTCCTCCGCTGAAGTATACTTCTGTAAGTCATACTCATCTATCAATCTATATACGCGTCTGTATTTCCCTCATACTCACTCTGTTTCCTTTTTTATGGACCTTTTCGCCGCCTTCGTTGCCGCTGTCCGTGGTTGCCGCTGTTGTATCGCACAACTTATTCTCTCTCTCTCTCAACGCCGGTGAGCTATCCCCCTTCCACTATTGGCTCTCTCTTTACCCCCCTCAAACCGTCGCCTAAACGGTTGTAGATCTTTCGCAGGTCTATGTTGGCAGATTTAATAGACTCGTTCCTAACCGCCGCCGTTACTGGCCCTCATAACCGCTAATAATAAGGTAAAATTGTGTACATTAATTGTCCTATTAGCCGTGCTTACGCGGCGGTGCGTTTGAAACTAGGGTTTAGATGGACTTTGTCACTGACTTAAAATATAGACTTCTTTGTTAGGCTTTTCAGTTTGACTTATTGGAATTATGGTTTCGACTTCTTAGTTAGACTTCTTAGTTAGACTTCTTAGTTAGCCTTCATTTATAGACTTCTTATTTATCCTCTGTTTACTGTGTTTCTAGTATGGACCCGGTGTCATTTCCTAGGAGGCTTGATGCGGAGTCAGGTTTTACCAAACTCCTAGACCTCTGCAAGTGCACAGATCGCGGAAGTATGGGTATCGAACACAAGGACTGGCTATTGAGTACACTTTGTAACTATGGATTTTGGATCAAGCTAAAACAAAAGTATGATTGAGGTTGTAATGGTGAACCGAACTAGCAAGTATAACGAGGTTGTAAACAATAAAGGAAAAGCGCTAGGTCATAGGGGCTATCGCAGAGAAGCAAGCAATGATCAATGAAACAATGATAGATTAATTGATTAGGGATATTGGGATATTAAGAACCATCTAGAACACAGATCACGAATATAAAACCATTCCACTTTCGAGGCTCCGGCTCCTTTGCTAATCTACCTAGTCGCTAAACTTTTGGTATGTCCCTAGGTGATTAGATCAAGCATTAGAATGAATAGGTTCTGATACAGTTCACTAGATATAGATAGATCAACTTTCGCAGTCTAAGAAACCTAGCTTGTCAAAGAATATGTCCGGCGAATGATACAGCACTGTCGAGGCTCAAATCAACCTAAGATCGGATTACTAGATGCGCGGTAAAGCAATCAGCATTAGTTAAGTGCACAAGACGAGACAAAGACTCTAATATAATCCCTAGCTAATCATTGAAATCAAAGATCATGCAAGCAACTCATTGAATAGTAACCCTAGCAACCTAACTAGTGGATTACTCAGACATGATCAAAGCAAACACACATAGAGATGAAGAAAACATGATTGCAATAAAACTTAGAGTAGGAAATCGAAATACAGGGCGGCTCTCTTTCTCAAGAGGCTAAAAATCCATATATATAGTGCTAGGTCTTTCTAGAGGCGGCTTAGGGTTAAGCCGGGCTTGAAAACATAAGTTTGGGCTTCAAAAGGGCTTCGGGTCGACCGCGGCGTTGGGACGGTCGTGCGGGACGATCGGCCGGACAGTCGGTCGTGGGCGAGTCGGAACGGTCGGGGTCGGACGGATTCGCGGTCGGCCGGCGTGGTCGAGCGGATTGAATTGGCCGATGAGAATTCTCGGCCGGACGTGGGACGTTCTTCCCGGCTCGGACGGATGCATCGGCCGTGGTACGCGAGATGGGTTGCGCGGCCGCGAGGCTTGTTCCCGGCTCGCGCGCTTTGGTCGTGCGCGGTGGCGTGACGTTTGGCTTGGCCGACCGCGGGACAATGTTTCCCGGGTCGTGCTGTGTGATCGGCCGAGTGGTTTGGACTTTGGCCGAGACTTCAGTCGGACGGATACGGTTTGGCCGAGCGCGGAACATTCGTTCCTCGGCCAGCCGGACTGCGCGGTTGGGCGCTGATTCTCGATAGAGCCGTCTGGACAGTCTTCACTCTTTTGGTATAACTCCTTTTCTACTCATCCAAATGGCCATTCCAGTTGCGTTGGAAAGTTAACTCAATCAGAGCACGCAGGGAACTGGTCTTGATGAAATCCATTGAGTAGATCTTTTTCTGGGCCCTCTTAAAGTTGGTGCTTGTGCATGGAGCTGCTTGAAGTGCAAATCCTATGGTTTTGCTCCAAAATGCATCATTTCACCTGTTTAGACTCTAGACACTATAAACACAGTAAAACTACCTTTTTAGATAGAAAACCTGCCAAAAACCATTAGAAAACAATGCTAAAACAGTATAAAAAGTGGGTAAATTAGAGGTATATCAAGGCTGTACACAGAAGGAGAAGAACCGGAATATGACCGCAGCGTTGGCTACTACAGCAAGAACACTGAGATGTGGCAGAAACTGCACGTTGTACTGAAGGAGGAGTGGAGTGAGCTTGAGAATTCCAATCTGGGACCCCTCTTCAGGTTCATGAAGCTCGACTTTAAATGGGCATCGGTTGTGGCACGATGTATGCTCACTATGCAAGTGGTCTGTGAGAAGGAGTATGAGATTTGGAGTGTTGATATCACCATATTTTACATGATTTTACTATATAATTACTTATGTTTTCAAACGGTTTTTGCAAGATTCTTTGCCTTTAGAGGTAGTTTTCTTGTATTTGTGGGATTTGAAGTCTTTGTAGGTGAAATAATCAAAAAGGATGCAAAAAGGAGTAAAAGAGCCCTAAATCAAGATCCATGCAAGTTTCCAAGTCAAGAAGATCATTTTATCTCCAAGTGTTAGTTCTCGCTGCGCGCAGAACGAAGCTTCGGAAGTTTGGCCGCGCGCGGAGGAGTTCCCGACGTCCAAAAGTTACGATCTTGATATGGAAAGATAGATACTTGAGTCATGCATCACGTCGAAGTGGAATGAAGCCATTTGGATCAACTATGAGGCCTAGACTTATTTTCTACCGAGACATGTCCGGTAAGCGAGTAAACGAAGCCCATGGAGGATTTGGAGTGTCTAATGGCCCGAGCAGCAGCGCCAAAGGCCTTGATCGAATAGAGAAGAGGCCTGGCTAATGTTTGGAGCTTTCCTTGGTACAATGTCGGCCCATACACGACGTGGAGAAGAAGGCTTTGCTCACGGGAAACTTTCCTTTTCCGGCATGAAGAAAACCCTACGCGACTTCGCCCATATATACATGTTTTTAGCCGCTGAAGAAGAGATCGAGTCGAGAGTTAGCCAAAGAGAGTTCACGTGTGAGAAGAGAGAGAGGAGAGAAGCCCTAGGAGATCGTCCAAGAAGAAGGAGGCGCCGCTCAACTCTTGTTCTTTCTTTTTCATTGTTTCCATTTCTATAAACTTGATCTTAAGAGTTTTCAAGGGAGAATCCGACTTTGTTCATCAATAGAGAAGCTTTCTTCATCCCTTTATCTCTTTTAATACTTGCATAATGTTTACAATCATGCTTTGCTTGCTTGTTTGCATCATGGCCGAGTAGATCTCTTAGTTAGGCCGAGGAGATCTATGGTGGCCGTGATGATTTGATTGTGTTGCAACTTATTGGGATTTATCTTATGGATCTTCACCTTTACTTGAGCTTAATGCATGATTACTCTACCGTACATCTAGTAATCTGATCTTAGAGAAATAGAACCACGACAGTGCTGAATCTAGATCTCAAAACTAGTATTTGGTGAGCAATAGATCATAGCCAACGAAAGCTGAGTTATGGTTTATTGTGAACAATTGAATCTTGAACCTTGTAATGCATGTTTGCAATTCTAATAGCCAACGAAAGCTGAGTATATTAGGTTGTTTTAAACATAGTGGTTGGAGCCACGACAGTGGAAAGACCATACACTAGTGATTCATGTTCAAGACGGCTCTACACACATCCCATGCAACTATCTTTTCATCATTGCTCCATATGATTGTCCTTTGCCTAACTCTTGTTTTAAATTGTTTACAAACTCACTCACATTTCTTTTGTTTTGTTTTCTCATTCTAGGTCCAAAACCACCTCATATTGCGAGCTAGCTACAAACCAATCTCACAAGGTGTTAAGTGAGAACACTTCCTCCTCGTGTTCGACCCCGACTACAACACGGCTGTGCACTTGCAGCTCATTAGTTGGGTTTATAAATTGTGAAAATTTGAGGCAATCTAAACCCGCCATCAAGTGTCGTGGGTGTGCAGCCACTGCGTTTTTCATTGAACGAGTTTGAACGCATCACCGGGCTCAACTGCGAGTATAGAGCTGCTTTGACGAAGCCATAAGCTATTGAGACAGACGAGATGAAAGAGTACTGGCGGAAACTTGGAGTGAATATCAAGGTTGGTCCGAGCATTGACAATCTCGTAGCAGCTTGCAAGTGGGCCGGAGATTGGAGCAGAGAGGATAGGTTGAGGCTTGGCTACCTGGCCGTATACGCTGGCTTTATTGATGCCCAGAAATCTTCCACTCCTACAAGTTTAGCACTGGCTAGCCAAGTGATGGACTTGGAGAGGTTTGAAAGCTATCCTTGGGGGCCAGTAGCTTTCAACACCCTCATCAAGTCTGTTAAGGAAGCAGACTTGTTGAAGCCATTTGTTCTCGCTGGTTTCGCTGAAGTCCTGCAAGTTTGGGCGTATCATGCTATGCCGAAATTCGGAGAAGAGAGTGGTGATCCCATGCCTATTAATCCTGAGCCACCGCTGTTAGCTTTCAAGGGAATCAAAGGGAAGAGATATGTGATCGTAACCATGAAGAAGCAGGTAATCCATTTGACTTTATAATTAGACTTTATAATTAGACTTTATAATTAGACTTCATACATAGACTTCATACATGTACTCCTTAATTAGACTTCTTAATTAGACTTATATTCTTCGTATACTTATACCCGAAACAAATTCTTAACTTATATGTGTACTGTTTTGCAGGTGCTGTTCAATCACATGGTAATGGTTGACAGGGAAGACGTGTACCCACGTTGGGATAAGGATGTAGATGACCAGAAGGTGGACAACATCATCAAGGCTTTGCTTGGGGAACTTGGTGGAAAATGGAACTGGAAACCAGCTGACTGGGTAAACGAAGGGATAATCGCTGTGGAGTCCGAGAAGGCAGTGAAGTCAGAGAAGTCTCATGTCAAGAGGAGTATCTCTGATGAGGATGATGAAGCAATCAGTGTAAAAAGGGCTCGGACCTTTGGTTATTCAGCTGCGCAGGCCTCTGGTGATGGCTGGAACCGTCTCGAGTCGAAGTTGGAGGAGCTGTTTAAAGACTTCTCCGATAAGCAGTCTGAACAGATGAAGCTTGGGTTAGAGAATGTCGAGAAGAAGATTCAACTCCTTACTACTCAAGTGGCTATCTTGGGGAGGATTGTCAAGAAGGGTTCGCTTCATACTTCTGCAGAGCATGTGAAGTCCAGTGAGTCAGATTCGAAGAAGGATCCTCCTGGTGAGTCAGATGCGAAGAAGGATCCTGCTGGTGGCTCAGATGCGAAGGATCCTGCTGGTGGCTCAGATGCGACGGATCCTCCTGGTGGGTCAGATGCGAAGAAGGATCCTCCTGGTGAGCCGGTTAGTACAGTTCCTTCTCCACATACTTCTAAAAATGGTGATAAATCTGCTCAAAAATTCGTTCGTAGGAGTCGTAGATTGAAGGGGAACAAATAAACCCCTGAAACCTTTGTTTTTTACTCATGTATGTTTGAATGAATAAGAACCTTGATGTGTTGTGGTGTGTTGTACACTTTCCCTTGATGCAATCATACATTTTCAATAAAAATTTTGTTCTTTCCCCATGCTCCTTATATAGTGTATATATTTTTGTGTTTGATCAATATTAAGCAGAACGGCAAAGAGGATGAGGATGCTTGCGATACTGGTGAGGAAGACTCGGAATGTAATTTTCTCCGAACCCATTATCCGAGTGCCTCTGAACTTGACGCGGAGAAGAAGAAGAAGCAAGCAGAACAGATCAAGCAGGAAAATCGTTTAGCACGAGGTAAGAGTCAGAGAACCCGGACTCTGTCGCATACACAGAGAGGTGCATACGTAGGAAACAGCACCGCCAGGAGGATAGTCCTGAACAATCCGCCGGAGGCACCCAAACCAGCTAAGGCCATCACTAAACCGAAGAGGCAAACTCGTGGTAAAGCAGGTGCTGCGAAACAAGTTACTGCAAAGGAAGAAGCTGCTGCGAAAGCAGCTGCTGCGAAACAAGCTGCTGTTGTGAAACAAGCTGCTGTTGTGAAACAAGCTGCTGTTGTGAAACAAGCTGCTGCGAAACAAGCTGCTCCTGCGAAACAAGCTGCTGCGAAGGAAGCAGCTGCGGAAGAAGCAGCATCTGCGAAACAAGCACCAGCGAAATTAGCGGTTTTGAAAGTACCTGGTGGGTATGATCCATTTGCTGTTGCGGCCGAGGAAAGCAAGAAAGAAATGGCTGATTACTGTGCCACCTTACCGTAAGTCTCCCGTACCTATATTCTTACCATTTGAATAACGGAAGGAGCTTAACACAACTAGATTTGTTTCAGGGGTTATCCGATGAAGGAGTCGGATAAACATGAATACCCACTTTGGTATTGGTGGTGGACTCTGCTGACTGAGGAAGAGTGGCTGGATGACACTGTAAGTTCATTTGTAGATAGACTTCTTAGGTAGACTTCCCGTTGGAGATATTTGATAGACTTCACAAAACGGAAATGTTAGACTTTGTAGTTAGACTTTGATGAGAATGCCTGGATCAAATAACTTTTTCTTTTATTTGTAGCATGTCAGTGCCTGGACCAGAATGATGGCTCGTCGCCTGGAAACGCACCCGACTGGTTTAAGAGTGATAGGATCATGTTTCTTGACAGTAGGATCACATAGTATTGGGCGAGGGACTGGCCAAACTTCCAGGCCTGTGAACTTCTTCCTGCCCAGTCACTGGACTGGTATTTTGGGAAGCTCCCGAGAAGCAACCCCACCAGGAAGATATGGGCCTATGATATTGATGATTTATACATCCCTCTTAGCATCAAGCAGAAACATTGGGTTGCCCTGCATGTCTCCATCCCGAAACGGCACATTGTCGTCTACGACAGTTTACCGGGCTCGATAGAAGATAAGATAATGGAGTCGGTCGTCGAACCTTATGCTGCGATGATGCCGAACCTGATGAAACAAGCTGCTAAGGCAGATGATAAACCCTACTTCCCTTTAGATAAGTACACTGTAGAGTTTCCGACAAAGGGTGTGCCACACCAAAACAATGGTGGAGATTGTGGTCTATTTGTCCTGAAGTACATGGAGTGCCTAGCACTTGGATATACCACATTTCCAGAGACATTCTGCCAGGCCAACGCCACAAGAGCACGGGAGAAGATTGCGTCTGATTTGTACCATGAATACGACTGCCGCGGACCGATAGAGGACCCAAGAGACTGGGAAGGACTTGATTTGTTAGATTGAGTCTTTGTAAACCCAAAACTATTCCCTTTTGTACCTGATGATAGGTTAAGGCTAAAAACTATTCTTTTGTAATCTATCACCTAACATTACAGGTTTGTTAATGTACCCGTACGTGTATTATAGACTTCTTTCGTGGACTTCAATAACATATTTCAGGAGTAGACTTTAATATTTCAAAAACAACAAAAAACCTGAGTTTTCCTCTATTTCACCACCCTAAAACGGCCAAACTAAAGAACAGATGGTAGACTTCATTCGTGGACTTCAAGAACAGACTTCAGGAGTAGACTTTAATATTTCAAAAACAACAAAAAACCTGAGTTTTCCTCCATTTCACCACCCTAAAACGGCCAAACTAAAGAACAGATGGTAGACTTCATTCGTGGACTTCAAGAACAGACTTCAGGAGTAGACTTTAATATTTCAAAAACAACAAAAAACATGAGTTTTTCTCCATTTCACCACCCTAAAACGGCCAAACTAAAGAACAGATGGTAGACTTCATTCGTGGACTTCAAGAACAGACTTCAGGAGTAGACTTTAATATTTCAAAAACAACAAAAAACCTGAGTTTTCCTCCATTTCACCACCCTAAAACGGCCAAACTAAAGAACAGATGGTAGACTTCATCTTAAAACTTCATAGATAGACTTCAGGAGTATTAAAAACACAAAGAGAAGCGGAATTAGGCTTCACATGTAGACTGCCCAGGTAGACTTCATCCAACTTCACATCAGTCTTCTGCGACCTGTTTGACCATTCCCATGATAATTGTTAAAGACTTTCAAGATGGATACAAAAGAAGGATATAGGTGATGAGCTTACGCATTTTGGGCGAGTATGTCCTGCTTCCCCACACTTAGAGAAGCTGTACTTCTTGTGCATCTTCCTCGGTTTATTGTTTTTCTTCCTCGACATTTCTAGCCAAGTTAGCCACCTCGACTTCTTCTTCCTGCCAGGAGGGACCTTTTCAACTGGAATCAAACACGGTTGTTTCTTTACGTGTGAGTCAGATCCCGCCTTAGGATAGATCGGATGTGCATAGGTTGAATACAAGCAAAGTTTAGAATGACAATCGCACACGTAATGGGACATTAGTACGTTTGCTGTGGCTGCGGCTGCAATGACATGATTACAAGGAATTTTCTCAACATCATACACCCCACAAGAGCACGTTCTGCGGAACAAGTCGACATTGCAATCAGGTTTTCCTCCCTTTACGTGATAACACCAAGTGTCTATGCGTTCAGCGGTCATACTTGCCACATAGTCTGAACGCACAACTAAAATGTACTCAACTCCTCTGCTGTGGGTAGTTGTGAGACTCATAGCATCCTCACGCCTCTTGGTAAACCATCTCCCAAGCTTCTCCCTTATAAATTCCAAAAGCTTTGGAATGGGATATCCTTTTGCCTTCTTAACAGCCGAGTTAATTGATTCGGCGATGTTACTCGTCTTTATGTTGTATCTATCACCGGGAAAATGAACTCTTGACCACAATTTCGGATCTGCTTCCTCTAGGTAAGTTGCCAACTCAGGTTTTGCAGCTCGAATGAGGTCCATGTAGCAGTTATACTCAGGAACTGTATGAGCGTAAGCTGCACCCTTAACCATATACATGATCTCTTTTGCATGGAAATCCTTGATTATGTTACCTTGGAGATGATAGTAACATATTCCTCTTAGTGCCCAAGGAAACACGATCTCACATGCTCTAGCAATGGCCTTGGCTCGGTCAGACACTATGACCATTGGCGGATGCTGCATAAAGCAATCTCGGAGCTTGTTGAAAAACCACTTCCATGATTCGCTGTCCTCAGCGTCGACAATTGCAAAAGCTAAGGGGAATATTTGAAAGTTCCCGTCCTGTTCGGCTGCGACAAGTAGAACTCCCCCATATGTCCCAGTTAAATGAGTCCCATCCACCACAATGACTCTTCCCAAGTACTGAAAACCAGCTATTGAAGCTCCAAATGATAAGAAACAGTACTTGAAACGGTCGTCTGGGTCACGCACAAGATCAGTAACACTTCCAGGGTTCGCTTCCTTAATTCTTTCCAAGTAAGCAGGCAGATTAGCGTAACCTTCTTTTGCTGTTCCCCAAACCAACTCTTGTGCGTGTTTAAGAGCTCTATAAGAAGCTGTATAGTCCATATTCCTTGTAAGCGGGAATATGGAAGTTAATCGGATTTAGGGTATCTCCAGATTTGGGAGAACTGAGGGAAAAAGAAGAGAATTTCCAGCCTTTCGAGAACGAAAAAGGTACAACTGGTGCCTTTATAAAAGTGTTTAGCTTGTGCCGACTTTGAATGATGGATGATTTTGTATTGATGTATTGTTCACGGATAGATCTGAGATCTGCTAATATAGCTTCTGAATGTTTGATAGATTGTTTCAAAACTCATCAATATAGCTTGGGATTCTATGATGTATATGATATGGGTGATATAGATCCATCTGATGATTTAGAGTGACGCCCTTACCTGCTTCGAGTAAACGTTTTTTTGTCATTTGTTTATCAGACTTCATTATCTTTTTTTGATTAAATGAATACTTTAACTGATTTATATATATTATACGGTGAAGTGTTTATGGTGTTTGTGGATTTTGCTCTCAGAATGCTTGACAAAGTATAAATTTTAATGATTTGCATCCATGTTTGTTTACTTATACGATGGGTAGGCTTCTCAATAAATATTTTGTTTAGACTGATGGATTTGTTTCATGTTTAGGATGATGAGTTTCACAGAGACTCAAACGCCAGATGATTATCCGAATCTGGACATGTCTTACAATTCTCCTCCGGCCCTTGCTCAAGAATGCAAAAGCTTCAAATGGAAAGTACAAGTGATAGGTAATATCAAAAACATTATTCTTTTTGTTAATCTGCTTAATCTGATTTACTTATTCTGTTGAGCTATATGCATATAGATTCTGTTGGAATGATTGAAGACAACATGCTGACAACCAAAGATGTTTGGAAATTACAAAATCACCAAGTGATTGTTCACTTTGATGAAGAGACAGGACAACCAGATGAAGATTCTGGAGGGTTGCTTGGATCATGGTTAGGTCAGCTGAGTACTGACGTAAATTTGTTACCCATAAACTACAATGATTGGAGAGCGTTTCCTCTTCACAGAAAAGATTTGGCATGGGAAGTAATCAAGGTACTATGTCAGATATATATACTTTTTTATCTTTTGTGAGGATTTCATGTCGTATATGTTTATATTATACAGCTAACCATAAAAATAAATAACTTGTTTCAGGCAAAGTTTTGGTTTGATGATCCGCTCATAAGAAGAGATTATGTCATAAGTATTTTAGGGAGCAGATGCAAGGATTTAAAAAGACGTCTTTGGAGGGATTACAATCTGAATGGTCGAACTGAAACCGTAGAGAATCGTCCAACTAATGTGCCTGCAGATCAGTGGCGTGACTTTGTCTATTTTAGGTTCACCGATAAGTGGAAGGTATGTACATAGTTGCAAACTACACCATATATTACCATTTAGCATTTATATCAATTTTTTGTACCAATATTTGATTTACAGAAACTGCAAGAGCGAAACACAAACAGCCGAAAACACCATACAATGCCTCATGTGTGTGGAAGAAAGTGTTTTGCTAGAAAAAGACGTAATATTGTAAGTAACTATGTGTATTTATATATCATACTTGGTAATATACGTTAGTAGAAAATGTTAATACTAATATCAGATATTGATTGTGCATATGTTTTAAAAACAGAAAGATAAGACTGGTAGAATTCCATGCCGGGCAGAGTTCTTCATTGCGACACGCACGAAAACTGATGGAAATTTCGTAACTGATGATGCTAAAAAGTGTGCGGTTAGTTTTACTACCAAACTTAAAACTTGTTCACATTCTTATTTTAGTGATGGTTTTGTTGGAAACATGAATCAGTTTAGAAGAATACTGTTACGAGGTTTCTTATATAGAAAACTTTATATTAGCATTGCTTGTGATGGATGATAAATTGTTCAAATTGTTGCCGATGGTGTCTTTGCCTTGATTCTGATCATCGTTACTGATGTGAAGATGTTTGTATCTGTATTTTTTTTACCAGGATCAGCTTACTCCTTTGTTAAACCAAAGGTCATCAACTCAAGTTTCAAGCAATGTTGCAGCTAGTTTGAATGATGAATATTCTCAAGTGTTTGGTCCAGAATGTTCAGGAAGAATTCGTTGTCTTGGTCGAGGACCAACGCCTTCCAAGTTGATCAAGCGTTCCAACCAAGCAAGATATGAGGCATATGAAGCTGCTAATGCTGAAGTTGTTCAAATGAAGACAAAGATGACATCATTGGAAACCCAAGTTGAAAGTTTAACTGGAATTATTCAACAGCTGCTTGGTAACAAAACCAGCGATCAGGTATGAGTGTTAATTTTTTTCTTTAATGTTAATATATGTGGATATACATTATGGTTTAGAGACTAGACTTGATATTCTAAACAAATCATGTAGGAAAGTGCATTGGCTGCTTATGCAAATATACTGAACCCTCGAGCTCGCACTACTCAGGTATTTACATTACAAGATTGATTGTATAATGTAATATAAGAGTGTCATATTAACTAAAGAAATTATTTTGTTTGGACAGGGAAATTTGTTTGGACAAGGAGAAGGAGATGGACGTGATGAAGACTGAAAAACAGAACGACCATAAGAGTTTATCATGACTATCTAGCTAGTATTATTTCATGTTTTTTTAAGTAGTATTTTAGTTCATCTTTGTATCTGGATTCATTTGGTTTCTCTATCTGTTTAATATGTTTGAAAAATATATTGGGATGTATTATTTAATTTAAATATTTTTTAAAATTGAAATTTTATTTTACCAATTTTAAATAATTATTCAAAATAAAATCGAAATTTGGCTAAATTTTAAAACAAAATGTGATTCATATCGTTTGCAAATGACACAATAAGCAATTCGAACTATAAGATAAAAGTGATACAAAAATCAGTATCTACTATCATTTATGGCTAAATGATATTACTTACGACATCAATTAGAAGAACTGATACTAATTTTTCCATCATTAAATCTAAATGAAACAAATATTAATATCGTTTATTTTGAATGATGCTATTTCCAGCATTACTTATCTTAAACGACACATATTTACATCAGTTATAATAAATGATAAAAATAGTTGCATCATTCACTAATTATTGATACAAATATTAGAGTCACCACTTCCAAAGTCATTTATACAAATGATGGAAATACATTTACATCATTGAAAAAATGATAGAAACAACAAAATTAAATGATGCAACACACATGATTTCTTGTAGTGTATTATAGCTCCTGCAGTAGCTAGGAATGGCCTTCCCAAGATAAGAGGGTCTTTAGGTTGGTGTTCCAGCTCAAGAACTACAAAATCAGCAGGGATGTAGCAATCTCCAACCATGATTGGAACATCCATAATAACACCAACAGGGCGGCGAACAGATCTGTCTGCAAAGACTAGAGAGATCTTTGTAGGTTTGAAGTCAGTGATGCCCAATAGCTTGGCCACTGAGTAAGGCATTAGGTTCACACTGAACCCAAATCACAAAGTGCTCTATGGAAGTGTGTAGAACCGATCTTGCAAGACAAAACAAAACTCCCTGGGTCGTTCAGCTTCTCTGGCATGCGATTCTGAAGTATGGCACTACACTCCTTTGTAATCATCATTGCTCCTTCTTCAAGACTCACATTGCTTGTGAGTATGGCCTTCATATACTTCCTGAGAGATGGAATTATTTGGCAAGCATCAATGAAAGGTAACCTTACTGAAAGTTGGCTAACAAGATCCTTGAGCTTTGCTTGCTCCTTCTCCTTCTTGGGTTGAGAAAGAACATTTCTGTATGGGATCTTTGGCTCATACACTCTTGGTTCTTCAGGTGGCTTCTCCACTTCCTCCTGAGTTCCTGGTTCTATTCTGACATGGACTTCCTTAGGTGGTTCAGTCCATCTCCAATGATGACATACTCCATTGGTTTCTTCTTGTTGGCGGCTTTGCTTCCTCTTGATCTGGGTATGCTGGCGGCTCATACCCTTTTCCATTCCTAAGAGTGATAGCTGCTACAGCTGCTCTCCTTGGATTGATTTCCACTTTTCCTGGTAGCATACCTTCTTCTCTCTTAATAGAGCTGGCTATGTTGGCAACTCTAAGATCCAAGTCTCTTGTGAAAGAAGAAATTGAATCCAACTTCTCATTCAATCTCGTGAAAGCTGACTCCAATCTCTCATCAATCAAGGCTGTATGCTCTCTATGAGAACTCTTGATGAAAGTTATCAAATCTTCAAAGTTGCTCCTTGGCTCCATTCTTCTCTTGTGAGGTGGTTGCTGATAATTTCTTCCTCCATGAACATCCCTCTTCTCATTGGGTGATTCTTGAGTAAAAACATCATGCTCTCCTTTCCAAGCTTCTTCTCCACGTGCCAATCCATCTATTCCAACAAAGTTTACTTCTTCTTGAAACTTGGAATCAAATCTCCAAAGTAATCTTGAATTATTGTGGACTCAACTCTATAAGCTTCTCTTTGTCTCTCCACTTCTCTTCCTTGGTTTCTCAGTATCTCAGCCATCATGGCTTTGATCTCGCTGTATCCATCTCTGTATGGATCAGAATTTATGGCCTTCACTGCTCTCTCATGCCCAATGAAGTTGTCACTGTCGCTTGAGGCTAGATTTTCAATCAAAATCTTTGCTTCAGTAACTGTCTTGGTCATGAAATTTCCATTGCTGGCTGTATCAAGAGAAAATCGACACTTCCCACTTATTCCTCTGTAGAAAATGTTCCATAGACTGCCATCAGATAGTCCATGATTAGGACACTCTCTTGTATAGTCCTTGAAGCGCTCCAATGCTTCATGAAAAGGCTCCACCGGCCCTTGTTGGAAACTAGAGATCTTTTCTCTCAACAAGTTTGCTCTTTGCTTTGTGAAAAAGTGACCTAGGAATGCCACCTTGTACTCTTTCCATGTGGTTATGGATTGAGCTGGAAGAGACTTAACCCAGCGCAAAGCCTTCCCTGTCAAAGTGAAAGAGAATAGTTTGCACTTTAAGTACTCCTTGGGTGCACCTCCTGCACTGATGGTGCCACAGATTTCTTCAAAGCATCAATATGTTCCAAAGGATTCTCCTGGGGTTTTCCTTGGAACTGGTTTTGTTTCACCAAACCAATGATCTCCGGCGAAATCTCATAGCTTCTTCCTTCAGGAAGTGGCGGCTGGATGGGATTCCGATCGATTAGTAGTGTTGGATTGGAATCGAAGTCTCCCATGACTTCTTCATTATGTCGCGCTCCATCTCGCGGCATTCATCATTGGCGCGATCGTGCGCGGCATTCGGATCCGGCGGATCTTCGTGCTGCTCGGCCATTCTCTCTATCTCTCTCCTCTTGATGAATCACTCATGTTAGAGTCTTCTTTCAAGCTTAGTACCTGAAAGGATAGAGGCAAGATTCTTTAAATAGAAAACAGTAAAAAGGAAAAACAAAAGTTGAAAGTTTGCAAAAACAAAAAGGAAAAACGAAATTCTAGGCTAGACTATAGTTGGGAACTCGAAGGTAGCTGTATTGCTCCCCGGCAACGGCGCCAAAAACTTGATCGCGGGATCAGGTCTTCCCTTTTCCTATCCCTGATTCTGCAAGTGCACAGATCAAAAGTAGTAAACGGGTATCGAACACAAGGAGCAGATAAGTACACTTCGAGTATTGCAAGTCTAATATAGCTAGAAAACAAGTATGATTTAGGGTTTTGATTGTGTAACAAGGAAATCAAACAGGATTAAACGGTTTATGAAAATCAATAAGGGAAACGCTAGGCAATGAGAAACTCGCAGAGATTCAAGGTTAACAAGATATTAGAAGGTTCGCTAGGGTTTGCGCTATCTAGAACTCAGGTCACGATTGTATGATCTTTCCACTGTCGAGGCTCCGACCCCTTTGTTAATCTACCTAGTCGCTAAACTTTTGGTATGTCCCTAGGTGATTAAATCAAGCAATAGTTCGTTCAAGACCCAATTGTTCACAACCCCGCATAGATCAACTTTCGCAGTCTATGAAGTTTTGCTCACCAAATACTTAGTTCAGGTTATATAGCAAGCTTTTGGAGAGTATATGAAACCTAAGATCTGATGCTAGTTGATCAGAAAAGCAAGCAGCAATGAATTCAAGCAGAGGCGAAGATGCGATATGATAAACCCTAGGCGACTTCTAACAACCTATCAAACCATGAACTCTTTGATAGATCTCACAACCTAACTAGTGAATTACTCAGACATAATCAAAGCAACAACACAAAGAGATGAAGAAAACATGATTGCAATAAAACTCAAAGTATGAAATCGTAATACAAGGGCGGCTCTCTTTTCACAAGAGGCTAAAAAGCTATATATATAGTGCTAGGTCTTTGGGTCGACCGCGGCGTTCGGACGGTCGGTCGGGACGATCGGCCGGACAGTCGGGTCGTGGGCGAGCGGAACGGTCGTGGCCGGATGATTCACGGTCGGCCGGCGTGGTCGGACGGAAGATTTGGCCGATGGTTTCTCGGCCGGACGTGGGACGTTCTTTCCCGGCTCGGACGGATGCATCGGCCGTGGTACGCGAAGTGGGTTGCGCGGCCGCGAGGCTTTGTTCCCCGGCTCGCGCGGCATGGTCGTGCGCGGCGTGGTGTGAAACGGTTGTAACTTGGCCGACCGCGGGCTTATGTTTCCCGGGTCGTGATATGTGATCGGCCGGTCGGTTTCGAACTTTGGCCGAGACTTCAGACGGACGGATATGATTTGGCCGAGCGTGAAACAATAGTTTCTCGGCCAGCCGGACTGCGCGGTTGGGCGCTGATTTCTCGATACAGCCGCCGTGACAGTCTTCACTCTTCTGATTTCTCGATACAGCCGCCAAGCCGCATCTTACCAAGAAGAATACCTTCTAGCCACACCAGAAGAGGAGATTGACCCTGAGCTGATCGAGTTCGTGAAGAGAGATCAATTCCATGATCTGTTTTCAGAGTATGCGCTGGAGCACATAGATCACTTTGACAATCTTTGTGATTCCTATGGAGTTTTTGACTTTGAGAAGAAGATGATGCTATTCAGCACATCACTAGCTGGACCAGCACTAGATTGGGCGCAGCATGAACCACTCTCTACAATCGAGTCATGGATCGATTTTAGAGAAGCTTTCTTGAAGAGATTTGCAAGGGCCACCTTTCAAATCCAAGTACACCACTACTCTCATCAGCTGGAGAGAGAGCGTGATGAAGAAGAATGGGGAGGCATACCACCTCATCCTGAAGTTTTGAATGAAGAGCTAATCAAGCATGTGGAGAGGAATCCTTTCTACAATTCTACTTCAGAATGTGCAAAGGAGCATCTATGCAACTTTGAGCAGCTTTGCCACGACTATGGACTTGGAGACAACCCCAAGAAGATACAACTTTTCCAACTATCTCTAGCTGGACAAGCCAAAGAATGGGCTAAGTTCAATGCCCAACATGCTTTCAAGACTTGGAATGGATACAAAGGAGCTTTCCTCTACAGATTTGCTAAAGGTCCATTTATGTCCCACCACCACGCCCAAGCTATTCACAACACCATCCATCATCACCAGACATAAACAAGACACCACTTTTCCCAAGGAGAGCTATCAAGCTGCGCGCCAAACCAAGATTGAAGATATGCTTCAAGAGTACTTGAGAAATCAAGATGAGAGTACAAAGAAGATGGAGAGAGAATCGATTTCATCCATGAGAGCCTTGGAAACAAATCTGAAGTCCTATTCAAGCAAGTGATCAAGCTTGATGAAGACATTAAGAAGTTAAGAGAGGATCATGATCGATCTCTGACCCTAGTTAAGCTTGATGTTGCTTCCAAATATCAAGAGTTGCTGAACAAGAGCATGAGAATTGAAGATACTAGCTATGGCAATAGCAAGCATCTTGGATCAATCTACAACCGCCTACAAGCCCTTGAAGGATCATCTCATGCCAATTACAAGAGAGAGAGGAGTCCAACACCCAACCACCCTCCCTTTTATTGCAATGCCATCACAAGAAGAAGCACTACTCAAGTCCATGAAGGACAATGAAGAAGAAGAAAGAGAGTATGAGGAACAATTGAATGATGAAGATGAAGAGCAGAGCATCGACATCAATGCTTCCCCAAAACAGAGCATGGATACACCTAGCCCTAGACCCTCGTTTCTCACCAAGAAGTCAAGCTTCTACACTTCCAAGACTGGAAGCAATGCAAAGACCATCACCACCTACTGAAGAAGAAGATACTTGGCAATATGATCCCATTGATCCCAACAAGATAAGCCCCATGAAGCTTAAAGAGTTCAATGCTAAGGTGAAATCACTTCCATTCTATGTCACTTTTGAAGAAGCTTGGGATAAACATGGTCTAGTGGAGTTCTTTTTCACAACTAGTGAAAACAAAGAAGAGATACACCAACTTTTCAGAAGGCACGATTTCCCCATTGCCCCTCATGCAGTCAATCAACCACCATCACCACCATCATCACCACCACCCAGTGGTATGTCAATTCCATATCAAGAGAGAAGCTTGCTGAGTTCAATCAGTTTGTCCAAACTCTTCCAGCCAGCATGTCTTTCCAAACAAGCTTGGCGCCACTACCCATTCACCACCTTCTTCCACAACTGCAGAGAGACACCTGAGGACATAAAGAGCTTTTTGAGAAAGCTAAAGTTCAGCCTACCTTCAAGACCCTCTACAAGATTGAAGACCCAGGTCAATTCTCTATTCCCTGTCAAGTAAATGGTCATTACTTTGATAGAACACTATGCGATTCTGGCTCTTGCATAAACCTCATGCCAACCCAAACCGCCAAACTCCTTGGCATCACACGCTTGCAACCTGCTCAAATTAGTATTGGACTTGCTAACCATACTATAGCCAAGCCAAGAGGAGTTGTTGTTGATGTTCTTCTAGAGATTGGAGATATCAAGATCCCGGTGGACTTTCATGTCATGAACATCAAGGAGGATGTGACACACCATTGATACTAGGCCGACCCTTTTTGGCCACTGCTGGAGCTGTCATGGACCTTCCAAACGGCGAATGTCCTTAGCCAATGTTGACAAGACAGTCTTTTACAAGACCATACCATTCATCTCACCAAACAAGCTGTCTTACCTCATCACTGCCCAAGGCCGCCCAAGAGAACCACCAGACCACACTCAAGGTCACAATGAGACAAGAACTAAAAGACTATGTCTCAGGCCGTGCCCTTACCCCATCTCCAACTAAGAGATCCTATCAGTCAAGCTAATGACTCAAAAAAGCGCTGCATGGGAGGCAACCCATGAAAGGTGTTTTTCTTTACTTTTCTTTTCAATTAGTTTTAGTTAATGTCTAGTTTTGTTTTGAGTTTTGGATACAGGAATCTAAGAACCACACAATGGTAAAGAAGATATACCACAAGAAGAATGTTCATAGTTGGCGCGACTTGATGGCCGAGCAGAACCTCTCCACGCTCGCCCATGTCCTCTCAAGCCGCCCAACACACCATCCCATCTCATTCCATCTGCATCTCACCCATCCCACCTCACCACACTTGCATTCCATCACTACCATCATTCCACTGCATTCACCATTCTTCAAGTAACACAAATCAGGTTACATCTTTCTTTTTACATTCACAACCACTTTATTACCTCTTTCTTTAACTCCCTTAATTGGATTTTCTTTCACCGGGACGGTGCAAGTTAAGTCTGGGGGGATTGTCGGTACTAATGTGTTTGTTCATGGTTGTTTTGATCTTATAATTGGTTTTTCCTAACCCACTTTTTCAAAACTTCTGTTTTATTGAGTCAAAACCAGTCCGGAACAATGAACTTGCTTTGAGATTTGATAGTGTTGCTAACAATCTATGACCCTAGAGCAAACATCAGCTGAAGGCACAAGCCTAACAGAAGCTCCTAGAGTGGATCGGCATGCTAGCTCAGCGAAATTTCTAAGGTAACCAAGCAATCTAGAGTTAACCTCACCCTTAATCAATCTTAATAACTCTTGTCAAGGGGATTGGCATACATGTCGACAGTTCCTTGCTTGATTTTCAATGAGATTTGTCTAAAGAGTTCACCTCTCTCTCCCATCCCAAATGGTAAGTAATGTTTATGAGAAAAGCTCAAAGAGCACAAGGAAAACAAGTAAGCATGAGGAATGCATATGTCTGTACCTTCATGTCTTATGGAATACCTTATCAAACAAGGAACAAGCTAAAGACTTATCCTGTGGTTGAAAGAAAGGTCAATAGAAAAAATAAAATGATACCCTAGAAAAGTAGGGAGAAATTGACCTTTCAAAGTTCTGATGTGAGAAAGAGAGAGGAAAAAACTCATTGCACTTCAAAGACAATCTTGGAGAAGATCAAGTGGGTAAGAACAAGTTCAATTGATCGATTTCCCTTGATAAAGAACTCACGCTTTAAATTTCTGCAAGAGGTTAGCAATAGAGAGTTTGGATTGCTGGATGAGACTAGTTGGGTTGGTATTGTTCGCTAAACTTGCAGGGTGTATGTGAAGCTAACCTTATGTTGACTATGTTCTTAGTGGAATACAGGAAAGGAACCTTTCACAGGATTTTCAAAGAAGCAAGAGAGTTCCCACGTTTTTCAAAACCTCTTCACTAGTTTAGATTCTTTTTGCTTGGGGACAAGCAAAGATCTAAGTCTGGGGGAGTTGATATACCTCTATTTTACCTACTTTTTATGCTATTTTACTATGGTTTTCTAATGGTTTTCTAGTGGATTCTTGTGTTAAAAGGTAGTTTTTATGGATTTATAGTGCAAAGAGTCATTTTAGGTAAAAAGGTGCATTATGGAGCAAAACAGAGATTTGGACTCTAAACCAGTTCAATGCCCCTGCATCAACTTTGGATGGAGCTAGAAAAAGATCTACTCAATGGATTTCATCAAGACCAGTTCCCTGCGTGCTCTGATTGAGTTAACTTTCCAACGCAACTGGAACGGCTTCATTTGGATGAGTAGAAAAGGAGTTATAGCCAAAAGAGTGAAGACTGCTCCAGACGGCTCTATCGAGAATCAGCGCCCGAACCGCGCAGTCCGGCTGGCCGAGGAACGAATGTTCCGCGCTCGGCCAAAACCGTCTCCGTCTGAAGTCTCGGCCAAAGTTCAAACCACCGGCCGATCACAACACGACCCGGGAAACATTGTCCCGCGGTCGGCCAAGCACAACGCTCACGCCACCGCGCACGACCAGCCGCGCGAGCCGGGAACAAGCCTCGCGGCCGCGCAACTCCCGTACCACGGCCGATGCATCCGTCCGAGCCGGGGAACGCCCACGTCCGGCCGAGAACCATCGGCCAAATCTTCATCCGTCCGACCAGCCGGCCGACCGATCATCCGGCCACGACGACCGTTCCGACTCGGCCAAGACCCGACTGTCCGGCCGATCGTCCCGACCGACCGTCCGAACGCCGCGGTCGACCCGAAGCCGTTTTTGAAGCCCAATCCGCACAATTCAAGCCCAAAGCCGGCGCCGACCTAGCTAGATTAGGTTTAGCCCTTTTCATACTTAGAGCATTATAAATACTTCTTTTTAGCCTTGTAACTCAAGAAGGAGAGAGACCACAATCTATTTTACATCTTAATAAAGTTTTGCTTGCTTTTACTTTGTTCTTGCTTGTTACTCTTTCTAGAGAGGATTCGAATCTCTGTTCTTATGAATATGAATTCGTGTTCCTTCTCTATGTCTGAGTAGTTTACTTGTTAAGTGATAGGAAGTCAAAGGATAGCATTCATGTATGCTTGATGATTGATCACAATTAGGGTTTTACTTATAATCTCCATCTTTGCTTATACTTAATGCTTGTTGTTAATCTGGCCAATTAGCATATGCCTTTAGGTTGATTTGAGCCTCGACAGTGCTGTATCATTCGCCTGAACTAGTATTTGGTGGGCAATCTCTTTTAGACTGCGACAGTTGATCTACTTGTAGGTTGTGAACAATTGATCTTGATCGAACTAATGCTTGATTTAATCACCTAGGGACATACCAAAAGTTTAGCGACTAGGTAGATTAACAAAGGGGTCGGAGCCTCGACAGTGGAATGATCATACCATAGTGTTTCAAGTTCTAGATTAGCACCTAAGTGCGGTAACCCTAATTGATTGATTTCATGCTTCTTGAATTGCTTATCTCAAGACTATCCTATTGCTTAGCCTTTCTCTCCTATTGAATCTCACTTTCTTTATTACTTGCATGCTTTACTTTCTCTGCACTCAACCAACTTATACTTTTGCCCTAGCTTGATCTCAAACTCATACTTGTAGTGTGCAATCTGGTCCTTGTGTTCGATACCCGTTTACTACTTCTGACCTGTGCACTTGCAGAATCAGGGATAGGAAAGGGGAAGACCTGATCCCGCGATCAGTAGCTAGGAATGGCCTTCCTAGTATCAATGGATCGTTGGTTCCTCATCCTTCTCCAGCACAATGAAGTCGGTGGGGATTTCTACATTCCCTATTCTCAAAGGCAGGTCTTCAAGCATTCCAGTTGGTAACCTTATCGATCTATCTGCCAAGACTAGTGAGATTCCGCAGGCTTGATACTTGTGATATCCCAGTCTCTTTGCTACGGACAAAGGCATGAGGCTGACAGATGATCCTAGGTCGCAGAGGCTGTTTTTGAAAGATAGGGGTCCCAACATGCAGGGCAAAGTGAAACTCCCCGGATCTTCCTTTTTTGTCGGAGATGACCTTCCGCTGAATGATTGCACTGCACTCACGAGTCAACACTACCATTCCTTGCGCCTCCCTGGTTCTTTGCTGAACAGCATCCTTCAGGAATTTCTGATAAGGTGGAATGAGCATCAAGGCGTCGATGAAGGCAACTTCAGCTCAAGTTGTCTCATTAGTTCATCAAACTTGGCCTTGTGTGCTTCCAACAGTTGTTTCTTGAACCTTCCTGGAAAGGGTAGAGGGGGTTTGTATGGTGGTGGTCCTGATGGAGTGTCTTTCTTCTTGCAACAGGTTTAGTTGGTTGGCTGGAGCTTGCTTTGTCCGTTCTCTTCTCGGCTCGATCGAGCTCTGGTTTGTCTTTCTGAGTCTCGGTTTCTTCAGCTCGATCGAGCTCTGGTTCAGGGTTTTGTTCCAGCTCGATCGAGTTGGTGCCAGAATATCAGCATACTCGACCAAATCCTCCCCTTCCTCGTCATCGATGTCCACAGCGATTTGGGGTGGGCTACTCCTGCTTGGAAATTGCCGCCCACTTCTCAGTGTAACTGCTTGAGCATACTCATGTGGTGAAGAGGATGATGCACTAGAAGACTCAATGATTTGCACTCTTGAAGTCAATGACTCAAGTTTGGAGTTTATTTCTACCAACTTGTGGTTCATTTCCACTGAACCTTTGGCTTGCCCTTGTAGGAGTTGTTTGAGCATATCCTTCATATCCCAATCTTGGCTTGGTTGGGTATGGTTAGGCCATTGGGTGAAGCTTGGTGGTACACTGAGGTGTTGTTGCGGCAAGGTGTTTGGATAGGTGGAGTATTCCCTTGTTGTCCATAGCCAATTGTATATCCTTGCTGAGGATTCCTAAAACCTCCTTGTCTATTTTGAATATAGCAAACCTCATGTTGGTTCTCCTCCCCTTCCTGGTCTTTAACTAGAGCTTTGCCAGAGACATAATTGACATGCTTGGCAGGGAATTGGGCTAGGATCAGTTTGTCCAACTTCGAGTTCAGAGCAAGCATATCTTTTCTCATTTGTACTTCCAGCTCGATCGAGTGCGCGGTCGAGCTCCAGTCTGTACTCTCATAATGTTCTCCATATGCATTGAAATAAACATCAAATGAAAGAGGAGATAAAGATAAACAACTTTTATTGAAATAAGCAAGTGCAAATACAAAGAGATTATCCAGGATCTAGGATTCAAGAAGCAAGAGCTTCAAGAACACAAAGATGGGATTAGAGCTCTAAAAAGTAAAAGACAATAAATTAAAAGAAACTAAAACAAAAGTAATCTAAAGCTTGGTGGTTTTTTCGTGGCTTTTAGCCTTTAAATACAAGAGGATTAGGTTTAGGGTCAAAGGAAAGTCAAGGGGGAAGCAACATTTTTCGGGTTTGACTTTGACTTCTCAGCTCGATCGAGTTGAAGCTTGGCCGGTCGAGTTGAGGAACTCGACCGGTTGGTCGAGTAGGTGGTCGAGCTGGTCTTCAAGATGGCTTCTCCTTCTTCCTTTGCGTATCCAGTTGAGCTGCGTCCATGCCAAGTCCTCCATGCTCCTCACGTCCCATATGCTCCAGAATGCTCCAAAAGACCTATTTCAAAGGACCAAACATGCATATGTATGCAAATGCAACCTAAAACTACATGAATGCATAAGAAGAGAAAAGGAACAAGATATGATGCTAATGGATGCTAAAACTATGCAAAAGATGCATAAAAGATGTACTAAAACTATGTAAAATGCAAGTACATCAACACCCCCAAACTTGAACTTTGCTTGCCCTCAAGCAAACAAATAGAACAAGAAAGAGATGAGGTTTGAAAACAAGTTGATTCAACACTTAAAAACATGTCCTCAAAAGCGATTTGCTAAATGTCCAACTTAGAGATTCTAGAATGCAACAAGGTGAGAGATATTCATTAAGATTTAACCATGCTTATCAACATCAATCCCACTTCACAGTCACTCAAACAATGCATTCAAATCAGCAAATCCCTTTAACATTCATTAAGCAAAAACAGTGAACCAAAAACATGCAAGATCAATCAACTCATTTGGTTTCAAGGGTTTATGGGTTAAGAGACAAAGAGGGTCTCTTTTGTATGGTGGTTTAGTAACAGGGATCTCTCAAGAAAGTGGCTTTGCTTTGGCAGAAGGCTAAGTGTTAGAACCAAAGATGATGCAAGAACAGCAGCTCGAGCCGCCTAATCCTAACTCGATCGAGTTCAACACTTAGAGCTTTTTAGAACAAAATCCTAACTACCCTTTTTGGCATTTCGCCTTTGAAACTGAGGAGCTTTGCTCACTTTTCTTTTAAGAACTTCCTAGGGAGAGGCTTCTTGAGGTAACATCTAGCGGTTTGGGATTTTCTAAACACTTAGGGAACTTTTCTTTCCTTTTTGACACTTGAGGCTTTGCCTTCTTTTCATTCTACTTAGAACCCTTTTTACTTCCTTTTTTAACTTCCCAAACCTTTACTAGACCCTTTTTACACTGCCAACTCCCTGGACTTAACTAAACTCTTTTTCCTTTGGATTTTCCCAACTTTTACCACTTTTCTGGTTTTTACACCCAACTCGATCGAGCTCGAGTTGGCACCCCCAAACTTAGCCTGAAAACAATCCCAAGAGAACTAGACAACTAGAACTACTGCCCCTGCCGGTTTAAACACAACACCTTATGCTAAGCAAAGCCAAGAAAGGTTCTCACAATTCGCACAAGAGAAAATGGGGTTTGAAATGAAAAGGCTTAGGTTTAAGGTGTGGTAACTGTCTCAAAGATAGAGATCAGCTATCTGGACAAGCAAAGGGATATGAAAATAGGTAAAGAATGTCCAGATATGTATGTGGTAGCCATGAGTTGAAATCAAATGCAAGCATTGGTAATTAAAGATCAAGTTATGGTTCAAATAGATAGGGAAATGCATCAAATCACAGCAATGGTTGAATGAGATGTGCATGCAGTGATATGATCAAGATAAACATGGTTCTTGCTGCTCAATCAATCTCACCCTAATGCACAAAAGAATCTAAAAACAGGGCACTCAAGAAATCGCAAATGATGAACAAGTTTTCAAAGTCAAATCAACAATGCAAGTGAAAAATGCAATCCTAAACAAGTCTAACAAATATGAATGCAAAAAGATGAAAATATTTTTGGATTTTTTGAAAATTTTATGATTTTTTTGGTTTTTCTATGCAAAAGAGAATGAAAAACTAAGAACAAAGAAAACAAGGTTAAATCATCTCTTGAACCCTCCCCCAAACTTAAATCACACAGTCCCTTGTGTGAGAGAAATTTAGTGAAAGATTCAAGAGGGCAAAACCAAGAAAAAAAAACAAATGCAAGAAAATATGAAATGGTATATACAAGGGTTGGTGTTTGATACCTCAGTGCCCCCCAAAGAACTGGGAGGCAAGGTCGTGGTCTGGAGAGGGCAGACGGCCATCAGGGACGCTCCACTCCGGGCTCGCTCGATCGAGCTTGCTCTTGGCTCGATCGAGTTGTGCCTCGAGTTGCCTTTCCTTCCTAAAACCTGTTCCTGCAAGACTTAGCCAAGAAAAACGCAGAGATAAAAGATAAAATAAATATGTACAAGATAGACATGGGAATTCCTCCCAAGTGAGCTTGTTTTAGGTCTCATAGCTTGACCTTACCTTTTAGGCCGGGGTTGGATCTTAGAGGAGTGATGATCTCCTCTGTGGGGGTCATTCCTAGATATGGCTTGCATCTATGCCCATTCACTGTGAATTCCTTTCCCCTCTTGTTGAGCAGAGTGAGGGACCCGTAGGGTAGAACTTCGTGATCTTGAATGGTCCCGCCCACTTTGACCTCAACTTCCCGGGAAACAACCTTAGCTTGGAGTTAACAAGAGCACACTGTCCCCAACCTTGAAGTCTTAAGGCGAATCAGTTTGTCGTGGGCTGCCTTGGTTCTCATCTTGTAGATCATGGAGTTCTCATAGGCATTCATTCTGATTTCCTCCAACTCAAACAAGTTCATTACCCTCCTTTCTTGTGCTGCCTTTATGTCAAAGTTCAGCATCTTTACTGCCCATAAAGCCTTGTATTCGACCTCCACAGGCAAGTGGCAATCCTTCCCATATAGCAAATTGAAAGGAGACCTTCCAATGGGGGTTTTGTAAGCTGTTCTATAAGCCCAAAGTGCTTCATCAAGCCTTGCTGACCAATCCTTTCCTAGTGAAGCTCACAGTCTTCTCCAATATGGCCTTTAATCTGTCTGTTGGAGACCTCAACTTGCCCACTGGTTTGAGGGTGATAGGTGTAGCGACCTTGTGCTTGACTCCATAACTCTTCATCAACTTCTCAAACACCTTGTTGATGAAATGGGAACCTCCATCCGAAATAACAACCCTTGGGATGCCATATCTTGGAAAGATGATGGTTCTGAACAGTTTGATAACAACCTTAGCATCACAGGCTGGGCAGGGGATGGCTTCAATCCATTTGGACACATAGTCCACAGCAACCAAAATGTAGTTGTGCCCGTTTGAGGAAGGTTTGAAAGGTCCCATGAAGTCTATTCCCCATACATCAAAGATCTCAACTTCTAGAATTGGGTTTAGTGGCATTTCATCCCTCTTGGTGATCCTCCTTTCCTTTGGCATGGATCACACTTGGCGATGTAACTTGCTGCATCCTTAAACAAGGTAGGCCACCATAAACCAGATTGCAAAACCTTAGTTGCTGTTTTGAATGTAGCAAAGTGACCTCCATAAGCTGACCCATGGCAATGCTCTAGAACTCCTTGTACATCTTCTTCAGCTATGCATCTCCTGTAAATGCTATCTGGTCCTCTCTTGTACAAGTAAGGCTCATCCCAATAGTAGTGCCTAGCATCCTTGAAGAATTTCTTCCTCTTGTAAGCATCAAAACTACTAGGGACTTCTCCGGACACCATGAAGTTCACTATATCAGCATACCATGGCAAATTCTCATCACGCAGAGCCTTAACTTCTTCCAGCCTGACTTTCTCATCAAAACTCTCTTTCAAGATCATGATTGCCATAAGCTGTTCTTCAGGCATAGAATCATTGATGGGGATCATGTCTTCAACTCGCATCCTAGAGAGATGATCAGCAACTCCATTCTCCACTCCCTTTTTGTCCACAACTTCTATGTCAAACTCTTGAAGCAAAAGGATCCATCTGAGAAGTCTTGGCTTTGTATCTTTCTTAGCGAAGATGTGCCTAAGGGCAGCATGGTCAGTGTGCACAATCACCTTGGATCCAACTATATAGCTTCGAAATTTCTCAAAGGCAAAGACTATGGCAAGGAGCTCCTTCTCTGTGGTTGCATACTTGCATTGAGCATCATCCATAGTCTTGCTTGCATAGTAAATGTGATGCGGCATCTATGGGATGAGTACAAGTAATAATTCCCTAAGACAACTAGTGTTGCAAGTGCACAACATATAATTGTAGTATTTAGGGGTCGAACCACAAGGGATTGGATTTCACACATTACATAATCATAGAGTTTAAATGACTAAGCTAAATCAAAAGATGCAAGGGTTTGTGTTTGTTTAGAACACGCAAAAGAAATAACAATGCAATTCTATACAAGCAACATTATTGAACTATTGAAAACTCTTTTGAAAACATGAGCCAAGTCGATTGAAAAGTTTGTTAAAATCCGATTCTTTTGAACTCAAAACACTAAGGAAGGATTATTCCACTTTCGTGGTTCCAATCCCCTATGTCTCTTAAACCAATGGGCTCAGCTTTCGTTGGTCATTGTAGAGTGAGACATGCATTACATCCAAGTAATGATTGTTCACAAAACTCTTTAGGTCTACTTTCGTAGCCTAAAACGATTTGCCCATCAAATATTGTGTCCGGAGATATAACAAGCTTTTGGAGAGTATATCAACCTAAAATCAAGTCACTAGTTAGCTACTCTAGCAACAAGCATTAAGCATAAATAAAGATGGAGAACCATAGGGTTTCCCCTTTTAACAATCGATTTTCGATGGCCATTATATCACGTCCTCATTGGAAGGATCCATAATTCAACAATGAGTCTTAGATAGTAGATGAAGTCTCATGAATCCTTAGAGAGAGAGGCGGCGGAATATGGACTAAACCACGCCTCACCCTTAGGGAGAAATCTCTACTTCTAGACTATATAAATTGAAACATGCAAGCTATATACAAATGCAAAAGAAGAAAAGAAAGAAGAAGGAGACCACCTAAGTGGCTCCGAACTTTATTGAATAAGTGTTTCTTGTTATGCGGCTGGTGATTCTTATTACAAGAGGCTAAAAGCAAGTATATATAGGTAGAGAGCGGGTCTAGGTCGGCAAAGTTGAGCGCGCGCAGAAGAGGAAAGTTTCCATTTCTCTTTAGCCGCTTGAGCTTGCTCTCCAAGTTCTTGAATGGGCCGCGTTCAGGCCAATGGAAGCTTCTGGATTGAGTTATGCTAGTGTCAAGATGAGCCAAGGCCTTGGGCGCGGTATCTCGGGCCTCTTGATCCATCAAAGTCTCCATGGGCTCTACTTAGGCGCTCGTCGGACATGTCTTGGTAGAAAATAAGTTCCGGTCCAACGAGTGATCCAAATGACCTCTTTCCACTTCGCCGCGGGTCATGACTCAAATATCTATCTTTCCATATAAGAAATCATGACTTTTGGACGTCGGGAAGGCATGAATATGCGGTCGTACTTCGGATGCTCCGGTTTGGTCTTTAGCGAGAAATGTAGATTTGGTGCTCTAGACTTGGGAACTTGGTGATTTGACTCTTTTTGCTCCATTTTGACTCTTCTTTGCTATTTTGACCTGAATGATGCTCAAAACCAGAATATACAAGAAAACTACCTCTTGGGCATAAAAACCACATTATTTGTATTAAAAACATAGTGAAAACCTTGATAAAAACATGAAAGATATGGGTATATCAAAATGACATTGAGTTTCTTGTCTATCTTTTGGCCAAGCACTGCTCCTACTGCATAGTCAGATGCATCACACATAATCTCAAATGGGTGATCCCAGTTTGGAGCTTGAACTATTGGGGCAGATACCAGAGCATCCTTCAGCAAGGTCCAAGACTTGTGGCATTCTTCATCAAACTCAAAATCTGTCTCCTTGCACAGAAGCCTTGTCAAGGGTCTTGCTATCTTTGAGAAATCCTTGATGAATCTTCTGTAGAACCCTGCATGACCCAGAAAACTCCTGATATCCTTCACAGTCTTGGGAACAGGGAGCTGCAACATGACATCCACCTTAGCTCGATCGAGCTCGATCCCTTTCTCGGAAATCTTGTGTCCAAGCACAATCCCTTCTCGAACCATGAAGTGGCACTTCTCCCAGTTGAGTACTAGATTTGTCTCCTCACACCTCTGCAACACCCTGCACAAGTTAGACAAACATGAGGAGAAGGATGCTCCATAGACTGAGAAATCGTCCATGAAGACTTCTACCATCTCCTCTATCAGATCTGAAAAAATGGAGGTCATGCATCTCTGGAAAGTAGCTGGGGCATTGCACAGCCCAAATGGCATCCTTCGATAAGCAAAGGTACCATAAGGGCATGTGAAAGTGGTTTTCTCCTGATCATTAGGGTGGATCGGGATTTGGAAGAAACCACTGTAACCATCAAGAAAACAATAAAAAGGATGGTTTGCTAATCTTTCTAACATCTGATCAATGAAAGGGAGAGGGAAATGATCCTTTCTAGATGCTGAATTTAACTTCCTATAGTCAATACACATGCGATGCCCCACTATTGTTCTAGTGGGAATCAGCTCCTCTTTGTCATTTTTATGACAGTGATCCCCCCTTTCTTTGGGACGCAATGAACTGGAGATATCCAAGTGCTATCACTGATGGGATAGATTATCCCAGCATCAAGCAACTTGAGTATCTCTTTCTTCACTACTTCCTTTAGATTGGGGTTCAATCTCCTTTGAGGTTCAATGCTAGACTTACTTTCATCCTCTAGATGAATCCTATGGATGCATAGGTCAGGGGAGATCCCCTTGATATCATCTAGAGTGTAACCTATTGCTTTTCTGTACTTCCTCAATTCAACAAGCAAAGCACTCAACTGTTCAGGTTCCAAATCAGAGTTCACAATGACAGGGTAAGTTGAGTTTTCACCCAGAAATGCATACCTGAGGCCCTCAGGCAAAGGTTTGAGGTCGACTTTAGGTGCCTTGAGCTCAGACCAATCTCCTTGAGCTTGCTCCTTGCATTCAGTCCCCAGCTCGATCGAGTTCGTTTGTTCGAGGCGACTCGATCGAGCTCTTGATCGAGCTCACTGCCATGACTTCGCAAACTGGCCTGTCCAACCCCTCAATGCTCAGAATGCTTGGAACTGGTCTGAAGGTGTCAAGGAGCTTCTTGTATTCCTCGGTTTCTGAGCTCACATATCCTTCTGAAGAATCCTTGGTCAAAGCAACTTGTAGGGGATCCTCCAATGATAGCTCTTCTAAAAGCTCATCTGCCAACTGATCCATTCTCCTCAACATAAAAGAGTTGACCTTCTATTGTTGGCTTCCTCATTGTATCCTTGATGTCAAACTTCATCTTAGGTCCTTTCCCAAGTTTAGCTCAATTGTGCCTTCACAGACATCTATCATTGCTCTTGCTGTAGCTAGGAATGGCCTTCCTAGTATCAATGGATCTGTTGGTTCCTCATCCATCTCAAGCACAATGAAGTCGGTGGGGATTTCTACATTCCCTATTCTCAAAGGCAGGTCTTCAAGCATTCCAGTTGGTAACCTTATCGATCTATCTGCCAAGACTAGTGAGATTCCGCAGGCTTGATACTTGTGATATCCCAGTCTCTTTGCTACAGACAAAGGCATGAGGCTGACAGATGATCCTAGGTCGCAGAGGCTGTTTTTGAAAGATAGGGGTCCCAACATGCAGGGCAAAGTGAAACTCCCCGGATCTTCCTTTTTGTCGGAGATGACCTTCCGCTGAATGATTGCACTGCACTCACGAGTCAACACTACCATTCCTTGTGCTTCCCTGGTTCTTTGCTGAACAGCATCCTTCAGGAATTTCTGATAAGGTGGAATGAGCATCAAGGCGTCGATGAAAGGCAACTTCAGCTCAAGTTGTCTCATTAGTTCATCAAACTTGGCCTTGTGTGCTTCCAACAGTTGTTTCTTGAACCTTCCTGGAAAGGGTAGAGGGGGTTTGTATGGTGGTGGTCCTGATGGAGTGTCTTTCTTCTTTGCAACAGGTTTAGTTGGTTGGCTGGAGCTTGCTTTGTCGTTTCTTCTCGGCTCGATCGAGCTCTGGTTTGTCTTCTGAGTCTCGGTTTCTTCAGCTCGATCGAGTTCTGGTTCAGGGTTTTGTTCCAGCTCGATCGAGTTCGGTGCCGGATATCAGCATACTCGACCAAATCCTCCCCTTCCTCGTCATCGATGTCCACAGCGATTTGGGGTGGGCTACTCCTGCTTGGAAATTGCCGCCCACTTCTCAGTGTAACTGCTTGGGCATACTCTTGTGGTGAAGAGGATGATGCACTAGAAGACTCAATGATTTGCACTCTTGAAGTCAATGACTCAAGTTTGGAGTTTATTTCTACCAACTTGTGGTTCATTTCCAGTGAACCTTTGGCTTGCCCTTGTAGGAGTTGTTGGAGCATTTCCTTCATATCCCAATCTTGGCTTGGTTGGGTATGGTAGCCATTGGGTGAAGCCTTGGTGGACACTGTGTTGTTGCGGCAGGTGTTGGATAGGTGGAGTATGTTGTTGTCCATAGCCAATTGTATATCCTTGCTGAGGATTCCTAACCTCCTTGTCTATTTTGAATATAGCAAACCTCATGTTGTTCTCCTCCCCTTCCTGTCTTTGACTAGAGCTTTGCCAGAGACATAATTGACATGCTTGGCAGGGAATTGGGCTAGGATCAGTTTGTCCAACTTCGAGTTGAGCAAGCATGTCTTTTCTCATCTGTGCTCCAGCTCGATCGAGTGCGCGGTCGAGCTCCAGTCTGTACTTCATAATGTCTCCATAGCATTCTGTTGATATGGCCATGTTCTCCACAAGCTGCCAGCCATCATCTACATCCTGATTGAGGAAGTTCCCATTGCTGGCTGTGTCTAGCATCTCCCTATACCTGCAAGCATCCTCTATAAAGAGTGGAGAGTAGTGATTCATTGTTGAATCCATGGTGTGGGCACTGACTTGTGTAGCCCTTTGAACCTCTCCCAAGCCTCTGCGAATGTCTCATTGTTTCGCTGGATGAAGCTGGATATCTCCTCCTAAGCTTGGCTGTGCGACCGGTGGAGAAAAACTTAGCAAGAAAGGCCTTCTTGCATTCATCCCAAGTGGTGATTGTGCCATGGGGCAAGCTCTTCTCCCATTGGTGAGCTTTGTCAGCTAGAGACATAGGAAAGAGTCTCAGCTTGATGGCATCTTCAGAGACACCATTGATCTTTGTCAAATCACAAAGCCTATCAAACTCATCAAGGTGGTCAATGGGGTCTTCACTTGGCAATCCATGGAACATCTTGTTCTGAACAAGGTTGATCATTCCCAGCTTGATCTCAAAGTTGTGGTTCTGCACTGGTGGTGGAACAATCCCTTGTCTCTGTTGGTGGCGGTTTGGAGCATCTCCTTGACCAATCGGTCGAGTTTGCCTAGCTCGACCGAGTCCATTGCCCAAAGGGTTTCCATTCCCCTTGATGCGGCATCTATGGGATGAGTACAAGTAATAATTCCCTAAGACAACTAGTGTTGCAAGTGCACAACATATAATTGTAGTATTTAGGGGTCGAACCACAAGGGATTGGATTTCACACATTACATAATCATAGAGTTTAAATTGACTAAGCTAAATCAAAAGATGCAAGGGTTTGTGTTTGTTTAGAACACGCAAAAGAAAAAACAATGCAATTCTATACAAGCAACATTATTGAACTATTGAAAACTCTTTTGAAAACATGATGCCAAGTCGATTGAAAAGTTTGTTAAAATCCGATTCTTTTGAACTCAAAACACTAAGGAAGGATTATTCCACTTTCGTGGTTCCAATCCCCTATGTCTCTTAAACCAATGGGCTCAGCTTTCGTTGGTCATTGTAGAGTGAGACATGCATTACATCCAAGTAATGATTGTTCACAAAACTCTTTAGGTCTACTTTCGTAGCCTAAAACGATTTGCCCATCAAATACTATATCCGGAGATATAACAAGCTTTTGGAGAGTATATCAACCTAAAATCAAGTCACTAGTTAGCTACTCTAGCAACAGGCATTAAGCATAAATAAAGATGGAGAACCATAGGGTTTCCCCTTTTAACAATCGATTTTCGATGGCCATTATGTCACGTCCTCATTGGAAGGATCCATAATTCAACAATGAGTCATAGATAGTAGATGAAGTCTCATGATCCTTAGAGAGAGAGGCGGCGGAATATGAGTCAAGCCGCACCTCAATCATAGGGAGAAATCTCTACTTCTAGACTATAAGAATTGAAACATGCAAGCTATATACAAATGCAAAAGTCAAGCAAGCAGTAAAGATATGGGGTAACACTAACAACCTAAATGAAATGAAATGAAATGCAGTAAGTAAATAAAGCAGTAGAGCAACAGCTCGACCAAGGACTCGAGTCGAGTGGAACAGAGTACCGAGCTCGATCGAGTTTAGGGTCGAGTTGAAAAAAAGCGATAAAGGCAGCGACTTTAACAAGCTAATGCGAGAATTAGGGTCTAAGACAGGGTTTACAATCAGAGGAAGGCTATACTTAATCGATCTTGCTCTTAAAACTTGTATCAAGGTATCTCTTGATATTGAGCTTCTCAATGCCTAGCTAACCCTTTCCCAAGGTGAAAGCTATCAACCAAGGAATGATCTCAGAAACAGGGGGTTAGCCAGTGAGAATCAAGCCTTGGAGGCCATAGGATCATTGCTCAAACTAATCCATCCAACCCCTATGAACTCCATTTCGAGAGCAAGAGTTATTGGAGCTCTTAGTGGACCTTTTCCAGCGATTTCCATCACTTCCATGTGGAGAATCGCCTATGGACATACAAGCCAGGGGTAGTGGTCATGTAGCCTTAAGATTTCCAAAAGAGAGAGATTTCTAGATTAAGACATAAGCAAGAAGGATTAAGCATAAAATCCCTAATCTATCCCATCTCAAACCCTAATGGGTAACTACTCACTACACATGAATGTAAACACAAGCAAATGCAATGAAAAGACATCAAAGAAAGAGGAGATAAAATAAACAACTTTTATTGAAATAAGCAAGTGCAAATACAAAAGAGATTATCCAGGATCTAGGATTCAAGAAGCAAGAGCTTCAAGAACACAAAGATGGGATTAGAGCTCTAAAAAGTAAAAGACAATAATTAAAAGAAACTAAAACAAAAGTAATCTAAAGCTTGGTGGTTTTTTCGTGGCTTTTAGCCTTTAAATACAAGAGGATTAGGTTTAGGGTCAAAGGAAAGTCAAGGGGGAAGCAACATTTTTCGGGTTTGACTTTGACTTCTCAGCTCGATCGAGTTGAAGCTTGGCCGGTCGAGTTGAGGAACTCGACCGGTTGGTCGAGTAGGTGGTCGAGCTGGTCTTCAAGATGGCTTCCTCCTTCTTCCTTTGCGTATCCAGTTGAGCTGCGTCCATGCCCAAGTCCTTCCATGCTCCTCACGTCCCATATGCTCCAGAATGCTCCAAAAGACCTATTTCAAAGGACCAAACATGCATATGTATGCAAATGCAACCTAAAACTACTATGAATGCATAAGAATAAGTGTTAGAACCAAAGATGGTGCAAGAACAGCAGCTCGAGCCGTCTAATCCTAACTCGATCGAGTTCAAAACTTAGAGCTTTTTAGAACAAAATCCTAAGTACCCTTTTTGGCATTTCACCTTTGAAACTGAGGAGCTTTGCTCACTTTTCTTTTAAGAACTTCCTAGGGAGAGGCTTCTTGAGGTAACATCTAGCGGTTTGGGATTTTTCTAAACACTAAGGGAACTTTTCTTTCCTTTTTGACACTTGAGGCTTTGCCTTCTTTTCCTTCTACTTAGAACCCTTTTTAAGTTCCTTTTTAAACTTCCCAAACCTTTACTAGACCCTTTGTAGCACTGCCAACTCCCTGGACTTAACTAAACTCTTTTTCCTTTGGATTTTCCCAACTTTTACCACTTTTCTGGTTTTTGACACCCAACTCAATCAAGCTCAAGTTGGCACTGATATACCTCTAATTTACCCACTTTTTATACTGTTTTAGCATTGTTTTCTAATGGTTTTTGGCAGGTTTTCTATCTAAAAAGGTAGTTTTACTATGTTTATAGTGTCTAGAGTCTAAACAGGTGAAATGATGCATTTTGGAGCAAAACCATAGGATTTGCACTTCAAGCAGCTCCATGCACAAGCACCAACTTTAAGAGGGCCCAGAAAAAGATCTACTCAATGGATTTCATCAAGACCAGTTCCCTGCGTGCTCTGATTGAGTTAACTTTCCAACGCAATTGGAATGGCATCATTTGGATGAGTAGAAAAGGAGTTACAACCAAAAGAGTGAAGACTGTCCAGACGGCTCTATCGAGAATCAGCGCCCAACCGCGCAGTCCGGCTGGCCGAGGAACGAATGTTCCGCGCTCGGCCAAACCGTATCCGTCCGACTGAAGTCTCGGCCAAAGTCCAAACCACTCGGCCGATCACACAGCACGACCCGGGAAACATTGTCCCGCGGTCGGCCAAGCTTCACGCTCACGCCACACCGCGCACGACCAAGCGCGCGAGCCGGGAAACAAGGCCTCGCGGCCGCGCAACCCGTTCCGCGCCACGGCCGATGCATCCGTCCGAGCCGGGAAAGAACGTCCCACGTCCGGCCGAGAATTTCATCGGCCAAATCTCAATCCGCTCGACCACGCCGGCCGACCGCGAATCCGTCCGACCCCGACCGTTCCGACTCGCCCACGACCCGACTGTCCGGCCGATCGTCCCGCACGACCGTCCCAACGCCGCGGTCGACCCGAAGCCCTTTTTGAAGCCCAAACTTATGTTTTCAAGCCCGGCTTAACCCTAGCCGCCTCTAGAAAGACCTAGCACTATATATATGGATTTTTAGCCTCTTGAGAAAGAGAGCCGCCCTGTATTTCGATTTCCTACTCTAAGTTTTATTGCAATCATGTTTTCTTCATCTCTATGTGTGTTTGCTTTGATCATGTCTGAGTAATCCACTAGTTAGGTTGCTAGGGTTACTATTCAATGAGTTGCTTGCATGATCTTTGATTTCAATGATTAGCTAGGGATTATATTAGAGTCTTTGTCTCGTCTTGTGCACTTAACTAATGCTGATTGCTTTACCGCGCATCTAGTAATCCGATCTTAGGTTGATTTGAGCCTCGACAGTGCTGTATCATTCGCCGGACATATTCTTTGACAAGCTAGGTTTCTTAGACTGCGAAAGTTGATCTATCTATATCTAGTGAACTGTATCAGAACCTATTCATTCTAATGCTTGATCTAATCACCTAGGGACATACCAAAAGTTTAGCGACTAGGTAGATTAGCAAAGGAGCCGGAGCCTCGAAAGTGGAATGGTTTTATATTCGTGATCTGTGTTCTAGATGGTTCTTAATATCCCAATATCCCTAATCAATTAATCTATCATTGTTTCATTGATCATTGCTTGCTTCTCTGCGATAGCCCCTATGACCTAGCGCTTTTCCTTTATTGTTTACAACCTCGTTATACTTGCTAGTTCGGTTCACCATTACAACCTCAATCATACTTTTGTTTTAGCTTGATCCAAAATCCATAGTTTCAAAGTGTACTCAATAGCCAGTCCTTGTGTTCGATACCCATACTTCCGCGATCTGTGCACTTGCAGAGGTCTAGGAGTTTGGTAAAACCTGACTCCGCATCAAGTTTTTGGCGCCGTTGCCGGGGACTGCAGCAGTACCTTTGGAACTCGACTAGGATCTAGTCTAGAACCTTTTCCTGTTTTGCTTTTCTTTTGCTTTTGAATTTTAGTTTTTGATTTCCTTTTCTTTGATTTTTCTTTTGTTTTTGTTTTTCCTTTTTAGTTTAACTTGTTTCCAAGACTCTTTTCAGGTGCATGACTAGGAGGTCCAACAAGGACAACCTAGTTGAACATCCAGAGATAGACAAGCTTGAGAAGCAACTTAGGAAGCAGAAAGCCCAAGAGATGGCCGACGAAGCAGCTCGCGCTCACGCCGCTGAAGTGGCGCGCGCTCAAGAAGAAGGAAGAGATCCACCTCCTTGATCGCGGGATCAGGTCTTCCCTTTTCCTATCCCTGATTCTGCAAGTGCACAGATCAAAAGTAGTAAACGGGTATCGAACACAAGGAGCAGATAAGTACACTTCGAGTATTGCAAGTCTAATATAGCTAGAAAACAAGTATGATTTAGGGTTTTGATTGTGTAACAAGTAAATCAAACAGCAGATTAAACGGTTTATGAAAATCAATAGAGGGAAACGCTAGGCAATGAGAAACTCGCAGAGATTCAAGGTTAACAAGATATTAGAAGGTTTACTAGGGTTTGCGCTATCTAGAACTCAGGTCACGATTGTATGATCTTTCCACTGTCGAGGCTCCGACCCCTTTGTTAATCTACCTAGTCGCTAAACTTTTGGTATGTCCCTAGGTGATTAAATCAAGCAATAGTTCGTTCAAGACCCAATTGTTCACAACCCCGCATAGATCAACTTTCGCAGTCTATGAAGTTTTGCTCACCAAATACTTAGTTCAGGTTATATAGCAAGCTTTTGGAGAGTATATGAAACCTAAGATCTGATGCTAGTTGATCAGAAAAGCAAGCAGCAATGAAGTTCAAGCAGAGGCGAAGATGCGATATGATAAACCCTATGTGACTTCTAACAACCTATCAAACCATGAACTCTTTGATAGATCTCACAACCTAACTAGTGAATTACTCAGACATAATCAAAGCAAAAACACAAAGAGATGAAGAAAACATGATTGCAATAAAATCAAAGTATGAAATGTAATACAAGGGCGGCTCTCTTTCTCAAGAGGCTAAAAATCCATATATATAGTGCTAGGTCTTTCTAGAGGCGGCTTAGGGTTAAGCCGGGCTTGAAAACATAAGTTTGGGCTTCAAAAAGGGCTTCGGGTCGACCGCGGCGTTGGGACGGTCGTGCGGGACGATCGGCCGGACAGTCGGATCGTGGGCGAGTCGGAACGGTCGGGGTCGGACGGTTTCGCGGTCGGCCGGCGTGGTCGAGCGGATTGAAATTTGGCCGATGAGAATTCTCGGCCGGACGTGGGACGTTCTTTCCCGGCTCGGACGGATGCATCGGCCGTGGCACGCGAGATGGGTTGCGCGGCCGCGAGGCTTGTTCCCCGGCTCGCGCGCCTTGGTCGTGCGGTGTGGCGTGACGTTTGGCTTGGCCGACCGCGGGAATGTTTCCCGGGTCGTGCTGTGTGATCGGCCGAGTGGTTTGGACTTTGGCCGAGACTTCAGTCGGACGAATACGGTTTTGGCCGAGCGCAACATTCGTTCCTCGGCCAGCCGGTCTGCGCGGTTGGGCGCTGATTTCTCGATAGAGCCGTCTGGAGCAGTCTTCACTCTTTTGGCTATAACTCCTTTTCTACTCATCCAAATGGCCATTCCAATTGCGTTGGAAAGTTAACTCAATCAGAGCACGCAGGGAACTGGTCTTGATGAAATCCATTGAGTAGATCTTTTTCTGGGCCCTCTTAAAGTTGGTGCTTGTGCATGGAGCGGCTTGAAGTGCAAATCCTATGGTTTTGCTCCAAAATGCATCATTTCACCTGTTTAGACTCTAGACACTATAAACACAGTAAAACTACCTTTTTAGATAGAAAACCTGCCAAAAACCATTAGAAAACAATGCTAAAACAGTATAAAAAGTGGGTAAATTAGAGGTATATCACTCCTCCTCCTCCTAATCCACAAGACCCTGCTGGAGATGTGAACGCACAACCCCAAGCTGGAGCACCTACAATCGGAGACTATGACTCTGCCGATGCTTTCTTCATGGATAGAAACCCTATCCATCCACCACACCTGCAAGGAATGACTATGAGATCAAGCCTCAGATCATTGCATTGGTTAGACAGAACCAATTCAATGGACTTCCAGCTGAGCACCCTCTTGATCACATAGAAAACTTTGAAGAAATTTGCAGCACTACAAGATCCAATGGAGTCTCTGCTGACTACCTTAAGTGCAAGCTCTTTTCATTCTCTCTTGGCGACAAAGCTTCAAGATGGTTGAAGTCTCTGCCAGCTCACTCCATCACCACTTGGGATGAGTACAAGGCTGCATTCATCAACCACTTCTACACCAAGCAAAGATCAATTTCTGTAAGGAACAAGATCTCCACTTTCGCCAAGCAACAATGAATCTTTCTATGAGGCGCTAGATCGATTCAAGGAGTACATTAGGGACTGCCCTAATCATGGTTTCAATGAGGGAAACCTATGGAACATCTTCTATCGTGGCATAGACCACAAGTACAAGCTTTCATTGGACACAGCAAGCAATGGAAACTTCATGACCAAGACTGTTGATGAAGCTAAGGTTCTTATTGAGAATCTTGCAGCTAGTGATTGTAACAACTGTCCTGATTATGACCGCTCAAGCCGCACCACTACTAGCTCCCCTGATTCTTTTCAAATGACTGAACTCAAGAACATGATGGCTCAAGTTCTTAAGGGACAGCTCAAGCATATCAATGCAATAGAAGGGATGAGTGATGCTAATGAAGATTCATCAAGAGAATGCATGGGAGATTTCTCTAATGAAGCCAATGAAGAAGATGTGAACTACATTGGAAACTATGGGAACAAGGGATACAATCCAAGCTATCGCCCAAACCCCAACATGTCTTATAGAAACCCCAATGTGGAGAATCCTCAAGACCAAGTGTATCCTCCAAGGTATCCACAACAACAAAGACCTCCTTACCAATCTCAAGGAAGTCAATTTCAGCCAAGGCAAGGATATGAGCAGAGATCATCATATCCGCCCAAGGAGCCATATGCTTCTTCACCAAATCAAGCTCCTCCAAACCAACAAGGTGGGAGATTTGAAGGAATCCTCCAACAGATCATGGATGGCCAGAAGAGAAACACTAAAGAGATGTATGAGAAGATGGACACTTTGTTCAGCAATCTCAACACCAAGTATGATGCTGTTGCCACTCATGTGAAGAAACTAGAGACTCAAGTCACTCAAACTATGGAAGCTGTTAAGAGACAGGAAGCTGAATCCAAGAAGTCCTTTTGCAACTCAGCCGCCATAGAAGAAAGATTTGAAGACCAAGTTCCAGAATGGATGCTTTCAAAACCTACTGTTGATTGCATGATTTGGCCTGAAGAGAATTACCCAGAGAGAGAGTCCAATCGAGCTAGAAAGAGAAGACTCTTCCCAAAGATTATCCCCAAGACAGATAACTCAGGAAAGTTTGCTGTGCCTTGTATCATCAAAGGTAACATTCTTGAGCAATCTTTGTGTGACACAGGAGCCAATGTGAACATCATGTCTAAGAGGATAGCTGACAAGATAGGCCTCACCAAGATAGAGCCATCATCCATCTCCATCAACTATGCTGATTCATTCTCACAAACACCCTATGGCTTTGTGCCTAATGTGATGGTGCAGATTGGAAATTGCTCTATCCCTACTGATTTCCAGATTGTGGAAATGAGAGAGAGTAGCCATAGACCTCTCATATTTGGAACCCCTTTCCTGTCTACTGTGGGTGCCATATTTGATTTCCCCAATCAAAGAATCTCTTTCAACAAGGTGAACAAGGGTATGTTCTTCCCTATGTGTTCAACAAAGAACTCTTTTGTTGACATGGTCCAAGAGGAGAAAGCTACTTTGAAGCCACCCCAAGAAGGAGAAACTGAAGAAACAATCAAGGAAGATCCCATTCCTAAGCCCAAGCAGCTTGCCAAACAAGCAAGGAGTAAGACTAAGGCCCCTACACCAAAACCGCCCAAGGGATCAACCAAGATTGAAGATGAGGCCAAGCCAAGAAGGAAGGTTAGAAAACCTAGGTCTGGCCGCAACATGAAGCTTCTATTCCCAAAGGAGCTTATTGATGAGAATCTAGAAGGATTCAAGGAGAAAGTGACAAGAACTCTAAAGCTTTTTCCTAAGGCAGTAGTGCCAAGGGACATTCATGGAGAGATTGTCTATCCAGCTGTGAATCACCCACCAGATACTCATTGCAAGGAGAAAAGACTTGGAGGATCAAGGATGCCTCTTGTCTCCATCTTCTCCTGAGCGCCAAGCCTTACAGTCAAGCTAAAGACTTAAAACAAGCGCTGCATGGGAGGCAACCCATGAGGTACTTTTACTTTTCTTTCTTTAATTTTCTTAGTTTTTGTTTTGCTTTTGTGTTTTCTTTGTTTTAAGATAGGATAGAAGGAGAATTTGGCCGAGCAAATTCCAATCTGGTCGAGCCGGGAAGGAATAAGCCGTGCTCGGCCGGATCATTTCTACTTGCGCGACAGAAAACGTTCGCGCCACGCACGAACCGGGAAAGATCGGCCGCGATCGGCCGAAATTTTCGTATCGGAACGGACCGACCGTGCCGGTCGATCCGGGAAACAAACGATCGGCCTCGGCCGAAATCTCTCGCCAAAACGATTTGGCCGACCAAATCGCTCGACCGCGACAAAATCCATCGGCCATCGGCCCAAAACTTTTCTGGCCAAGGTAAGTCCCCTTTTCATTTAATTCAAAATCAAGACCTAAGAAAGTGTAAGAAGGCAATGGAGAAGGTGAACATCGAGCCATGTGTGAAGATGGACACCCAAACCCTTGATCTTCTCAAGATAAGAGATGATGTCACATGGTACATAAGGAGCTAGGCTTGAGCAAGCTCTTCAAGCTAGAATGTAGTGAGTACTCACAACTCACCAAGGAGTTCCTCTCTACAGTAGCTCTTGCCTTTCCCAACCACAATGGAGACCAACCAGCTGGTGAAGGACTCCTACTCTTCAAGATAGGCGATGCCAATGGGCGCATATCCATCTCAGCTCTATGCCAACTCTTTGGACTTCCCAATGAGACAGCACATGACTTCAAGGAGAACTCAAAGAGGAAACAAGCTGCCTTTGCTGATTGGACACACTTTGCCAATGAACCATTCTTGCCTTCAAGGTCAAAGGTGTCTAGAATCACTCATCCAGCCATTCGCTATGTGCACCGCCTCATCTCCACCACTTTCCAATGCAAACAAGAAGCCAACAAGGTCACAACTGATGAGTTCTACATCCTCACCACACCATTCATCAAGCATGAGTACAAGGCCAACCTTGGCCTTTTACTTGCCAAGACATTCATCAATGTGAGGAAGCTAGCTAAAGACTTGGAAGGCAACAAGAAGCTTTGTGTTCGTTTTGGGAGGCTTATCACGGCCATAGTACTGCATGTGGGGATTGACATTCCCAACTATGAGCCACTACCCAAGCCAACCCCTTTGGATCTCCATGCTCTTCAGCACATCCACTTCCTAAACCGTTGGACTAAAGACCCAACTCGGTTTTGCTATGAGTTTCCAATTGGTCCAGCCAACACTTCCCTTGTCTTGCTGCCACATGAGGACATCCCAAGCCTACGCTCAGGAGTTGTCACTTTCCAGCCCAATGAGGAAGAGTTCTATGTTCCATCAAGTGAGAAACCATCATTCCCCATGCTCACCTATCGCACACTTCAGCATGCAGTCAAGACTCAACGCCGCATCCAAGAACGCCATGTTCTCACTACTGGCATGGCTGCGCACCAAGCTCTAGACCGTGTTAACAAGCTGGAGAAGATCGTGGAATGCCAATCTCGCTTCATCTCACGCCTAGTCCGCGTAGTTCGCCACATTGCACCGGAGAGACTCTTTCGCCCTTCTTCCACCGCTAGAGAGCCATATGAGCCTGACCTTGGTGAGTTCTCACTAGACTCAGAGCTTGGTTCAGAAGGCGATGACCCCATAGATGAGGAAGAGAGTTCTTCTCACTGCCACACATAGTCATCTCAAGTGGTACTTAGTGCAATGGACACTTACAAATCTCCATTTTCTATCCCTATCTTATTTTAATGAATTTTTCTTTATTTTTCTTTTACTTTGAATATTACCTCTCACCTTAATGTGATTTGCTTTCACCTTGGTGATTCCTCCTTTCCTTTGGCATGGATCACACTTGGCGATGTAACTTGCTGCATCCTTGAACAGAGTAGGCCACCATAAACCATATTGTAAAACCTTAGTAGGGGTTTTGAATGTGGCAAACTGCCCTCCATAAGCAGACCCATGGCATTGCTCAAGAACTCCTTGAGTACTAGATTTGTCTCCTCACACCTCTGCAACACCCTGCACAAGTTAGACAAACATGAGGAGAAGGATGCTCCATAGACTGAGAAATCGTCCATGAAGACTTCTACCATCTCCTCTATCAGATCTGAAAAAATGGAGGTCATGCATCTCTGGAAAGTAGCTGGGCATTGCACAGCCCAAATGGCATCCTTCGATAAGCAAAGGTACCATAAGGGCATGTGAAAGTGGTCTTCTCCTGATCATTAGGGTGGATCGGGATTTGGAAGAAACCACTGTAACCATCAAGAAAACAATAAAAAGGATGGTTTGCTAATCTTTCTAACATCTGATCAATGAAAGGGAGAGGGAAATGATCCTTTCTAGATGCTGAATTTAACTTCCTATAGTCAATACACATGCGATGCCCCACTATTGTTCTAGTGGGAATCAGCTCCTCTTTGTCATTTTTAATGACAGTGATCCCCCCTTTCTTTGGGACGCAATGAACTGGAGATATCCAAGTGCTATCACTGATGGGATAGATTATCCCAGCATCAAGCAACTTGAGTATCTCTTTCTTCACTACTTCCTTTAGATTGGGGTTCAATCTCCTTTGAGGTTCAATGCTTGACTTACTTTCATCCTCTAGATGAATCCTATGGATGCATAGGTCAGGGGAGATCCCCTTGATATCATCTAGAGTGTAACCTATTGCTTTTCTGTACTTCCTCAATTCAACAAGCAAAGCACTCAACTGTTCAGGTTCCAAATCAGAGTTCACAATGACAGGGTAAGTTGAGTTTTCACCCAGAAATGCATACCTGAGGCCCTCAGGCAAAGGTTTGAGGTCGACTTTAGGCGCCTTGAGCTCAGACCAATCTCCTTGAGCTTGCTCCTTGCATTCAGTCCCCAGCTCGATCGAGTTCGTTTGTTCGAGGCTCGACTCGATCGAGCTCACTGCCATGACTTCGCAAACTGGCCTGTCCAACCCCTCAATGCTCAGAATGTTTGGAACTGGTCTGAAGGTGTCAAGGAGCTTCTTGTACTCATCAGTTTCTGAGCTCACATATCCTTCTGAAGAATCCTTGGTCAAAGCAACTTGTAGGGATCCTCTGATAACTCTTCTAAAAGCTCATCTGCCAACTGATCCATTTCCTCAACATAAAAGAGCTGACCTTCTATAGTTGGTTTCCTCATTGTATCCTTGATATCAAACTTCATCCTTAGGTCCTTTCCCAAGTTTAGCTCAATTGTTCCTTCACAGACATCTATCATTGCTCTTGCTGTAGCTAGGAATGGCCTTCCTAGTATCAATGGATCTGTTGGTTCCTCATCCATCTCCAAGCACAATGAAGTCGGTGGGGATTTCTACATTCCCTATCCTCAAAGGCAGGTCTTCAAGCATTCCAGTTGGTAACCTTATCGATCTATCTGCCAAGACTAGTGAGATTCCGCAGGCTTGATACTTGTGATATCCCAGTCTCTTTGCTACAGACAAAGGCATGAGGCTGACAGATGATCCTAGATCGCAGAGGCTGTTTTTGAAAGATAGGGGTCCCAACATGCAGGGCAAAGTGAAACTCCCCGGATCTTCCTTTTTGTCGGAGATGACCTTCCGCTGAATGATTGCACTGCACTCACGAGTCAACACTACCATCCCTTGTGCTTCCCTGGTTCTTTGCTGAACAGCATCCTTCAGAAATTTCTGATAAGGTGGAATGAGCATCAAGGCGTCGATGAAAGGCAACTTCAGCTCAAGCTGTCTCATTAGTTCATCAAACTTGGCCTTGTGTGCTTCCAACAGTTGTTTCTTGAATGGTAGGGTGGTCCTGCTGGAGTGTCTTTCTTCTTTGCAACAGGTTTAGTTGGTTGGCTGGAGCTTGCTTTGTCTGTTCTCTTCTGGCTCGATCGAGCTCTGGTTTGTCTTGAGTCTCGGTTTCTTCAGCTCGATCGAGTTCTGGTTCAGGGTTTTGTTCCAGCTCGATCGAGTTCGGTCGAGTATCAGCATACTCGACCAAATCCTCCCCTTCCTCGTCATCGATGTCCACAGCGATTTGGGGTGGGCTACCTGCTTGGAATTGCCGCCCACTTCTAGTGTAACTGCTTGGGCATACTCTTGTGGTGAAGAGGATGATGCACTAGAAGACTCAATGATTTGGACTCTTGAAGTCAATGACTCTAGTTTGAGTGTATCTCAACCAACTTGTTGTTCATTTCCAGAACCTTTGGCTTGCCCTTGTAGGAGTTGTTGGAGCATATCCTTCATATCCCAATCTTGAGCTTGGTTGGGTATGAGTAGTCCTTGGTTGAAGCCTTGTGGAACACTGTGTTGTTGCGGCCAGGGGGCTTGGATATTGTTGTATCTCCTTGTTGAGGATTCCTATAGCTCCTTGTCTATTTTGAATGTAGCAAACCTCTTGTGTTGTCTCCTCCCCTTCCTGGTCTTGACTAAGGTTTGTTCTGAGACATAGTTGACATGCTTGGCAGGGAATTGGGCTAGGATCAGTTTGTCCAACTTCGATTGATGCAAGCATTCTTTTCTCATTGTCTGACTCGATCGAGTGTGCGGTCGAGCTCCAGTTGGTATCATACTCTTCTCCATAGCTTCCATTTGAGTTGGCTATGTTCTCCACAAGTTGCCAGCCATCATCTACATCCTGGTTGAGGAAGTTCCCATTGCTAGCTGTGTCTAGCATCTCCCTATACCTAGGCAAGCATCCTCTATAAAGAGTGGAGAGTAGGATTCATTGTTGAATCCATGGTGTGGGCACTGACTTGTGTAGCCTTTGAACCTCTCCCAAGCCTCTGCGAATGTCTCATTGTTTCGCTGGATGAAGCTGGATATCTCTCCTCTAAGCTTGGCTGTGCGACCGGTGGAGAAAAACTTAGCAAGAAAGGCCTTCTTGCATTCATCCCAAGTGGTGATTGTGCCATGGGGCAAGCTCTTCTCCCATTGGTGAGCTTTGTCAGCTAGAGACATAGGAAAGAGTCTCAGCTTGATGGCATCTTCAGAGACACCATTGATCTTTGTCAAATCACAAAGCCTATCAAACTCATCAAGGTGGTCAATGGGGTCTTCACTTGGCAATCCATGGAACATCTTGTTCTGACAAGGTTGATCATTCCCAGCTTGATCTCAAAGTTGTGGTTCTGCACTGGTGGTGGAACAATCCCTTGTCTCTGTTGGTGGCGGTTTGGAGCATCTCCTTGACCAATCGGTCGAGTTTGCCTAGCTCGACCGAGTCCATTGCCCAAAGGGTTTCCATTCCCCTCTGGTACATCCATTGTATCAGCAACAAGCACCTCAGGTTCCTCTTGTACCCTCTGTGACCTCTGAACCCTCTTTCTACCCGTTGTAAGTCTAGCTCGACCAAGTCTTCTGTAGACCGACTCGATCGAGTTCGCATACACCTGCAAAAAGAGACAAAAACCCAGCAGTACAATAGAACAGGGGTGGTATAGCTTGATCGTCCAAGTGTTTGAAACTCAAATCCCAAATCGGCAACGGCGCCAAATTGATGATAGGATTTGTGTGTGGATGAAAGATATGAAATGAGATGTGGTGGAATGCAACAGTGGTATATGATGAGGTGGTAAGATGCAAACACAAACACAGTCAACAATTCCCTTTAACCATCATAGTCAGTTATAGTAAAGGGTTATCAATCCAAAATGGGAAACTTGTCACTCTATGAGAATATGAAAAACAAGGAAGTCAAGCAAGCAGTAAATGATATGGGGTAACACTAACAACCTAAATGAAAAGAAATGCAATGCAGTAAGTAAATAAAGCAGTAGAGCAACAGCTCGACCAAGGACTCGAGTCGAGTGGAACAGAGTACCGAGCTCGATCGAGTTTAGGGTCGAGTTGAAAAAAAGCATAAAGGCAGCGACTTTAACAAGCTAATGCGAGAATTAGGGTCAAGACAGGGTTTTGCAATCAGAGGAAGCTATACTTAATCAATCTTGCTCTTAAAACTCCTTGTATCAAGGCTTCTCTTGATATTGGGCTTCTCAATGCCTAGCTAACCCTTTCCCAAGGTGAAAGCTATCAACCAAAATGATCTCAGAAACAGGGGGTTAGCCAGTGAGAATCAAACCTTGGAGGCCATAGGATCATTGCCCAAACTAATCCATCCAACCCCTTAGACCTCATTTCTAGAGCAAGAGATATTGGAGCTCTTAGTGGATCTTTTCCAGCGATTTCCATCACTTCCATGTGGAGAATCGCCTAAGGACATACAAGCCAGGGGTAGTGGTCATGTAGCCTTAAGATTATCCAAAAGAGAGAGATCTAGATTAAGACCATAAGCAAGAAGGATTAAGCATAAAACCTCTAATCTATCCCATCTCAAACCCTAATGGGTAACTACTCACTACACATGAATGTAAACACAAGCAAATGCAATAAAAGAGACATCATAAGAAAGAGGAGATGAAATAAACAACTTTTATTGAAATAAGCAAGTGCAAATACAAAAGAGATTATCCAGGATCTAGGATTCAAGAAGCAAGAGCTTCAAGAACACAAAGATGGGATTAGAGCTCTAAAAAGTAAAAGACAATAATTAAAAGAAACTAAAACAAAAGTAATCTAAAGCTTGGTGGTTTTTTCGTGGCTTTTAGCCTTTAAATACAAGAGGATTAGGTTTAGGGTCAAAGGAAAGTCAAGGGGGAAGCAACATTTTTCGGGTTTGACTTTGACTTCTCAGCTCGATCGAGTTGAAGCTTGGCCGGTCGAGTTGAGGAACTCGACCGGTTGGTCGAGTAGGTGGTCGAGCTGGTCTTCAAGATGGCTTCCTCCTTCTTCCTTTGCGTATCCAGTTGAGCTGCGTCCATGCCAAGTCCCTTCCATGCTCCTCACGTCCCATATGCTCCAGAATGCTCCAAAAGACCTATTTCAAAGGACCAAACATGCATATGTATGCAAATGCAACCTAAAACTACTATGAATGCATAAGAAGAGAAAAGGAACAAGATATGATGCTAATGGATGCTAAAACTATGCAAAAGATGCATAAAAGATGTACTAAAACTATGTAAAATGCAAGTACATCAAAAACCTTAGCCTCTCTTTGTGTTCTTGAGCTCTTGCTCTTGAACCTTAGATCTAGGCCTTATCTTTCTGTATTTGCACTTGCTTATCTCAATAAAAGTTCTTTAGTTTCTTTCCCTCTTTCGTTTAATTTCTCCTTTATTGCATTTGGTTATGCATTTCATCATGTGTAGTGAGTAGTTCTCTTTAGGGTTTAAGATGGGCTAGACTAGAGAAACTCTTATGCTTAATCTCTATTGCTTTATGTTCTTAACCTAGAAATCTCTCTCTCTTTGGAGGAGCCACTCTCAACTATCCAACCTATGACAAAGAGCTCTATGCCTTGGTCCGCGCCTTACAAACTTGGCAACACTATCTCTGGCCAAAGGAGTTTGTCATCCACACAGACCATGAATCTCTCAAACATCTCAAGGGCCAACAGAAGCTCAACAAGAGGCATGCCAGGTGGGTTGAATTCATTGAGACATTCCCATATGTCATCAAGTACAAAAAAGGTAAGGACAATGTTGTAGCCGACGCATTGTCCAGGAGGTACACTCTTCTCTCAACTCTTGATGCTAAACTCTTGGGCTTTGAACAGATAAAAGACTTGTATGCTTCTGATTCTGATTTTGCTGAGATTATAAGTCTTGTTCTAAGTTTGCTTTTGGCCGATATTACCAACAAGATGGGTTTCTCTTCTATGAGAACCGTCTCTGTGTGCCTAATTGTTCTTTGAGGGATTTGTTTGTCAGGGAAGCACATGGAGGAGGCTTGATGGGACACTTTGGTGTGGCCAAAACACTTCAAGTCATGCGTGATCACTTTCATTGGCCGCACATGATCAGAGATGTGGAGAGGATTTGTTCTAGATGTGCAACTTGTAAACAATCCAAATCTAAGGTTCAACCTCACGGTTTGTACACTCCTCTCCCTATTCCATCTCATCCCTGGACTGATATATCCATGGATTTTGTGCTTGGATTGCCTAGGACTAGAACTGGAAAAGATTCTATCTTTGTGATAGTTGATAGGTTCTCAAAAATGGCTCATTTTGTAGCATGTCATAAGACTGATGATGCATCTCATGTAGCTGCTCTGTTCTTTAAAGAGATTGTTAGATTGCATGGCATGCCGCGCACCATTGTTTCTGATCGTGATACAAAGTTCCTGAGTTATTTTTGGAAAACTTTGTGGTCTAAGTTGGGTACTAAGCTTTTGTTTTCTACTACTTGTCACCCTCAAACTGATGGCCAAACTGAAGTTGTTAATAGAACTCTTGGAACTTTGTTGCGCGCCTTGATTAAAAAGAATCTTAAAAGTTGGGATGAATGTTTGCCACATATTGAGTTTGCATATAACCATGCTGTGCATTCTGCTTCTAAGTTTTCTCCTTTTGAAATTGTTTATGGGTTTAAGCCCATCTCTCCTTTGGATTTGATGCCTTTGCCTTTGAGTGAAAGATTAAGCACAGATGGAAAGCACAAGGCAGAAACAGTCAGGAAGATCCATGAGCAGGCCAGAAGGAACATTGAGGCTAAAACCAAGCAGTATGCTCAACAAGCCAACAAGGGCCGAAAGGAAAGTGATCTTTGAAGTGGGAGACAAGGTTTGGATCCATCTGCGCAAAGAGAGATTTCCGGCCGAGCGCAAATCCAAACTTATGCCAAGGATAGATGGACCATTTGAGATCACCAGAAGAATCAACAACAACTCCTACAAATCGATCTTCAAGGTAAGTACAACATAAGTTCCAGTTTTAATGTTACTGATCTTTCTCCTTTTCTTGCAGATGAACCAGATTTGAGGACAAATCCTTTTCAAGAGGGAGGGGATGATATGATCATGGAGGAGGTTGCTAGGAACTTGGACCAGGAAGCAGCTGGAGAGCTTGTAGCTGAGGAGGAGCAGCTTGAACCTGAGGAAGCTTTGGAGCTTTGACCTATACCAACTGGTCCCAGTTACAAGGTCCCAAACTAAGTTGCTCAACCAAGACATTGGAAGAGTACTTAGCCGTTTGAGTCGGCATGATCAGAGCTTAAGCATTCCACTTGGTTTGTTTGAGGCCCAACACTTGGGATAAAGAGCAAGTGGTTCTTAGTGTGCTCTTTTTCCCTATCAAGGTTTTGTCCCTTTGGGTTTTCCTTGATAGGTTTTTAATGAGGCCTAAGACCCACTTCCAAATCACCTCTCTTATCCTTTGTGCTTGGGTCCGGCCCAAAACTCTTCTCCACTGCCAAATCTTGCCGCCCAGAAGAGTCTCCTATGTTCAAACTTGCATTTATGTTTTGTTTCATTTTCGAGATTGACTGGAGCTTGTTCCAATCTCTCTCTCTCTCTCTCTCTCTCTCTCTTCTCTCTCTCTCTCTCTCTCGTTTTCCTTTAAAACTCTGAACTCCTTCTTTGTTTCTGGTTATCAAACTTTTAATCTAAAACCTCTTTTGTTTGTTTACTCAAACTTCTTAGTGTGTAATATCTAAGATCCTTAGTGTTCTTAGGGTGAGTCATATCCTTAAGAATTCTATCTCTTGTTCTTCTTCTGGTGCGTCATATCCTGGAGAGTCAAGCCTTGTCCATCTCTTGGTGTGTAATATCCTTGAGATCAACAAGCCTGGTGTTGAGAGATCCTTCCACAGATCTCTTGTTATAGCCAATCGATCATCCCCTTTCAATCCATCAGATGCTTGTCAAAGAATGGGAAATATAAGCAAAAGAAACGAGATTCCACAAAACTTTATACTAGAAGTTGAAGTTTTTGATGTTTGAGGTATAGATTTCATGGGTCCTTTCCCAACCTCTTTTGGCGACCAGTACATCCTAGTTGCACTCGACTATGTCTCCAAATGGGTTGAAGATATTACTAGCCGTACTAATGATGCACATGTGGTCATCAAAATGTTTAAATCAATCATCTTCCCAAGGTTTGGAGTACCTCGAATTGTCATAAGTGATGGAGGGTCACACTTCGTCAACAGAATCTTTGCCAACCTTCTGAAAAAACATGGAGTAACTCACAAGGTCGCCTCTCCATACCATCCTCAAACAAGTGGGCAGGTCGAGATTTTAAATAGAGAACTCAAAATCATACTTCAGAAGACGACAGGAAAGACAAGGAAAGATTGGAATGCCAAATTGGATGATGCTCTATGGGCATACCGCACTGCCTTCAAAACACCACTTGGTACAACTCCTTTCCATCTTGTTTATGGTAAAGCTTGCCACCTTCCTGTGGAGCTAGAACACAAGGCCGCTTGGGCCATCAAGGAGTTGAACTTCAACCTAAAGACCGCGGGAGAAAGGAGGCTAATCCAGCTCAATGAGCTCGATGAAGTTCGCCACTTGGCATATGTAAACTCCAAGATCTACAAGGAGAAAACAAAAGATTTCCATGACCGGAAGATAATTCCAAAGAGCTTTGCCCCAAACGACCAAGTATTTCTGTTCAACTCAAGACTAAAGCTCTTTCTAGGGAAGCTTCGTTCAAGATGGTCTGGACCATTCAAAATTAAAGAAGTCAGACCCTATGGAGCAGTAGTGCTTTGGGATCCAATGAGAGGAGATTTCACAGTCAATGGACAAAGGTTAAAACCTTACCTCGCCTCCACCTCAATACCACAAGAGACTTCACTCGCTCTTGCTGACCCACCAGATCTTTAGAGACACCATACGGTCAAGCTACTGACCTCAAAAGAGCACTAAATGGGAGGCAACCTATTACCAAGGTCACTTTTACTTTTCTTTTTCAAGTTAGTTTTATTTTCTTTCTTTATCTCGTTTTGAAAGCTCAGAAACAAGGAATTCAACACCAAACAGATGCAGAGAACAGTTACATCCTCTTCTATATTCACAAACAACATTACTATCTTTTTTGTTCTACTCCCTTAATTGGATTTCCCTTTACCGAGACGGTGAAAGACAAGTCTGGGGGGATTACATATACTAATGCGTTTGTTCATTTTCTTATCCCATGATTGAATTATTGATTCTGAATTTTCCATGTCATTTTGTTTTATTGAGTCAAAACCTAGTCCGGAAATTATGAACTTGCTTTGAGATTTGACAGTGTTGTGCTACCAATCTATGACCCTAGAACAAACATCAGCTAAAGGCACAAGCCTAACAGAAGCTCCAACAGTGGATCGACATGCTAGCTCAGCGAAATTTCTAAGGTAACCAAGCAATCTAAAGTTAACCTCACCCTTAATCAATCTTAATAACTCTTGTCAAGGGGATTGGCATACATATTGAAAGTTCCTTGCTTGAATTTTAATGAGATATGTCTAATCTTAAGTGCAGTTCCTCTCTCTCTCCCATCCTGAAAATAAAAATTTGTATGAGAAAAAGCTTTTAAGCAAAAGGAAAACAAGTAAGCATGAGGAATGCATATGCATGTACCTTCATGTCTTATGGAATACCTTATTCAAACAAGGAACAAGCAAAATACTTATCATGTGTTGATAGAGGGGTCGATAGAAAAAATAAAATTACACCCTAGAAAAGTAGGGAAAAATCGAACCTTCAAAAGATCTAGATGTGAGAAAGAGAGAGGAAAAGAACTCAATGTACTTCAAAGACTGTCTTGGAGGAGATCAAGTAGGTAAGAACAAGTGCTTAATGATCAATATTCTCTTGATAAAGAACTCACGCTTTAAATTTATGCAAGAGGTTAGTTGAGTTACTTGTTGAGACTAGTTGAGTTGGTATTGTTCGCTAAACTTGCAGGGTGTATGTGAAGCTAACCTTATGTTGTCTATGTTCTTAGTGGAATACAGGAAAGGAACCCTTCACAACATTTTCAAAGGAGGCAAGGAAGTTTCCACGTTTTCAAACCTCTTTCACGGATTTAGATTTTCAAAGATCTAAGTCTGGGGGAGGTTATATACCTCTATTTTATATGCTTTTTATACTATTTTACTATGGTTTTCTAATGGTTTTTAGAAGGTTTTCTATCTAAAAATGTAGTTTTATTATATTTATAGTACTAAGAGTCTAAACAGGTGAAATGATGCATTTTGGAACAAAACCACAAGATTTGCACTTCATCCCGCTCCATACCGAAGTATCAACTTTGAGAAGGCCTGAAAAATAGTCTACTCAATGGATTTCATCATGACTGGTTCTCTGAGTGTCATGAGTGAGTTAACTCTCCAACTCAACTGGATTCGCATCATTTGGATGAGTAAAAACGGAGTTATAATCAATTTAGCGAAGACTGGTCCAGACGGCTTTAACCGCGCAGCAGCGGCAAAGACCGCGCGGAACATCACGTCCATACCGCCTAGTGCACGGCCAAGCGCACATACCAACCCGGGAAGCAACTGCCCGTGGTCGACCCATTCAGTCTCACGGCTATGTGCCGCGCACGACCACGGTACGTAAACAGGAAGGCATCGCCTTGCGTTCGTCCTGACTGCGCACCACCCGTATACCATGCACGATCTCACCGTCCGACCAGGAAGGCATCGTCCCGCGTCCGGCCAAAACATTTAACAAAATCCATCCGCCCGGCCGAACCCGACGACCGAACGTGAATTCTCTCGGCCACGATCGACCCGATCGTACCGATGGCCAATCATAACCCAATAGCCAGCCGAACGTCCCGACCGACCGTCCGAAGCCCGTTTTGAAGCCCGGTTCACAAGTTTTCACGGCCCGACTTGACCTAATGCCGCCTCTAAAGACCTAGCACTATATATACAACTTTTTAGCCTCTTGAGAGAGAGATAGCCGAATATTGTATCACGATTTACACTAGAGTTTTATTCTAGAGATTTTAAGGAGAAAATCTCTCCTCCTTACTTTAATTTGGAGAAGTATTCTAAACTTTTATCTATCTATGATGTTTACTTCATCTCTTTGTGTTATTGCCTTGACCATGTCTGAGTAATTCACTAGTTAGGTTGTGGGATTTATCAATGAGTTTATGGTTTGATAGGTTGTTAGAAATCGCTTAGGGTTTATCTTATTAAATCTTCGTATGCACTTGAATTCATTGCTGCTTTCTTTTCTCATCAACTAGCATCAGATCTTAGGTTTCATATACATTCCAAAAGCTTGCTATATAACCGGAACTAAGTGTTTGGTGAGCAACACTTTATAGACTGCGAAAGTTGATCTATGTGGGGTTGTGCACGATTAGGTCTTGAACGAATTAATGCTTGATTTAACTATCTAAGGACATACCAAAAGTTTAGCGATTAGATAAGTTAACAAAGGGATCGGAGCCACGACAGTGGGAAGATTCTACCTTCGTGATCTGAGTTCTAGATAGGGCGCAAAAACCCTAGTGAACCTTTTTATCATCTTGTTAACCTTGAATCTCTGCGAGTTTCCCATTGCCTAGCGTTTCGTGCATCTTGATTTCTTAAACCGTTTAATCTGCTTGCTTAGTTCTTTAGTCATTAAAACCAACAAAACACAAAAACATACTTCCTTTTCTAACTAAATTAGACTTGCAATACTCGTAGTGTACTTATCTGCTCCTTGTGTTCGATAACCGTTACTACTTATGATTTGTGCACTTGCAGAGTCAGGGATAGGGATAGGTAAAACCTGATCCCGCATCAATGGTTCAACCTCACCATCATCCTCGTCGTCTCAGCCACCGCAAAATAACCTTAACCAGATACCTCCAGAAAATCAGCCCAACATGGCCACACGTTCCAAAGCAGGTATCGCTAAACCCAATCAAAGATATCTCATGCTTGCTGCGGTCAGGGAAGCCCTAGGCCACGAAATAAAAGAGATCATCCGCTGAGTTTTGGTCTTTTGTCATTTTGTGGAGGCTGAGTTCGTGAGAGAGGAGAAGGGAGGCGATTTGACGGATTGGGTGGTGTTCTTCATCGATCTGTGGTGTTTTGTGGCTGTTCTTCCTTGCTTCTTCTCTTTTCCTCTGTTTTCAATCCGATTTGAGGTGAGTGCATGACTGTAGGTCCGCAATTGCTAGATTTGGTTTGATTGGTTGATTGTTCTTGAGTTGTTCATGTTGATTATGTGTTATCTAGTGTTGTTTGGGTGTAATTCGTGTGGATTTGGTGTTTTCTGTGATTTTCGTGCTGTTTTGTTGAAGGAAGAATCGGTCTCTGGAACTAGTGTTGGTCGACACAAGTGGCTGGTGTCGACCGACACCAAGCGGGTGCGCTCGACACTGACCGGTTCAGTCCGGTTCAATTGAAATTAAAATTGGTTTAAATTGATTTAATTTAATTGGTTAAATCTGGTTATATGGTTATTTGGTTAAATTCGTATTTAATTAATTAATGTGTATTTTAATTAAATGGCTTAATATAATTATTTTAATTATTTTAAAATATGGAAAATTATTATTTTATTATGAGAATTATTTAATAATTGAGAAATGAAGTTTTAATTATTAAAAACCATTTAATAATTGGAAAATGGAATTTAATAATTATTGGAGTTTATAATAATTATTTAAATGTCTAGTAAATTGCCTAAATGGCCTGTAGGCAGAGTGATTGCTGATAAGTAGGATTTTTCGTATCAACTACCCTCAATCCATACTACTCATGTCATTGTAGTGGTTAAGGTGTCAATCCAAGTGGAATTTCAAACAATCAAGATAAAGAAATGACAAAGATCAAGTTATGATGAAAAGATTGGGTTTTTGGTTGTAAAGATCTATGCTTTAAGCTAACAAGATGATAAAAGGTTTAAACTTTAACAATATAAGAAGAAAGGAGGCGTCTTGGGTGAGATTAAGTTGGGGTTGACTGAGCTCAAACTCGCTCTACTCAAACCGCCCAAGACTCAAGCCTTGCGCTTAGACCTTTGGTAAATTCGCCACTCTCGTGGTCAGATCGCTTTGTAAACTCGAATCTCAAAGCTAGCTCTCGCTAGTGAGCTTAAAGCTACAAGCTTTACAAGATCTAGTCTAATATAGCACAAGAAACATCCCAACAACCAATCTCTTAGGTTGGGAACGTTTCCCTCTTTAGCTAGTTCTTTTAGGCAATAACGCGAACACCTTCTAGGTGGTTCTTGCAAAGATTCACGACTTTAAGTGATCAAGAAGAAGCCGCAATATTTCACTCTAGCTAAAGAAAGACTGGTCAAGGGAGATTAAGGATGAGGTCAACAGGAAGCTAAAGCTCCAACCTTTCCTTATCTCACCCTCGAAACCTCTAAGAAACTACTCGCTACTCATACCCGAACAAAAAGCAAAGAGGTAAAGAAAGCTAGAAATCATCATTAAGACAAGATTAGCAAACTAAGTACTTCTTAAACTTAAAATATTCAAAGTAAAAGCTTACAAAAGATCTCCAAGAACAAACAGTTTTTCTTGAGCAACTTCCTCAAGCACTATGTTTCCTTTTGCTCAATGCTCTGTTCCGTCTAGCTTGTTTTGCCATCCAATTACTCCGATCTCCTTCTGGTCCATCTCCGATCATCAACTCCGGTCTGCTCCTTCGCCATAAGCTCCAAATACCTGATAAATGCACCCCAAATGCAATGGAAATGCAAAATGCTAACCTAAAAGCTAAATGATCCTAAGTAGACTAAATCAACACTAAGAGCATCTCCAACCCAGCCCCATATTTCAACTTTATTGCTATTTTAGAGTCAATTTTGCTCCAACTCAATCCCATTCTCAATCTCAAAATGGCAAAATGCCATATTTTTTTCCCAAATTGAGGTTGATCCCATTTTCATTTCCATTTTGGAGTTGAAGTTTTTAAATTATATAGCAGTCCTTGAAGTTTTAAATTATTTCAGTTTACATATAAGTAATTATTTTGAAGTTTATTTTTACCCTAAAAATACAAATAACACATATTTAAAAGGAAATTTAATTATTTAAACTAATAATAAATTTAAAAGGAAATGAAAAGTTTCATAATTAATTTAAATAATTATAATAAATTGTGAAAATTTTGAAGAAAACAAAATTATGGGGCAATTTGTAATATATATAAATATACTATATAAATTTAGTAATTAATAAAAAGTTTTGAAGTAAAAAATGAGGCAATACATTGGAGCAAAACCCAACTCCATTTTGAGATTTCTTCATTTTGGAGTCAAATATGAGGCAATACATTGGAGATGCACTAAATGTCATGAAATGAGACTCAATTGTACACAGAACCATGCAGAATACGAGGCTAAATGTATGCAAATGTTGAGTATATCAACACCCCCACACTTAGTCTTTGCTTGCCCTCAAGCAAACATCAACCAAATGTAATAGTGTTCATCTGAGCAATAGAGTCAAGTGAAAGACGAGAAGAGAAATCAATTCAACAACCTAGTTCCAAGGTCTAAAGCGCAAAGGATGTTCTCTACTTTAAAAATCTTAGCCGCACCTTCATAATCACAATCAATGACAACTAGTTCAACCTAAACACGCCTTCAAATCCTCTACTCCTTTTAACATTCATTAGAAGCATAAACGGTGAATCAAAACACATGCAAGTCAAGTTAACTCGTTTGGCCGATAGAAAGAGAGAGAGCAATTCAAACAATGCAAGCTCAGGTCAAATGACAAAGGGAAGGGTTCTCTCAAGATGAAGTGAAATAGCTTCGGCATAATGCTAAAGGCGAGAACCAATTGGGAAGTACAAGGACAAATGATCATCTACCCGAAACCCCAAGTACCTTTTAAGAATTCGCAAACCCGAAACTTCCTATTTCTACCCTTTTCCCTTTGGGTTTTTATTTTCCTTTCCTTTTTCTGAGAGCTTTTGGAAACTTTAGCAAATTTTTCTAAGGCTTTTTGATAGATAAACCTGAGAGACTTGGTCTAAACTCTTGCCCTAACCCATCTTTCTCTTTTTGATTTTCTTTTCTTTTCTTTTTTACTTTTTGTTTTCCGATGGGGGCTATCTTAAACACACAGACCAAGCTCTAAACAATCCTTAGCGAAAACTTTTCTTTTTGCTCACAAACTCTTTCTTTCTTTTCTTTTTCTTAGAATCCCAACCCGAGACATTCCCAAACCCAAATCCTAACCTAGTCTGGCCCAAAAAGCGTGGACCAGAATCTAAATGATCACTCGTCCTTGTCGGCTCAAGTCCTAACACCTTATGCTAAGCTTTTCAAAGAGGCCTCACAACACACAAGAACAACATTTTGGCTTGAAAGGAAGGGTTAGTTAAGGGCAGGGAGTTCTACTTGAATCAATCAAAGAGGGATGAACAATAATGCAAAGATGATTCAAGTATGTATAGTCCACGAGTTAAACTTAACAAGCATGAGCATGATAATTGATGTTCAGGTTCAGGTTTCTCTTAAGCAAGGAGTAGATTCAAATCACAGCAATGCATTCGGTTTTACTAAGATAGCCATGATGCTTTTAGATGATGCGGTTCTACCTTAACTTCAAGAACTATCAAATGCGCCAAACAACTTAGAACTAGGACACTGAAGCAATTCCACAACTCAATCAATCAGCTCAACAAACATTGCTCAAATGCAAAATGAAATGATCCTAACTACATGCTTTGTTTTGGATTGTTTTTTTTATATATGCATGAATGAAAAACGAAAATTCTACATGATTTTCTAGAGATGCAAATGCATGAGACTCAAGGGTTATGCAAAATATAAAATAAGAACATAAAGCACTTGGTCAAATACCATTGACCCTCTCCCCCACAGTTAGTTCACATGGTCCCTTGTGTGATAAAAAGGCAGAAGAGAGAATCAAAGCAAAAAATAAGTGAAAAATAAGAAAACAATGCATGCTATTTACAGATTGGGGGTCATACCATTTAGAAAGTTCCTGAGGAGGATGATGTGGAAACATCCTTTGTGGCTGAGGGAGGTGGCTTTGAGGCCTTCCTCTTTCTTCCTGAAGTTTCTGCTGTTTGGAATTTGGAGGTGCCCTAATCATCTTGTTCGGAATCGGCGACAATGTTGTCGTCATCGATGGAGTAGAGGTGTATCGGAGGAGTGTTGATGGAGTCATGGCTTGAAGACTTGCTCTTGCTCTTCGTGAGCTGCTTGATGCGCTTCCCCATCTTCTTCACGGTCTTGAGGAGGGACTTGATCGCCTTGTCCTGGAATTGGTTCCAGGCCTTGAGCGTGTTGATGCTCTCAAGCGCGGTGCTAGCCGCGGATTTCCTCCCTTTTATCTCGTGATTCTTGAAGTGAAAGCCTCATGTTTTGTAGTCCATGAGGGTCTCTTCGTCTCCTGAGCTCTCGTCCATGTCAGCTGCCCATGGGTAGTCGTACTCTTCCTCCTCTTGGCCTTGTTCGAGAATGGTCTCGATAGGAGGCTCAAAGTCTATGTTCTCCCTAACTGTGATGTAGGTCAAGGGTGGGTTTGGCAGGAAGAAACTCGCTAGTCCGAAGTTAAACTGCCTGTAGGCGAACTGATAGTTGTGGCGTCCGCTGATAGATTGACCTCGGAGATAGGTGGTCTTGCGGAGGTACTGGATGTTCATCGACAGAGGGTCGACCGGCTTCTCAAGCGTGATCCCAGAGTGTATAAGGATCGGCGTTATGAGCCCTCCACAGCTCAGCTGACCGCTACTTGCCTGGTGCACTCTGTTGAGAGAGAGAGCATACTCTCTGTAGCTGAGGAAACTCTTGAGGAGGTAGGTTGCTACGCTGTTCCCTGATCTGTCCCCCACCATCTCTGTTCCATCAGGCAGCGTGTGAATGACCTTCTTCATTCCCTCGTTGAGAAAGAAGAGCTCCTTCTCATTGACACCAGTCACATCGCGCCTTGCATAGATGGTGTGAGCGAGGGCCTTGTGGACGTATCTGAGCGTGGGGTTCCTGATGTGCGTGCTCTTGGCAGTGCTGGACATGTACTCGCTGATGCGGCATCTATGGGATGAGTACAAGTAATAATTCCCTAAGACAACTAGTGTTGCAAGTGCACAACATATAATTGTAGTATTTAGGGGTCGAACCACAAGGGATTGGATTTCACACATTACATAATCATAGAGTTTAAATGACTAAGCTAAATCAAAAGATGCAAGGGTTTGTGTTTGTTAGAACACGCAAAAGAAATAACAATGCAATTCTATACAAGCAACATTATTGAACTATTGAAAACTCTTTTGAAAACATGAGCCAAGTCGATTGAAAAGTTTGTTAAAATCCGATTCTTTTGAACTCAAAACACTAAGGAAGGATTATTCCACTTTCGTGGTTCCAATCCCCTATGTCTCTTAAACCAATGGGCTCAGCTTTCGTTGGTCATTGTAGAGTGAGACATGCATTACATCCAAGTAATGATTGTTCACAAAACTCTTTAGGTCTACTTTCGTAGCCTAAAACGATTTGCCCATCAAATACTATATCCGGAGATATAACAAGCTTTTGGAGAGTATATCAACCTAAAATCAAGTCACTAGTTAGCTACTCTAGCAACAGGCATTAAGCATAAATAAAGATGGAGAACCATAGGGTTTCCCCTTTTAACAATCGATTTTCGATGGCCATTATATCACGTCCTCATTGGAAGGATCCATAATTCAACAATGAGTCTTAGATAGTAGATGAAGTCTCATGAATCCTTAGAGAGAGAGGCGGCGGAATATGGACTAAACCACGCCTCACCCTTAGGGAGAAATCTCTACTTCTAGACTATATAAATTGAAACATGCAAGCTATATACAAATGCAAAAGAAGAAAAGAAAGAAGAAGGAGACCACCTAAGTGGCTCCGAACTTTATTGAATAAGTGTTTCTTGTTATGCGGCTGGTGATTCTTATTACAAGAGGCTAAAAGCAAGTATATATAGGTAGAGAGCGGGTCTAGGTCGGCAAAGTTGAGCGCGCGCAGAAGAGGAAAGTTTCCATTTCTCTTTAGCCGCTTGAGCTTGCTCTCCAAGTTCTTGAATGGGCCGCGTTCAGGCCAATGGAAGCTTCTGGATTGAGTTATGCTAGTGTCAAGATGAGCCAAGGCCTTGGGCGCGGTATCTCGGGCCTCTTGATCCATCAAAGTCTCCATGGGCTCTACTTAGGCGCTCGTCGGACATGTCTTGGTAGAAAATAAGTTCCGGTCCAACGAGTGATCCAAATGACCTCTTTCCACTTCGCCGCGGGTCATGACTCAAATATCTATCTTTCCATATAAGAATCATGACTTTTGGACGTCGGGAAGGCATGAATATGCGGTCGTACTTCGGATGCTCCGGTTTGGTCTTTAGCGAGAAATGTATTTTGGTGCTCTAGACTTGGGAACTTGGTGATTTGACTCTTTTTGCTCCATTTTGACTCTTCTTTGCTATTTTGACCTGAATGATGCTCAAAACCAGAATATACAAGAAAACTACCTCTTGGGCTTAAAAACCACATTATTTGTATTGAAAACATAGTGAAAACCTTGTAAAAACATGAAAGATATGGATATATCAACTCCCCCAGACTTAGCCTTTTGCTTGTCCCCAAGCAAACTAAGAGAGGAAGAGAGGTTTGAAAACGCAAGAACTCTCAAATCATTAGGAAATCCGGGTTGGCTTGGTTTTAGTAATCCACATGAAAGTAGTAAGGCAAATATTTGAATTAAGAACAAGAGTACATACCATGAGTTTTGCGATTTTTCCAAGGCGGCCCACCTCTCTTTGGACAATCCAATTCACCCTCCTTGACTCCTTTCATTTCTAAAGGTGTGGTCTCAACTAGGGAGTATCGATCAGCCGGCTTTAGACTCTTACTCATCCCCTTGTTTTGGCACTTGTCTTTTTACTCCATGTTTCTCCTCTCTCTCTTCTCACTTCTTTGAGTTGATTCATCCCTTTTTTAGGGTAGCGAAGTATTTTTTTATTCAACTCCTTCTCTTTATTATAGAGGTTTTGCTTGGACCTTCCACAGACGCGAGTATTGATGGTGTTTGCCACCGAATCCCCGGTTGCTTGGATTCATAGGCCTTCCATAGACGCGAGTATTGATGGTGTTTGCCACCGAATCCCCGGTTACTTGGACCTTACGCTTTTTCTTTAAATTTGAAGGGGAGAGAGAGGGAAGCACGAACTCACTAAGACTTTTTCATTTGATGGAGAGGATGAGGAATCATGCCATTTGTATGCCAAGCCCCTAGCTGAGAAGATTAAGTTCATTAAGGGCGGAGTCAAGAGTGGATCCTTCTCAAGTCCTTGGAGGTGTGGGCGTTTTTGGTAGATCGATCAACTCATAGTGTCCCTGTGGTAAGATGTATTGCCAAGACTGCTTCAATGGTCACTTAAACGTTAGCACAACAATGGTTAGATCCAAGATAAGGTCATAATCCTTTGACAAAATTTTGACTCAATAAAACGACTCAATGAAATTCAAAAAGAACAAACTTGTTAGTAATCCCCCCAGACTTAACTTGCACCGTCTCGGTGTAAGAAAAATCCAATTAAGAGAGGTAATGATAAATATGAATGGAAAAGTTAGAGTTTGTAGAAAATTGTACCCAAATTTTTGGCCTTTGATGTGAAGATCGGTTGTGCGCTTTAGTTGCTTCCAGGAATGAACTGACTGGTGCAAACATCATAGCTGTTGGATTTGGTTGGATGAATGTGACAATTCTCCCTTGGTTTTCTGTTTTTCGCCTTTTTGGCCGAGACTGGTCCGTTTTGGTCGACCGGATGGTGATGGTATGGACTACAGCTCGAACCGTGAAGATTTCCTCGACCTATCTTGAAATTTCGTCGACCAATATTGTATAATATGGCGACTGGTGAAGTTTGGGGTCGTTTGAACGAGTGGTTTGAGATCTCCTTTGAAAAATTTTCAAATTGGCTCCGGGAACGTCTTCCTTCGGCTTCTCCAATTCTGCTCGTTCCAATCCGGATTTTCTTCTTTAGATGCGATGTGGATGCTTGATGGAGGTGATTTGTGTTTGTCGACGAAACCCTCAAGCACGGCATCGAAATGGCTATCTCTCCGCCTATTGAGAACATGGTCGTGGTGTGAATGCAACACTGGTCTAGGTGGTTGATGATAAACCGGAGGTCGGTTTTGATGATGATGGTAATGATGCTCGTCTCGGCTAGGTCCTTCAAACGTCGGATGAGCGCGGTTGGGAGGGAACGGATGTGGCACGATGCTTACGGCTGGGTCTTGGTAACTCCGGCCGTGGAGATCGTGTGGGATCAGTGTCCGGTTCCCAAAGTGGATGTTGGTGTTGTGATTCATCTCCAAGTACCTATAAACACAAGATTTAAAAGAAAAAGTTAGTATTCGAAAATACCAAGATCTAGACTTAGTTTTAAACAAGACTATGCAAGTGTTTATGATGCAATCCCCGGCAACGGCGCCAAAAACTTGATGCGGCATCTATGGGATGAGTACAAGTAATAATTCCCTAAGACAACTAGTGTTGCAAGTGCACAACATATAATTGTAGTATTTAGGGGTCGAACCACAAGGGATTGGATTTCACACATTACATAATCATAGAGTTTAAATGACTAAGCTAAATCAAAAGATGCAAGGGTTTGTGTTTGTTTAGAACACGCAAAAGAAAATAACAATGCAATTCTATACAAGCAACATTATTGAACTATTGAAAACTCTTTTGAAAACATGAGCCAAGTCGATTGAAAAGTTTGTTAAAATCCGATTCTTTTGAACTCAAAACACTAAGGAAGGATTATTCCACTTTCGTGGTTCCAATCCCCTATGTCTCTTAAACCAATGGGCTCAGCTTTCGTTGGTCATTGTAGAGTGAGACATGCATTACATCCAAGTAATGATTGTTCACAAAACTCTTTAGGTCTACTTTCGTAGCCTAAAACGATTTGCCCATCAAATATATCCGGAGATATAACAAGCTTTTGGAGAGTATATCAACCTAAAATCAAGTCACTAGTTAGCTACTCTAGCAACAGGCATTAAGCATAAATAAAGATGGAGAACCATAGGGTTTCCCCTTTTAACAATCGATTTTCGATGGCCATTATATCACGTCCTCATTGGAAGGATCCATAATTCAACAATGAGTCTTAGATAGTAGATGAAGTCTCATGAATCCTTAGAGAGAGAGGCGGCGGAATATGGACTAAACCACGCCTCACCCTTAGGGAGAAATCTCTACTTCTAGACTATATAAATTGAAACATGCAAGCTATATACAAATGCAAAAGAAGAAAAGAAAGAAGAAGGAGACCACCTAAGTGGCTCCGAACTTTATTGAATAAGTGTTTCTTGTTATGCGGCTGGTGATTCTTATTACAAGAGGCTAAAAGCAAGTATATATAGGTAGAGAGCGGGTCTAGGTCGGCAAAGTTGAGCGCGCGCAGAAGAGGAAAGTTTCCATTTCTCTTTAGCCGCTTGAGCTTGCTCTCCAAGTTCTTGAATGGGCCGCGTTCAGGCCAATGGAAGCTTCTGGATTGAGTTATGCTAGTGTCAAGATGAGCCAAGGCCTTGGGCGCGGTATCTCGGGCCTCTTGATCCATCAAAGTCTCCATGGGCTCTACTTAGGCGCTCGTCGGACATGTCTTGGTAGAAAATAAGTTCCGGTCCAACGAGTGATCCAAATGACCTCTTTCCACTTCGCCGCGGGTCACGACTCAAATATCTATCTTTCCATATAAGAATCATGACTTTTGGACGTCGGGAAGGCATGAATATGCGGTCGTACTTCGGATGCTCCGGTTTGGTCTTTAGCGAGAAATGTAGATTTTGGTGCTCTAGACTTGGGAACTTGGTGATTTGACTCTTTTTGCTCCATTTTGGACTCTTCTTTGCTATTTTGACCTGAATGATGCTCAAAACCAGAATATACAAGAAAACTACCTCTTGGGCTTAAAAACCACATTATTTGTATTAAAAACATAGTGAAAACCTTGATAAAAACATGAAAGATATGGATATATCACTCGCCAACACCAATCATCGTCCAGAAGGCTTGAAGCTCCGCGGGTGGCGTTCCCAGCTCTGTCTCTCGTCCCTCCTTGTGGTCAAAGTGAAACACATCCTCCAGCTCTTTGAAACTCATCCAGTACTTCCTCTTGTTGATCCGGAAGTAGAATCTTCCACTTCCGTTGCCCTCAGGGACGATTTCGTCGGGCTCATAGAAGTTGACTCGGAGAGTGGAGAGGAACTCGATGGTTTCCTTCTTGTATGTAGGTTGAGGATTCATCATCAGCCTCGTAAGCTGCTGATGTACTTGCATTTTGCATAGTTTTAGTACATCTTTTATGCATCTTTTGCATAGTTTTAGCATCCATTAGCATCATATCTTGTTCCTTTTCTCTTCTTATGCATTCATAGTAGTTTTAGGTTGCATTTGCATACATATGCATGTTTGGTCCTTTGAAATAGGTCTTTTGGAGCATTCTGGAGCATATGGGACGTGAGGAGCATGGAAGGACTTGGGCATGGACGCAGCTCAACTGGATACGCAAAGGAAGAAGGAGGAAGCCATCTTGAAGACCAGCTCGACCATCTACTCGACCAACCGGTCGAGTTCCTCAACTCGACCGGCCAAGCTTCAACTCGATCGAGCTGAGAAGTCAAAGTCAAACCCGAAAAATGTTGCTTCCCCCTTGACTTTCCTTTGACCCTAAACCTAATCCTCTTGTATTTAAAGGCTAAAAGCCACGAAAAAACCACCAAGCTTTAGATTACTTTTGTTTTAGTTTCTTTTAATTTATTGTCTTTTACTTTTTAGAGCTCTAATCCCATCTTTGTGTTCTTGAAGCTCTTGCTTCTTGAATCCTAGATCCTGGATAATCTCTTTGTATTTGCACTTGCTTATTTCAATAAAAGTTGTTTATTTATCTCCTCTTTCTTATGATGTCTCTTTTATTGCATTTGCTTGTGTTTACATTCATGTGTAGTGAGTAGTTACCCATTAGGGTTTGAGATGGGATAGATTAGGGTTTTATGCTTAATCCTTCTTGCTTATGGTCTTAATCTAGATCTCTCTCTTTTGGAAATCTTAAGGCTACATGACCACTACCCCTGGCTTGTATGTCCTTAGGCGATTCTCCACATGGAAGTGATGGAAATCGCTGGAAAAGGTCCACTAAGAGCTCCAATACTCTTGCTCTCGAAATGGAGGTCATAGGGGTTGGATGGATTAGTTTGGGCAATGATCCTATGGCCTCCAAGGCTTGATTCTCACTGGCTAACCCCCTGTTTCTGAGATCATTCCTTGGTTGATAGCTTTCACCTTGGGAAAGGGTTAGCTAGGCATTGAGAAGCCAATATCAAGAGAACCTTGATACAAGTTTTAAGAGCAAGATTGATTAAGTATAGCTTCCTCTGATTGCAAAACCCTGTCTTGAACCCTAATTCTCGCTTAGCTTGTTAAAGTCGCTGCCTTTAGCTTTTTCTTCAACTCGACCCTAAACTCGATCGAGCTCGGTACTCTGTTCCCACTCGACTCGAGTCCTTGGTCGAGCTGTTGCTCTACTGCTTTATTTACTTATGCATTTCATTTCTTTTCATTTAGGTTGTTAGTGTTACCCCAATCATTTACTGCTTGCTTGACTTCCTTGTTTTTCATATTCTCATAGAGTGACAATTTCCCATTTTGGATTGATATAACTACTATATGATGGTTAAAGGGAATTGTTGACTGTGTTTGTGTTTGCATCTTACCACCTCATCATATATACCACTGTTGCATTCCACCACATCTCATTTCATATCTTTCACACCACACACAAATCCTATCATCAATTTGGCGCCGTTGCCGATTTGGGAATATTTTGTTGCATTTGAGTTTCAAATACACTTGGACGATCAAGCTATACCACCCCTGTTCTATTGTACTGCTGGGTTTTTGTCTCTTTTTGCAGGTGTATGCGAACTCGATCGAGTCGGTCTACAGAAGACTTGGTCGAGCTAGACTTACAACGGGTAGAAAGAGGGTTCAGAGGTCACAGAGGGTACAAGAGGAACCTGAGGTGCTTGTTGCTGATACAATGGATGTACCAGAGGGGAATGGAAACCCTTTGGGCAATGGACTCGGTCGAGCTAGGCAAACTCGACCGATTGGTCAAGGAGATGCTCCAAACCGCCACCAACAGAGACAAGGGATTGTTCCACCACCAGTGCAGAACCACAACTTTGAGATCAAGCTGGGAATGATCAACCTTGTCAGAACAAGATGTTCCATGGATTGCCAAGTGAAGACCCCATTGACCACCTTGATGAGTTTGATAGGCTTTGTGATTTGACAAAGATCAATGGTGTCTCTGAAGATGCCATCAAGCTGAGACTCTTTCCTATGTCTCTAGCTGACAAAGCTCACCAATGGGAGAAGAGCTTGCCCCATGGCACAATCACCACTTGGGATGAATGCAAGAAGGCCTTTCTTGCTAAGTTTTTCTCCACCGGTCGCACAGCCAAGCTTAGAGGAGAGATATCCAGCTTCATCCAGCGAAACAATGAGACATTCGCAGAGGCTTGGGAGAGGTTCAAAGGCTACACAAGTCAGTGCCCACACCATGGATTCAACAATGAATCACTACTCTCCACTCTTTATAGAGGATGCTTGCCTAGGTATAGGGAGATGCTAGACACAGCTAGCAATGGGAACTTCCTCAACCAGGATGTAGATGATGGCTGGCAACTTGTGGAGAACATAGCTAACTCAAATGGAAGCTATGGAGAAGAGTATGATCGCACCAACCGGAGCTCGACCCACCACTCGATCGAGTCAGACGAAAAGTTGAGAAAAGATGTTAAGGCATTGAATGAGAAGTTGGATAAGCTGATCCTAGCTCAGTCCACAATGAAGAAAGTCAACTTTGTGTCTGCTGAGGAGATGGAACCAGTCCAAGAAGGGGAGGATACACAATTTGCTGAGGTGTGCTACATGAGCAATGGGCAAGGAGGTTACAACAAAGGATACTATAATTACAAGTCCAACCCTGCCATGTCATACCGCAACACTGATGTTGCTAACCCTCAGGACCAAGTCTATCCTCAACAACAAGCAGCTCGATCGAGTCAAGCCACAACATGGGTATGGTCAAAAGAACAATTACCAAGGACCCAAGGCACTTTCCCTGGACAACAAATGAATATCCCACCAGGCTTTCCCCACCAACCACCCCAGCCTGCACCTACAAGAGAATGAGCTCAAGGCAATGCTAAAGCAACTACTTCAAGGGCAAGCTGATGGGGTAGTGGACACAAGCAAGAAGCTAGCTGAAATAAACTCCAAGATCGAGAACCTCAACACAAGGGTTTACTCTCTGGAGAATCATGCTTCTTCTGTTGCTGCTGCTACAAAGCAAGGACAACTACCTGGTAAAGCTATTCAGAACCCCAAGGAACAGTGCAAGGTCATCTTCACTCAAGAAGGACTTGTTGAAGAAGAGGATCAAGAAAGGGTCATTGAAGATTTTTGTTTACTGCTGAATGATGAAGAGATTGTTGCTGCTGAGGCTCCTGGAGTCCAGATTGATCAACCAGAAGTGCAGCACCTACTGTGGCCATTCACACTTCACCAGTTGAGCTCGCACACAAGCTCGATCGGCAGCTCGATCGAGTCCAACTCTAGCTCGATCGAGTCCGACCTCTTCTGTCCAAACCTGTTTTGCTTGATCCTTACCAACCGGTTGCCCTTCCTCGTCTCGCCTACTTAGTCAAGGTCACAAGGAAGTGATTCACAAGTTCAGAAGAGATCTCAGTGGGATTGGAATTGAGTTGCCTCTATGGATAGCATGAGTGAGGCATTTGATCAAATGCAAATGGTCAAGGATGTTCTAGCCAACAGTGATAAAGTTTCAGAGGTCCTACAAGAGTCTACTCATCAGTTCAACCTGCTTACTTCACCCACCTTCCTACCAAAGGTCAAGGATCAAGGGAAATTCACTCTCCCTTGCACACTTGGGCATCTTGAGCTTGACAATGCCTTAGTGGATTCTGGAGCAAGCATCAATCTGATCTCTCTCTCCATGGCAGAGAAGCTAGGCATTGCTGGAGCCTTGCAGCGCCCTACTACTTCAATCATGTTTGGAGATGCAACTTCTAAGTCTCCTCTTGGAGTGTTCAAGAACTATCACTTGAAAATTGGAGAATGCATCATCCAAACTGATCTCACTGTGATGGAAATGGAAGAAGAGAAGGATTTACCTCTGTTATTGGGAACCCCTTTCCTTAGTACAGTTGGCGCTTCAATAGACTTTCACAAGCAAGAAGTGATCCTTCACAAGGTGAATAGTTTGGTGTCATATCGCTTGCAGCCTAGAGGTTCAGACTTTTGTGCCACAATTGACAGTACCAACTCTCAGTTCTAAGAGTCATGGAGCTACAAAGGTTGTGAAGGAAAGGGTTGACAAGGAACCAAGAGTTGGGAAGGATAAGGATGAGAGAGGACCAAGGATTGAGAAGCCACGTCTTGAGAGGGCTAGAGTTGAGAAACCACGATCTGATAGGCCACGTTCGATTTGTCATTGTTCATCATCTTGTTTTGCTTTAAGTTCGAGCCACTGTGATTCTTCCATCACTCAATCAAGGTATGAACCCTAAAACCCTTGAATCCTTCATCTCGATTCCTCTCCATTACTTGTTTCCTCTTTGATTTTTGTTGCATGTATCCCTTGTGAACTTGTTCTTGAATCATTGCTTACTTCATTGCCTCCCATGTTTATAGTCTTGTGAATTTGCTTCACCTCACCTCTGTTTTGACTTTTAAATTGTTGCATGTCTTGAATCCTTTGAATTTGAGTTTGGTATTGGTTAAGATGCTTTGGTTTTCACTAGAACCGATTATTGTCCCAAGTTCTTGATGTCCTTGGTTCGATTTGATTATTAAGCATCCTTTCCAGCTCTTATGTTTGATTTAGGTTCGGTTCTACTCTGTTTTCACCTAGATCGATCGAGTTTGTCACTCGAGTTTTTTGACTCGATCGACCTGAGTGTCGAGTTGGCCGAACCGACGATTACAACTCTAATTCCTTGAGTTTTTGATGCATTTCAGGAACCCAACTTCAAGCAGCAACTAGTTTAAGATGTTGAGAGGTGAAGGAAGCAAGGCAGCGTTCACAAAGAAGGAGGTAACAAGAGGAGCAAGGAGAATGCTTAAGACACTAACCAAGGAAGATGATGATGCGGGATCAGGTTTTTCCTATTCCTATCCCTGATTCTGCAAGTGCACAGGCCAGATGTAGTAACGGGTTATCGAACACAAGGACCAGATAAGTTTACACTATGAGTTTATGAGATTCGAATCAAGCTAAGACTCAAGTATGGAGGTTTGTTGTTGTCACGGTTTCAAAGCAAAACAAAGTAAATAAGGTGAAAGCAATAGAAGAAAGCATTGGGCATTAGAGGATTCGCAAGGTTTCATAGATTGGATCAAGCAAATAGATAGGGAAATCAATAGTTTGTTCTAGAACTCGAATCAATAAGTATAATTGACCTACTCCCGCAGTGCCAATTACTATGTCTAAGAACCTAAATCACACAACTTCCGCAGGTAATCAAGAGGTTAAGCATGTAAGAACAGTCCAAATTCGATAGATCTACTTCCGTAGGTCTAGTTCACAAAGCCTAGCAATTCTACTTCCGTAGGTTACTATGCCTTGCTCATCTAAGTTGATTCAAGAGATTTATCAAGCGGTCAGAATGTAAATCTACCTAAGAGCATTAGCTTAGAACGGTCAATCAAGCTACAAGCAATAAACACAAACTTAGATGAAGAACACTAATGATAAAACCCTAATCTAGCAACCTAACAATCAATCCATGAAAACCTATTGAAAACTCTTAAACCCAACAAGGAGATTACTCAAACATAGTAACAGAGATCAAGCCGAGCGAAGCCAATTCCCTTCCTGTCCGGCCGAGTGCGTTCGGCCGGCTGTGGACCAGTCTTCAGTACAAACGTGATATCTCCTAAACGGCTTATCCAAATTGCATACTTCCAACGGCATTGGAACACTAACTCATCTGGCTATCTTGGTGTTGAGTTTCATTGAAATCCATTGAGTTTAAGGGTCCAAGCCTGCTGCTCGTCTGATGTACTGATGCAGTCCGATAAAGCTCCTCGGTATATGTCTCAGGGAAATAGAGATATCTCCCAATCTACTCGGTCAAATTGATTGATTCCAGTTGCATTGCAAAGCTAACTCACGTATGCATCACGTCGAACTGGATTTGATGAAGTCCATTGAGTAGAATGTTTTTAAGGCCCTTCTTAAGTTGATGCTACGTCTTGGAGTGGTCTTGAAGTCCAAATCCTGTGTTTTGCTCCAAAATGCATCTTTTTACCTGTTTAGACTCTAAGTACTATAAATACATAAAAACTACCTTTTTAGATCAGAAAGCCATTAAAAACCTTATGAAAAGCATAGTAAAACCATATAAAAAGCATGTAAAATAGAGGTATATCAACTCCCCCAGACTTAGATCTTTGCTTGTCCCCAAGCAAATCGAATCCAAACTAGTGAAGAGGTTTTGAAAACATGGAAACTCACTTATCCTTTAGAACTTGTATCTCCATTGCTCTGCTTTCATTTGGAGCAAAACCAACTTTGAAACTAGCTTTCCCGTACTGACCTTGAGCTTAGCGAACCATACCGGACCCAACAAATCTCATCCAGTATTCCAAACTCTCTATTGCTAACTCCTTGCAGTATTTAAAACGTGTGGTCTTTATCAAGGGAGTATTGATCACAGAGCATTGATTCTTACCCATCCAAGTGTTTGCCAAGACAGTCTTTTTAGCACATTCAGTACCAAACCTCTCTCCTTCTCTCTTATCATTGAAGGATCAATTTTTCCCTACTTTTCTAGGGTATCATTTTATTTTTTCTATCGATCCTCCTTCCCTTAAGATTTCTCTTAGTGGGACACATGGATTGGCTTTAAGCTTCCTCCTTGTTTATAAGGTATTCCATAAGACATGAAGGTACAGAAGTATGCATTCCTCATGCTTACTTGTTTTCCTTGTGCTCTTAGAGCTTTTGATCTTTCTTTTGCAGATAAGAGAGAGGATGGACTGTTTCTTTTTAGACATATCTCAACTGACCTAGATGAGGAGTCGGCTCATATGTATCTCAAGCCCCTTGACAAGAAAATTAAAGGTTCATTAAGTTGTGGAGTTAACTCTAGATTGTGTGGGTACCTTAGAAATCTTGCCAAATCAGTAGGTCGATCCACCCTCAGAGGTTCCGTTAGGCATTGTTCGGCTCAGTATTCGCCTTTGTGATCACAAGAGCTTTGGTGTGATAAGGTAAGCTCCAAGATAGATCATGTTTCCTAACTATTTTGACTCAATAAAACAGAAGTTTTGAAAAAGGTTGGAAAAGAGAAAAGATATAAGATGAAGACAAGGCATGAACAAACGCATTAGTACCAACAATCCCCCCAGACTTAACTTGCACCGTCCCGGTGAAAGAAAATCCGATTAAGGGAGGAAAAAGAAAGAGGTAATAAGGAGTTTGTGAATGAGAGGAAAGATATAACCTGATTAGAACTTAAGTCCATGAAGAAACGACCCATTGGTGATATGTGGTTGTCCTTCTCCTTTGATAGGTTGAGATAGGTCTTAGGTATCAAGATCAGGGCCGGTTTGGTGAACGGGACACTTCCTCATGTGATATTGGTCGGTGAGTTTTGAATTTCAGGGCCTGGTTCACTCCGGTTTGCGTTTTGGCCGAGTATGGTCCATTTCGGTCGTCCGACAGGGTATGCTATGAACCACAGAACAAACCATGAAGAATTCCTCGACCCATATTGAAATTTCATCGACCAACCTGATATTTTATGCCCATTGGTGAAGTTGGAGATCATTATAACGAGCGTTTGAGAGATCCTTCACAAAGTGGTCCAATCGGCTCCAGGAGAGGTTTCTTGGCCATCCTTGAGATTGACTCGTTCGTTTTGTATCTCCTTTGGAAATGTGTTAATGAAGCTCCATGAAGTGTTTTCCAGCCGGTGGGCGCGCCTATGCCGTGATTTGGTTTTGTCGGCCATTTTCTTGACCTAGATCGGCCGGATGTGGCTCCTTGGTCTATCTCCTGAACCGTGAACATTTCACCGTCCTATCTTTTATTTGCCGACCAACATTGATTTTATGGCCGTGTGAAGTTTGGTGGACTTTGGACACACAGTTGGAGATGGCCGATGATTATTCTCCTTGTATCCTCCATGGCCGAGAGAAATAGGCCGGTTAGAATATCTTCAAATCCACTCGGGCCAATTGAGATTTTCTTCGACCAAAGTGATTTTCTAACCCTTCTTTATCATTTCCAGGTGTTGCCCGCCTTGTTTCCTTGTGATTGGGTATGAACCTCCTTTGAAGCCTCCTTTAAGATAAGTGGGATGTGATGGATGGTGGGATGGGATGGATTGTGGAATAGGATAGGTGATGGGATGGAGGGTTGTAGGAGAGAGGTCCAGAGGGAACACGGCCGACCATAGATGCGTTCCGGTCAGTCATCGGGATCGGCCCGGCCATATGATTGCTCCTTTCTTCATTTTTCTAGGTTTCTTCTCAAATTTCATGCTAGATTCTCAAATCTCTGTATTCAAAACTTCAAAAACAAAACAAAAACATTAAACTAAAACAAAAAGTAAAAAGGGAAAAGAAAACACCTTATGGGTTGCCTCCCATACAGCGCTTGTTTAATGTCATTAGCTTGACGTTATGGCTCTTCTTAGGCGAGTGGGGCATCGACTAAAGGAATGTTTCTCTCTCATCCTCATCAATGTCTGCGAGATATGGCTTGAGTCTTTGTCCATTAACAGTGAAATCACCTCCAGAACGGTTCCATAGTACAACAGCGCCATATGGTTTCACTTCTTTTATCTTAAAAGGTCCGGACCATCGCGATCTAAGCTTACCGGGAAAGAGTTTCAGGCGTGAGTTGAAAAGGAGAACCTGGTCATTGGGAGAGAACGTCTTGGGGACTATCTTCTTGTCATGATATGCTTTTGTTCTTTCCTTGTAGATCCTAGAATTCTCATAGGCATTATGACGAATTTCATCCAACTCATTCAACTGAATCAAGCGCTCTCCTTTGCTGTCTTGATGTCGTAGTTTAGCTTCTTTACTGCCCATTCCGCCTTATACTCAATCTCAACAGGAAGATGGCAAGATTTCCATAGACAAGGTGAAAAGGAGTTGTTCCAAGTGGGGTTTTGAATGCAGTTCTATATGCCCAAAGAGCATCATCAAGCTTTACTGACCAATCCTTTCTTGTCATTCCCACTGTCTTCTCTAAGATCCTCTTGATTTCTCTGTTAGAAATCTCTACTTGCCCACTTGTCTGAGGGTGATAAGGAGTAGCAACCTTGTGTCTCACTCCATTTTTCTTCAGTAGACTTTCAAAGACCTTGTTGATGAAATGAGATCCTCCATCACTAATCACAACTCGTGGGATACCAAATCTTGGAAAGATGATCGACTTGAATAACTTTATCACCACCTTGGAGTCGTTTGTAGGGCTGGCTATGGCTTCTACCCACTTAGACACATAGTCAACAGCAACAAGGATGTACTTGTTCCCATAAGAAGAAGGAAAAGGACCCATGAAGTCTATTCCCCAAACATCAAAAACTTCCACTTCTTGGATGAAGTTTTGTGGCATCTCATTCCTTTTGCTGATGTTTCCTTGTCTCTGGCAAGCATCACACTTAGAGATGAAGTCATGGGCGTCCTTAAACATGGTGGGCCACCAAAAACCAGCTTGCAAGATCTTAGCAACAGTCTTGTTAGTAGCAAAATGTCCTGCATAGTCAGATCCATGACAAGCAAAGAGAACTCCTGGGACTTCTTCTTCTGGAATACATCTTCTAAACATACCATCAGAACAATGTTTATAAAGATAAGGTTCGTCCCAAAAGTACCTTCTAACATCACGTAAGAATTTCTTCTTCTTGTAGCCAAAGAATTGGGGTGGTGGATGATCAGCAGCAAGATAGTTGGCAATGTATCTAAACCAAGGAGTGTCGGATGGTGCTGGTTTTGGAGGTGCTCTAGGACGTCTCTCAAGGTGGAAAACTTCCTTAGAACTATCTGCATCACACTCTTTAGGCATCACAGTCGAAACCTTGTCTCTTAAGCAACTTTCATGATCAGAGTTCACTGATTTGATAACTTCATAAGATCTTATGTAAAGAGCTTGCTTGGAAACGTTTTGAGGCTTCTCCTTCTCTTCTCCATGGTCTAAACTCAATCTGCTGCCATTCCTAATGGTTATACAATAAGAGCTCTTGGTAGGGACTGCTGGATAAAAGACTCTCTTCTTTACTCTAGAGAAAGAAACTCTTTGGTTTGGATAGTCCACATTAGCTCCAACTGTTGCAAGGAAGGAACTACCAAAAACCAATGGCGTTAGGGGTTCCTCATTCATCTCTAGAATATGAAAATCTGTAGGAACAAGACAACCTCCCACTTGTACCAATATATCTTGAGCAAAGCCATATGGGGTAATAGTAGAGGCGTTTCCAAACTTCAGTGATGTTTGAGAGTCTTTAATGTCAACTATTCCAAGCTCATCTGCTATAAGCTTAGACATAACATTCACATTAGCTCCTGTATCGCAGAGGGAATCAATAAAATCCATACCATTGATTGTGCATGGGAAAACAAATTGCCCTGGATCTTCCATCTTATGCAGCTTTCTTTGATGAGGTCCCTTGTAGATTGGCTCATCATCTTCAGGCCATTCCAATGGGTTTTTGAGGGTTGAATGATCTCTAGGGGCTGGTGAGACCACGTCCTTGTTCTGAGTTGTGATAACTTTGCAAACTCTTGGATTTAACTCAGTCTTACTTGGAAGAAAACCCTCTTGCCTCTTCATACCTTCTGCAGTTTGAGCAACTTGCACCTCAAGCATCTTCACATGATTGGTTAGATCAAAGAGCTTTGCAAATATCTCATCATCTTTTCTGTTGAGATGACCATAGTCGTTCGCCATTTTGACTCAAGGTTTTCAATCTCTTGGGCGTTTTGCTCTTGTCTTTCCATCATATGTTGTTGATTTTCCATTAGCTGTTGCATCATAGCTTCGAGTCTTTCCTCTCTAGCATCAATGTAGTTGACTTCTCCTTGCTGCTTGTGAGTGTTATCACCATTACACTCCTCTTTATCCTTACCATGAGAAGCTCCCACGTTCTCACATTGGTATGCATCCCTTTGCTGGTTCTTGAGAAATTGAGCAACCATTGATTTCAGCTCAAGGATTTCTGAAAAGTCTGAACTTGGCTTGATGTCCTCCACGTTTTTCTCATATCCAAGCAAGAATATTTGTTGCTTGCAGCCAAGTTATCAATGAGAGTATTGGCTTGAGCAACTGTATTAGTCATGAAGTCCCCTTGACTTGCGATGTTGAGTGCCATCTTGAATTTCTCATCAACTCCTTGATAGAAGAAGTTTAGCAAAGCAATCTCTGTAAAACCATGGTGAGGGCACTCTCTCTTGTACTCCTTGAACCGTGAAACAGCCTCAAAGAATGATTCATGTGCCTCATGTCGAAATTCTGAGATTCTTCTTCTCATCCATTTTAATCTCTCTTTTGGGTAGAAATTCTTCAAGAAAGCTCTCTTGTACTCATCCCAAGTAGTGATTGATCCTGCTGGAAGAGCCCTCATCCATTTGTATGCCTTCTCAACCAAAGAGAAAGAGAATAAAGTACACTTCAAGTAATCCTCAGAAACTCCACTACATCTCCTTGTAGCGCAGATTTCTTCAAACTTCTCAATATGATCAATGGGCTGCTCTTCCTCTAGGCCACGAAACTGATGCTGCTCCACCAAAGCAATGAGTTTAGAGCTTATCTTGAACTCTCCAGTAGGTCGTAAGGGCATATAGGTTGGCGGTTTGTGAAAAAGATGTCTAGTGAGTCAAACTCTCCAATGGTGCGGTTTTGAGGATCCATTGTGATATCTTCTTCAAGAGGTTCCTATCTCTTCCTCAAGCTAACCTGAAACACAAAGAGATAGAGAAAAGTAACAAAATAATAAAAACAAAAACCAAGAAAAACAAAAACAAAAAATAAAAACGAAAATTAAAGCTATCCTAGACTAGATTCTAATCCGAAACTCAAAGGCAACTGTATTGGTCCCCGGCAACGGCGCCAAAAACTTGATGCGGGATCAGGTTTTACCTATTCCTATCCCTGATTCTGCAAGTGCACAGGTCAGATGTAGTAACGGGTTATCGAACACAAGGACCAGATAAGTTACACTATGAGTTTATGAGATTCGAATCAAGCTAAGACTCAAGTATGGAGGTTTGTTGTTGTCACGGTTTCAAAGCAAAACAAAGTAAATAAGGTGAAAGCAATAGAAGAAAGCATTGGGCATTAGAGATTCGCAAGGTTTCATAGATTGGATCAAGCAAATAGATAGGGAAATCAATAGTTTGTTCTAGAACTCGAATCAATAAGTATAATTGACCTACTCCCGCAGTGCCAATTACTATGTCTAACAACCTAAATCACACAACTTCCGCAGGTAATCAAGAGGTTAAGCATGTAAGAACAGTTCCAAATTCGATAGCTCTACTTCCGTAGGTCTAGTTCACAAAGCCTTGCAATTCTACTTCCGTAGGTTACTATGCCTTGCTCATCTAAGTTGATTCAAGAGATTTAACAAGCGGTCAGAATGTAAATCTACCTAAGAGCATTAGCTTAGACGGTCAATCAAGCTACAAGCAATAAACACAAACTTAGATGAAGAACTTTAATGATAAAACCCTAATCTAGCAACCTAACAATCAATCCATGAAAACCCTTTGAAAACTCTTAAACCCAACAAGGAGATTACTCAAACATAGTAACAGAGATCAAGCAAAGAGATGAAGAAGAATTCATAATAAAACTTGATAGAAAGTAAAAGGGTTTAGAAATCTCCTCTATTGTGTTACAAAGGTGAGATCTTCTCCCATGAAGCTCTAAAACGAAATCAATGTAAAACTCTCTAAAACTAATGCGGCTCTCCTTCTAAAGAGGCTAAAAAGAGTATTTATAGTGCCCTAGGTCTTCACAAGTCGGTTTAGGTTAAATGGGCTGAGAAAGTCAAAACTGCATAAGTGGGCTTCTTGTTCGCGGACATCGGGTCGACCGTGCAAGGGATGTGGTCGGCCGTCGGGGTCGGCCGGCCGTGATGTGATGATCTGGGCCGGATCGTGATGAATGGGTCGAGCGCGGTCCATTGCTTCCCGGATCGACGCTGGTCGGCTGGTGCTGGTAATGTGTGGTCGAGCACGGCCAAGTCGGCGCCGGTCGGTCCTGGTGAAGGCCGAGCGAAGCCAATTCCCTTCCTGTCCGGCCGAGTGCGTTCGGCCGGCTGTGGACCAGTCTTCAGTACAAACGTGATATCTCCTAAACGGCTTATCCAAATTGCATACTTCCAACGGCATTGGAACACTAACTCATCTGGCTATCTTGGTGTGTTTCATTGAAATCCATTGAGTTTAAGGGTCCAAGAAGCTGCTGCTCGTCTGATGTACTGATGCAGTCCGATAAAGCTCCTCGGTATATGTCTCAGGGAAATAGAGATATCTCCCAATCTACTCGGTCAAATTGATTGATTCCAGTTGCATTGCAAAGCTAACTCATGTATGAATCACGTCGAACTGGATTTGATGAAGTCCATTGAGTAGAATGTTTTTAAGGCTCTTATTAAGTTGATGCTACGTCCTGGAGTGGTCTTGAAGTCCAAATCCTGTGTTTTGCTCCAAAATGCATCTTTTTACCTGTTTAGACTCTAAGTACTATAAATACATAAAAACTACCTTTTTAGATCAGAAAGCCATTAAAAACCTTATGAAAAGCATAGTAAAACCATATAAAAAGCATGTAAAATAGAGGTATATCAAATGAGGAAGAGATTGAGAGGTTGAGGGAAGAGAGAAGGACCAAGAGGAGGAATGACCCAATCAGCAGTGAGAGTGAATTGGGAGAATTCGAGATTGGTGTGAACATGGGAAGGGGAGAGAGTGATGACTCTTCACAAGAGGAAGGAGAAGAGGTGAATCAATTGGTTGATGAGAGTGAGCAAGAGAGTAACCAAGATGAACCCATGGAGGAGGTTGAGCCACAAGAGGAGGAGGAAGAACTCCCTATGTACCAAGAGCACTACAATGCTCTCTTCTCCATGGATTTTGTGGAAACAAGATACCCACATGTTGACACAATGAAGGCCCTTGAAATCTTTGAGGATGTGGAGCTAGTTCTCAAGAACATGCACTTGGGAAAGTTTTTCTCTCATCACATGGAATCGTACAAAGAGCTCACTTGCGAGTTCTTGGCTTCAATGAGGTACCACATGTACGATGAGGAGGATAGAGCCGACTTCGACCAAGGATTGGGATGGATCACGTTCTTGGCTAAGGAAGAGAAGAGAATGGTAACCTTTAGGCAGTTGGAGATCTTTTTGGTTTCAACTATGGAGAAGGGATTGAGTGGAACTTCAAGGAAAAGGAGCTCCAAAGGGTTTGGGCTACAATCGCTGAAGTGGGGTACTCTTCCTCACGATCTAAAGCCGCTCAAATCAGGATCCCAGTGCTTAGGTATGTGCACAAGGCACTCACTCACACCTTCTATGCAAGGAAAGCAACCGGCACAATCAATGAAGGGGAACTCAAGCTTCTTGACATGGGAATCAAACCCATCCTCTCTCACACAAGCGATGGCAAGAGGATTAGAGGAGACAGGTCCAACACAGGAAACTTGATGCCCTTCCTAGATCACCTCCTCACCTACAAGACCACGGCCTACAACACTAGCCATCAACAAGGGAGAAACTAAGTGTTGGAGGACTCATCACTCCTATCTTGTGTGCTGCTGGCGTGAACCCAACTAATAAGAGAAGCCACTGAACCAGGGTGGATGGACATCAAGTTTTGCAAGGTCAACCACCTCATAGACCACAAGGAAGTGAATGGGAGGTTCCAATTCAAGTTCACACATCCATTGGCTGGCCCTTCCAAGCTTCTCCTGCCCAACCCAGAGCTCACACAGTCGCCAGGGGTGAGAACATCGACTTCAGACCCCCTGTGTACACTCTAGTTGGGCATGAGGATGAGTTGCGAGAAGAGGAGCCTGAACTGGATCGAGCTGAGGATCGAGCAGAGATTCGAGCTGAAGATCAAGTTCAGGAGAATGAAAGTTTGGTTGAGCCTGAGTGTTACTACTTTGAGGAGTATGAAGCTCCAAGGATGAACCCCTCTGTTGTGGCTGCTCCCAAGAGGATTAGACTTCTCCAAAGGTTCAACAAGTGGCAAGGGAAAGCCATGGACAAGATGCAAAAGTCCATGGATAAGTGATATACCTCTATTTTACATGCTTTTTATACTGTTTTAGCATTGTTTTCTAATGGTTTTTGGCAGGTTTTCTATCTAAAAAGGTAGTTTTACTGTGTTTATAGTGTCTAGAGTCTAAACAGGTGAAATGATGCATTTTGGAGCAAAACCATAGGATTTGCACTTCAAGCCGCTCCATGCACAAGCACCAACTTTAAGAGGGCCCAGAAAAAGATCTACTCAATGGATTTCATCAAGACCAGTTCCCTGCGTGCTCTGATTGAGTTAACTTTCCAACGCAACTGGAACGGCCTAATTTGGATGAGTAGAAAAGGAGTTACAACCAAAAGAGTGAAGACTGCTCCAGACGGCTCTATCGAGGATCAGCGCCCAAACCGCGCAGTCCGGCTGGCCGAGGAACGAACGTTCCACGCTCGGCCAGAATATCGTCCGTCCGTCTGAAGTCTCGGCCAAAGTCCAAAACCGTTCGGCCGCGCGCAAGTCACGACCCGGGAAACTATTGCCCGCGGTCGACCACGCCACAACAGCTTACGCCACAGCCGCGCACGACCGAAGCGCGCGAGCCGGGAAGCAACGCCATGCGGCCGCGCAACTTGTCTCGCGTACCACGCACGAACGCTCCGTCCGACCCGGGGAACTATGCCACGCGTCCGGCCGAGAGATTTCATCGGCCAAGTTTTCATCCGTCCAACCACAGCAGCCGACCACGCATCCGTCCGGCCACGACCGTTCCGATCGTACTAGGAGCGGCCATGACCCGATCATTCAGCCGATCGTCCCGACCAAGAAGACAATCTTGGAGAAGATCAAGTGGGTAAGAACAAGTTCAATTGATCGATGTCTCCTTGATAAAGAATTCACACTTTAAATTTATGCAAGAGGTTAGCAACAGAGAGTTTGGATTGCTGGATGAGACTAGTTGGGTTGGTATTGTTCGCTAACTTGCAGGGTATATGTGAAGCTAACCTTATGTTGTCTATGTTCATAGTGGAATACAGGAGAGGAACCTTTCACAGGATATTCAAAAGAGCAAGGGAGTTTCCATGTTTTCAAATCTTGCAGCTAGTGATTGTAACAACTGTCCTGATTATGACCGCTCAAGCCGCACCACTACTAGCTCCCCTGATTCTTTTCAAATGACTGAACTCAAGAACATGATGGCTCAAGTTCTTAAGGGACAGCTCAAGCATATCAATGCAATAGAAGGGATGAGTGATGCTAATGAAGACCCATCAAGAGAATGCATGGGAGATTTCTCTAATGAAGCCAATGAAGAAGATGTGAACTACATTGGAAACTATGGGAACAAGGGATACAATCCAAGCTATCGCCCAAACCCCAACATGTCTTATAGAAACCCCAATGTGGAGAATCCTCAAGACCAAGTGTATCCTCCAAGGTATCCACAACAACAAAGACCTCCTTACCAATCTCAAGGAAGTCAATTTCAGCCAAGGCAAGGATATGAGCAGAGATCATCATATCCGCCCAAGGAGCCATATGCTTCTTCACCAAATCAAGCTCCTCCAAACCAACAAGGTGGGAGATTTGAAGGAATCCTCCAACAGATCATGGATGGCCAGAAGAGAAACACTAAAGAGATGTATGAGAAGATGGACACTTTGTTCAGCAATCTCAACACCAAGTATGATGCTGTTGCCACTCATGTGAAGAAACTAGAGACTCAAGTCACTCAAACTATGGAAGCTGTTAAGAGACAGGAAGCTGAATCCAAGAAGTCCTTTTGCAACTCAGCCGCCATAGAAGAAAGATTTGAAGACCAAGTTCCAGAATGGATGCTTTCAAAACCTACTGTTGATTGCATGATTTGGCCTGAAGAGAATTACCCAGAGAGAGAGTCCAATCGAGCTAGAAAGAGAAGACTCTTCCCAAAGATTATCCCCAAGACAGATAACTCAGGAAAGTTGTGCCTTGTATCATCAAAGGTAACATTCTTGAGCAATCTTTGTGTGACACAGGAGCCAATGTGAACATCATGTCTAAGAGGATAGCTGACAAGATAGGCCTCACCAAGATACAGCCATCATCCATCTCCATCAACTATGCTGATTCATTCTCACAAACCCCTATGGCTTTGTGCCTAATGTGATGGTGCAGATTGGAAATTGCTCTATCCCCACTGATTTCCAGATTGTGGAAATGAGAGAGAGTAGCCATAGACCTCTCATATTTGGAACCCCTTTCCTGTCTACTGTGGGTGCCATATTTGATTTCCCCAATCAAAGAATCTCTTTCAACAAGGTGAACAAGGGTATGTTCTTCCCTATGTGTTCAACAAAGAACTCTTTTGTTGACATGGTCCAAGAGGAGAAAGTTACTTTGAAGCCACCCCAAGAAGGAGAAACTGAAGAAACAATCAAGGAAGATCCCATTCCTAAGCCCAAGCAGCTTGCCAAACAAGCAAGGAGTAAGACTAAGGCCCCTACACCAAAACCGCCCAAGGGATCAACCAAGATTGAAGATGAGGCCAAGCCAAGAAGAAGGTTAGAAAGCCTAGGTCTGGCCGCAACATGAAGCTTCTATTCCCAAAGGAGCTTATTGATGAGAATCTAGAAGGATTCAAGGAGAAAGTGACAAGAACTCTAAAGCTTTTTCCTAAGGCAGTGTGCCAAGGGACATTCATGGAGAGATTGTCTATCCAGCTGTGAATCACCCACCAGATACTCATTGCAAGGAGAAAAGACTTGGAGGATCAAAGATGCCTCTTGTCTCCATCTTCTCCTGAGTGCCAAGCCTTACAGTCAAGCTAAAGACTTAAAACAAGCGCTGCATGGGAGGCAACCCATGAGGTACTTTTACTTTTCTTTCTTTAATTTCTTAGTTTTTGTTTTGCTTTTGTGTTTTCTTTGTTTTAAGATAGGATAGAAGGAGAAAAAGGTGTGAAAACACAATCCGCGCCAAACCATTGGCCGCGGACGCGCAAAAGTGAATTTTGGCCGAGCAATTTCCAATCGGGCCGACCGTACGGTCGAGCCGGGAAGGAACGGCTTATGCTCGGCCGGATTCACTCTATCGCGCGACAGAAACCGTTCGCGCGGCACGCACGAACCGGGAAGAAAGGCCGCGATCGGCCGGATTTTCGTATCGGAACGGACCGACCGTGCCGGTCGATCCGGGAAACAAACTCGGCCTCGGCCGAAATCTCTCGTCCATTCGAATTTGGCCGACCAAATCGCTCGACCGCGACAAAATCCATCGGCCATCGGCCCAAACTTTTCTCGGCCAAGGTAAGTCCCCTTTTCATTAAATTCAAACCGGTTTTAACCAATCCTAAACCAACTTAAACCGGTTTTCAATCAAAATTCGAATTTGAAAAGGAAAATTAATAGGATTAGATCTTATTTACTTTACCTTTCCCTTGAAAACAACAAGAACCTCTCTTTCTTCTCCAAAACCCTAAACTCCATTAGAGGAACTCTAAGAGCTTTGATTTCAAAACTTTTACTGTTCATAACTCTAAATTGGAATTTACTTGCTCTTGCAACCTTATTCACTTTTCAACACACAAGGTATGTCTTCTAACTCTAATCCTATGTTTATGCAAGATCGAAAATTTCAATAAGTTTCTTGTTTGGTCTAAACTCTTGTCTAAACTTGAAATTACATCCTTATTAGTCTTGTAATGAACTTAGCTAGGTGGAACCTAGGTGGTTTAGAGTTATTTGAAGTTTAATTTCACAATTGAATAGTTTTTCACAAAACTTATTGGGCATTCCAAACCCCTTATTCAAAGGTGAAATTGCTTAGGCATACTTCAATTCATTAGTTTATCTAGTGATTACTTGGATTAGAAACTCAATTTCTCTTGATTTGCTGAAAATTTCGATTTTAAGCACCATAATCTTGGGATGAACAGTAAAATCCGAAAATTAACTTTGAAAAAGTGAAATTTCCATTTTGTCTCTTTGATTCATGATTAAGCCTTGAGTTGTTCCATTATTCCATATCATTATTACAACTCAATTAGCTTATTCTTCTTTTGCATTAATCACAAACTCATATTTCTTCCCAAGAATTTGCTCTTGTAGGTACAATGGCAAAGACAAAAGGAAATGAGAGTATGAAGAAGAAGAAGAACCCATTCATGGAACCACCAAAGAAACAAATCAAGCTAGGGAGTAGTAGCTCCAATGCAAGAGCAGCAATACCAACTTCACCACATTCCATTGATGCAAGTCAAGAACATGTGGAGAGTCCAAGAAGAGGAGAAGATGATTGGGCACTTGTAACCTTTGTTGGAGAACAAAATCAAGACCCAAGAAAGTGCAAGAAGGCAATGGAGAAGGTGAACATCGAACCATGTGTGAAGATGGACACCCAAACCCTTGACCTTCTCAAGATAAGAGATGATGTCACATGGTACATAAGGAAGCTAGGCTTGAGCAAGCTCTTCAAGCTAGATGTAGTGAGTACTCACAACTCACCAAGGAGTTCCTCTCCACAGTAGCTCTTGCCTTTCCCAACCACAATGGAGACCAACCAGCTGGTGATGGACTCCTACTCTTCAAGATAGGCGATGCCAATGGGCGCATCTCCATCTCAGCTCTATGCCAACTCTTTGGACTTCCCAATGAGACAGCACATGACTTCAAGGAGAACTCAAAGAGGAAACAAGCTGCCTTTGCTGATTGGACACACTTTGCCAATGAACCATTCTTGCCTTCAAGGTCAAAGGTGTCTAGAATCACTCATCCAGCCATTCGCTATGTGCACCGCCTCATCTCCACCACTTTCCAATGCAAACAAGAAGCCAACAAGGTCACAACTGATGAGTTCTACATCCTCACCACACCATTCATCAAGCATGAGTACAAGGCCAACCTTGGACTTTTACTTGCCAAGACATTTATCAATGTGAGGAAGCTAGCTCAAGACTTGGAAGGCAACAAGAAGCTTTGTGTTCGTTTTGGGAGGCTTATCACGGCCATAGTACAACATGTGGGGATTGACATTCCCAACTATGAGCCACTACCCAAGCCAACCCCTTTGGATCTCCATGCTCTTCAGCACATCCACTTCCTAAACCGTTGGACTAAAGACCCAACTCGGTTTTGCTATGAGTTTCCAATTGGTCCAGCCAACACTTCCCTTGTCTTGCTGCCACATGAAGACATCCCAAGCCTACGCTCAGGAGTTGTCACTTTCCAGCCCAATGAGGAAGATTCTATGTTCCATCAAGTGAGAAACCATCATTCCCCATGCTCACCTATCGCACACTTCAGCATGCAGTCAAGACTCAACGCCGCCACCAAGAACGCCATGTTCTCACTACTGGCATGGCCGCGCACCAAGCTCTAGACCGTGTTAACAAGCTGGAGAAGATAGTGGAATGCCAATCTCGCTTCATCTCACGCCTAGTCCGTGTAGTTCGCCACATTGCACCGGAGAGACTCTTTCGCCCTTCTTCCACCGCTAGAGAGCCATATGAGCCTGACCTTGGTGAGTTCTCACTAGACTCAGAGCTTGGTTCAGAAGGCGATGACCCCATAGATGAGGAAGAGAGTTCTTCTCACTGCCACACATAGTCATCTCAAGTGGTACTTAGTGCAATGGACACTTACAAATCTCCATTTTCTATCCCTATCTCATTTTAATGAATTTTTCTTTATTTTTCTTTTACTTTGAATATTACCTCTCACCTTAATGTGATTTGCTTTCACCGGGACGGTGCAAGTTAAGTCTGGGGGGAGTTTTATTGTGTTACTAATGCATTTTTCTTTCTTTTCTTATGTTTTATTCACTTTGTTTCATGTTTTTCAAAAAGTTTTATTGAGTCAAAAACCAGTCCGGAAGTTATGAACTTGCTTTGAGAATTGAGAGTGTTATGCTAACAATCCATGACCCTAGAGCAGAAACCAGCTAAAGGCACAAGCCTAACAGAAGCTCTTACAGTGGATCGACATGCTAGCTCAGCAAAATTTCTAAGGTAACCAAGCAATCTAGAGTTAACCTCACCCTTAATCAATCTTAATACTCTTGTCAAGGGGGTTGGCATACATGTCGACAGTTCCTTGCTTGATTTTCAATAAGATTTGTCTAATCTTTAAAGAGTTCTCCTCTCTCTCCCATCCCAAATGGTAAGTAATGTTTATGAGAAAAAGCTCAAAGAGCACAAGGAAAACAAGTAAGCATGAGGAATGCATATGTCTGTACCTTCATGTCTTATGGAATACCTTAGTCAAACAAGGAACAAGCTAAAGACTTATCCTGTGGTTGAAAGAAGGGTCAATAGAAAAAATAAAATGATACCCTAGAAAAGTAGGGAGAAATTGACCTTTCAAAGTTCTGATGTGAGAAAGAGAGAGGAAAAGAACTCATTGCACTTAAAGACAATCTTGGAGAAGATCAAGTGGGTAAGAACAAGTTCAATTGATCGATGTCCCCTTGATAAAGAATTCACGCTTTAAATTTATGCAAGAGGTTAGCAATAGAGAGTTTGGATTGCTGGATGAGACTAGTTGGGTTGGTATTGTTCGCTAAACTTGCAGGGTGTATGTGAAGCTAACCTTATGTTGTCTATGTTCATAGTGGAATACAGGAAAGGAACCTTTCACAGGATATTCAAAAGAGCAAGGGAGTTTTCAAACCTCTTTCACGGATTTAGATTCTTTTTGCTTGAGGACAAGCAAAGATCTAAGTCTGGGGGAGTTGATATACCTCTATTTTACACTTTTTATACTGTTTTAGCATTGTTTTCTAATGGTTTTTGGCAGGTTTTCTATCTAAAAAGGTAGTTTTACTGTGTTTATAGTGTCTAGAGTCTAAACAGGTGAAATGATGCATTTTGGAGCAAAACCATAGGATTTGCACTTCAAGCCGCTCCATGCACAAGCACCAACTTTAAGAGGGCCCAGAAAAAGATCTACTCAATGGATTTCATCAAGACCAGTTCCCTGCGTGCTCTGATTGAGTTAACTTTCCAACGCAACTGGAATGGCCTAATTTGGATGAGTAGAAAAGGAGTTACAACCAAAAGAGTGAAGACTGTCCAGACGGCTCTATCGAGAATCAGCGCCCAACCGCGCAGTCCGGCTGGCCGAGGAACGAATGTTCCACGCTCGGCCAAAATCGTCCGTCCGTCTGAAGTCTCGGCCAAAGTCCAAAACCGTCGGCCGATCACGCAATCACGACCCGGGAAACATTGCCCGCGGTCGGCCACGCCACAACTCACGCCACGCCGCGCACGACCAAAGCGCGCGAGCCGGGAACAAGCCTCGCGGCCGCGCAACTGTCTCGCGTACCACGGCCGATGCATCCGTCCGAGCCGGGAACTACGTCGTCCGGCCGAGAGATTTCATCGGCCAAATCTCATCCGTCCGACCACGCGGCCGACCACGAATCCGTCCGGCCACGACCGTTCCGACTCGGCCCAGACCCGATCTGTCCGGCCGATCGTCCCGACCGACCGTCCCAACGCCGCGGTCGACCCGAAGCCCGTTTTGAAGCCCATTTCATATTTTCAAGCCCGGCTTAACCCTAAGCCGCCTCTAAAAGACCTAGCACTATATATATAGCTTTTTAGCCTCTTGTGAAAGAGAGCCGCCCTTGTATTTCGATTTCCTACTCTAAGTTTTATTGCAATCATGTTTTCTTCATCTCTATGTGTGTTTGCTTTGATCATGTCTGAGTAATCCACTAGTTAGGTTGCTAGGGTTACTATTCAATGAGTTGCTTGCATGATCTTTGATTTCAATGATTAGCTAGGGATTATATTAGAGTCTTTGTCTCGTCTTGTGCACTTAACTAATGCTGATTGCTTTACCGCGCATCTAGTAATCCGATCTTAGGTTGATTTGAGCCTCGACAGTGTTGTATCATTCGCCGGACATATTCTTTGACAAGCTAGGTTTCTTAGACTGCGAAAGTTGATCTACTATATCTAGTGAACTGTATCAGAACCTATTCATTCTAAAGCTTGATCACCTAGGGACATACCAAAAGTTTAGCGACTAGGTAGATTAACAAAGGAGCCGGAGCCTCGAAAGTGGAATGGTTTTATATTCGTGATCTGTGTTCTAGATGGTTCTTAATATCCCAATATCCCTAATCAATTCATCTATCATTGTTTCATTGATCATTGCTTGCTTCTCTGCGATAGCCCCTATGACCTAGCGCTTTTCCTTTATTGTTTACAACCTCGTTATACTTGCTAGTTCGGTTCACCATTACAACCTCAATCATACTTTTGTTTTAGCTTGATCCAAAATCCATAGTTTCAAAGTGTACTCAATAGCCAGTCCTTGTGTTCGATACCCATACTTCCGCGATCTGTGCACTTGCAGAGGTCTAGGAGTTTGGTAAAACCTGACTCCACATCAATAAGATGGTGAGCAAGATCAAGAGTTTGGAGAAGAAGGTTCTGGTTCTTCATCCAAGAAGAAGAAGGCAACCATGGCCACTACTTTCCCTAGGAGTAGATCACTCCTCACCACCCCAAGGAGACTCCCTGCCCAAGAGCCTCACAGAGCCTCTTCATTCGAGCCAAGGGAAGGAGGAGACAACACGCAGAGAAGGAGGAAGAGTTCCAAAGCCCGACGCTCCAAACAGAGGAAACTCAACTCGATCGAGCTGATGGTCGAGTCGGTCTTGAGGAGTCAGATTCGAGAACCCTGGGATTCGAGTACGATCCACACCTTACCAGGAGTACCCTCAGAGATGGAACCCCTATGGACAGTACGAGCTAGCCATGCTCCACCAAGGCCAAGGGAGCCACACACACTTCGATGAAGAAGAGGAAGAAGAGGAGCCGCAAGCTCGATCGAGGAGGAACCCGGCGAGTGGAGCGTCCCTGATGGCCGTCTGCCCTCTCCAGACCACGACCTTGCCTCCCAGTTCTTTGGGGGGCACTGAGGTATCAAACACCAACCCTTGTACATACCATTTCATATTTTCTTGCATTTGTTTTTTTTCTTGGTTTTGCCCTCTTGAATCTTTCACTAAATTTCTCTCACACAAGGGACTGTGTGATTTAAGTTTGGGGGAGGGTTCAAGAGATGATTTAACCTTGTTTTCTTTGTTCTTAGTTTTTCATTCTCTTTTGCATAGAAAAACCAAAAAAATCATAAAATTTTCAAAAAATCCAAAAATATTTTCATCTTTTTGCATTCATATTTGTTAGATTGTTTAGGATTGCATTTTTCACTTGCATTGTTGATTTGACTTTGAAAACTTGTTCATCATTTGCGATTTCTTGAGTGCCCTGTTTTTAGATTCTTTTGTGCATTAGGGTGAGATTGATTGAGCAGCAAGAACCATGTTTATCTTGATCATATCACTGCATGCACATCTCATTCAACCATTGCTGTGATTTGATGCATTTCCCTATCTATTTGAACCATAACTTGATCTTTAATTACCAATGCTTGCATTTGATTTCAACTCATGGCTACCACATACATATCTGGACATTCTTTACCTATTTTCATATCCCTCTTGCTTGTCCAGATAGCTGATCTCCATCTTTGAGACAGTTACCACACCTTAAACCTAAGCCTTTTCATTTCAAACCCCATTTATCTCTTGTGCGAATTGTGAGAACCTTTCTTGGCTTTGCTTAGCATAAGGTGTTGTGTTTAAACCGGCAGGGGCAGTAGTTCTAGTTGTCTAGTTCTCTTGGGATTGTTTTCAGGCTAAGTTTGGGGGTGCCAACTCGAGCTCGATCGAGTTGGGTGTCAAAAACCAGAAAAGTGGTAAAAGTTGGGAAAATCCAAAGGAAAAAGAGTTTAGTTAAGTCCAGGGAGTTGGCAGTGTTAAAAAGGGTCTAGTAAAGGTTTGGGAAGTTAAAAAAGGAAGTAAAAAGGGTTCTAAGTAGAAGAAAAGAAGGCAAAGCCTCAAGTGTCAAAAAGGAAAGAAAAGTTCCCTAAGTGTTTAGAAAATCCCAAACCGCTAGATGTTACCTCAAGAAGCCTCTCCCTAGGAAGTTCTTAAAAGAAAAGTGAGCAAAGCTCCTCAGTTTCAAAGGCGAAATGCCAAAAAGGGTAGTTAGGATTTTGTTCTAAAAAGCTCTAAGTGTTGAACTCGATCGAGTTAGGATTAGACGGCTCGAGCTGCTGTTCTTGCATCATCTTTGGTTCTAACACTTAGCCTTCTGCCAAAGCAAAGCCACTTTCTTGAGAGATCCCTGTTACTAAACCACCATACAAAAGAGACCCTCTTTGTCTCTTAACCCATAAACCCTTGAAACCAAATGAGTTGATTGATCTTGCATGTTTTTGGTTCACTGTTTTTGCTTAATGAATGTTAAAGGGATTTGCTGATTTGAATGCATTGTTTGAGTGACTGTGAAGTGGGATTGATGTTGATAAGCATGGTTAAATCTTAATGAATATCTCTCACCTTGTTGCATTCTAGAATCTCTAAGTTGGACATTTAGCAAATCGCTTTTGAGGACATGTTTTTAAGTGTTGAATCACTTGTTTTCAAACCTCATCTCTTTCTTGTTCTATTTGTTTGCTTGAGGGCAAGCAAAGTTCAAGTTTGGGGGTGTTGATGTACTTGCATTTTACATAGTTTTAGTACATCTTTTATGCATCTTTTGCATAGTTTTAGCATCCATTAGCATCATATCTTGTTCCTTTTCTCTTCTTATGCATTCATAGTAGTTTTAGGTTGCATTTGCATACATATGCATGTTTGGTCCTTTGAAATAGGTCTTTTGGAGCATTCTGGAGCATATGGGACGTGAGGAGCATGGAAGGACTTGGGCATGGACGCAGCTCAACTGGATACGCAAAGGAAGAAGGAGGAAGCCATCTTGAAGACCAGCTCGACCACCCTCGACCAACCGGTCGAGTTCCTCAACTCGACCGGCCAAGCTTCAACTCGATCGAGCTGAGAAGTCAAAGTCAAACCCGAAAAATGTTGCTTCCCCCTTGACTTTCCTTTGACCCTAAACCTAAATCCTCTTGTATTTAAAGGCTAAAAGCCACGAAAAAACCACCAAGCTTTAGATTACTTTTTGTTTTAGTTTCTTTTAATTTATTGTCTTTTACTTTTTAGAGCTCTAATCCCATCTTTGTGTTCTTGAAGCTCTTGCTTCTTGAATCCTAGATCCTGGATAATCTCTTTGTATTTGCACTTGCTTATTTCAATAAAAGTTGTTTATTTCATCTCCTCTTTCTTTGATGTCTCTTTTATTGCATTTGCTTGTGTTTACATTCATGTGTAGTGAGTAGTTACCCATTAGGGTTTGAGATGGGATAGATTAGGGGATTTTATGCTTAATCCTTCTTGCTTATGTTCTTAATCTAGAAATCTCTCTCTTTTGGAAACCTTAAGGCTACATGACCACTACCCCTGGCTTGTATGTCCATTAGGCGATTCTCCACATGGAAGTGATGGAAATCGCTTGGAAAAGGTCCACTAAGAGCTCCAATAACTCTTGCTCTCGAAATGGAGTTCATAGGGGTTGGATGGATTAGTTTGGCAATGATCCTATGGCCTCCAAGGCTTGATTCTCACTGGCTAACCCCCTGTTTCTGAGATCATCCTTGGTTGATAGCTTTCACCTTGGGAAAGGGTTAGCTAGGCATTGAGAAGCTCAATATCAAGAGATACCTTGATACAAGTTTTAAGAGCAAGATGATTAAGTATAGCCTTCCTCTGATTGTAAACCCTGTCTTAGACCCTAATTCTCGCATTAGCTTGTTAAAGTCGCTGCCTTTATCGCTTTTTACTTCAACTCGACCCTAAACTCGATCGAGCTCGGTACTCTGTTCCACTCGACTCGAGTCCTTGGTCGAGCTGTTGCTCTACTGCTTTATTTACTTACTGCATTGCATTTCTGTTTCATTTAGGTTGTTAGTGTTACCCCATATCATTTACTGCTTGCTTGACTTCCTTGTTTTTCATATTCTCATAGAGTGACAATTTCACCCATTTTGGATTGATACCCTTTATGCTATAACGACTATATGGTTAAAGGGAATTGTTGACTGTGTTTGTGTTTGCATCTTACCACCTCATCATATACCACTGTTGCATTCCACCACATCTCATTTCATATCACCAGCTACATCTCATCGAAGAGGTAGTGACAGTCCTGAGAGATCCCTAGTTCCGCCATCGCCGTGAGGTCATGGTATCTCGTTCCGACGAAAGACATCTTGTCGAAGATTTCGGCGTAGTCCTTGCCCTTCATGGTCGCGGATCCGCTTTTCCTACTCCCTGAGCCTTCCTCTGTCACCGGTTTCTTTCCTTCCGCCTTCTCCGCTGCGGCTCTCGAGAGAGTTCCTCGTGTTGTGGATACCATACTTCCTGCGAAAAACCGCTAAATCTTACAAGAAGAGTCAGTTTCTCAGCCAAATATCATCACATGCAAGGCATAGAGAGAAAAAAGAGCAAGCTTGCTGAGATTTAAGAAATATATCGAAGCTTTGTACAGATCTCAACTTAAAAGGCCTAGTGAAACAATTTGGGGAAACAAATCTCGAGAAAAACAGAGACATGCAAGCAGTTTTCGAAAATCCAAATAAAAAATCTCCCTTTCAACCTAAACCCGACACAAATTTAACCTCTACTAAGTGGAAATCAAAACGAAATATTAGCCAAAGTCGGAGAAATTACCGGTTGAGGGTAGAAAACGGGTTGAAAGTGAAGAAGAAAGAGCGAAATAGTAGAGAGAAAAATTGAAAATTTTCTTGCACAAATCGGCGAAAAGGAGAAGTGTGAAAGAGAGAGATTTGGCGTGTTTCGGTTTTATGAAAGGTAAAGTAGGAGAGAGATAGGGTTGCGGAAAATTCGGGAGTGGATTGGGACTGAACTGCTGTCCAATCAAAACTGCTCCATTTGACCACTTTCTCTCTCCCACGTTCTCTTTTCTTTTTCTTTCAAACCAAGACCAAAATTCGAATACAAATTAAACGAAAAATGCTCGCTATTGGGCCCCAAAAACAGGAATGTGCTTACCTGGCAACGATTTTAAGAAAAACTGAAATCTTTCCAAAAACCGTTGCATTAATCTTCTTGGTCAATCTGCCCAAGCGTATCGTCAAGCGGATCGAACTTTTTCTTCAACTATATACCTGAACACTCATAAGAGATAAAACAATCAAGATTAAGCAAAGACGTACAAAGATAACCATGGGATTTCCTCCCAAGTGAGCTTGTTTTGAGTCCCATAGCTTGACTTTCATAACCTTTCTAGGCTAGGGGGGTGTCGGGAAGAGGAGTTGAGACTCCTTCTCCTTGAATGCGTTGGCCCAAATACGGTTTGAGCCGATGGCCGTTTACTGTGAACTCCTCGCCATTCTGGTTGAGCAAAGTGACAGCTCCATAAGGAAGGACTTCCTTGATCTTAAACGGGCCGGACCACTCGGACTTGAGCTTTGCAGGGAACACCTTAGCTCTCGAGTTGAAAAGCAGCGCCTATTCTTCATCCTTGAAGACCCTCGGCAAAATTTTCTTGTCATGAAACGCCTTAGTCCGCTCCTTGTAAATCTTGGAGCTCTCATATGCGTCTAGCCTGATCTCTTCCAACTCATGTAAGTCGAAACCCCTCTTCTCTTGGGCGGACCTGATGTCGAAGTTGAGCAGTTTGATTGCCCAAAGTGCCCTGTACTCAATCTCCACCGGAAGGTGCCAGGATTTCCCATAAAGAAGTGAGAAAGGGGTCCTGCCTATCGGTGTCTTATAGGCGGTTCTGTAAGCCCACAGAGCATCGTCTAACTTGGCTGCCCAGTCCTTCTTGGTCACTCCAACTATCGTCCTGAGGATCCCCTTTATCTGCTTGTTCGACACTTTCACCTGACCACTTGTCTGAGGATGGTAGGGAGTAGCCACCTTGTGCTTTACACCATACATTTTCAGCAAATTCTCGAAGACTTTGTTGATGAAGTGACTCCCTCCATCGCTTATGACAACCCTGGGCACTCCATATCTCGGAAAAATGATGCTCTTGAACAGCTTAATCACGACTTTGGCATCATTGGTTGGGGAAGCAATTGCCTCGACCCATTTGGATACATAATCAACTGGCACCAAGATGTATTTATTTCCGTGAGAAGGTGGCTCAAAGGGGCCCATAAATTCGATGCCCCATACATCAAACACTTCCACCTCAAGTATCGGGTTTTGTGGCATTTCATTTCGCTTGGAGATGCTACCTTCTCGCTAGCATCTATCACACCTTGCAATGAAGTCATGAGTGTCTTTGAAAAGGCTCGGCCACCAGAATCCGGCTTGAAGAACCTTAGAAGCCATCTTGAAAGTTGCAAAGTGACCCCCGTAACTCGATCCGTGACAATGCTGGAGTATTCCTTCGACTTCTTCTTGAGCTATACACCTCCTGAACAGGCCATCCGACCCTCTTTTGAACAAGTAAGGTTTGTCCCAAAAGTAGTGTGAGATGTCCCTGAAGAACTTCTTCTTTTGCTAAGGAGATAAGTCGCTTGGCACTTCCCCACACACCAAATAGTTGGCGAAATCTGCATACCAAGGCGCTTCTCTTTCCTCAACTGCCTTCAGCTGCTCTAACCGCTCTGCCAAGCACACGCTCTTTCCCAGATTCTCTACCAACAGCAACTGTTCCTCAGGCAGAGTATCGTGGATAGGTGCTGGTTCGCTCACTCTCATCCTTGAGAGATGATCCGCCACTCCATTCTCAACCCCTTTCTTATCCAAAATCTCAAGATCGAATTCTGGGAGAAGAAGTATCCACCTCAGGAGCCTTGGCTTGGTGTCCTTCTTTGCCAACAGATTTTTCAAGGCTGCGTGATCGGTGTAGACTGTTACTTTTGAACCCACCTGATAGCTCCTGAACTTTTCAAACGCAAAGAACACCGCCAAGAGCTCTTTCTCGGTTGTTGCATATTGTCCTTGGGCATCGTCCATGGTTCTGCTCGGGTAATATATCACATGGAGCTTCTTGTCTATCCTCTGACCAAGCACGGCTCCCACGGCGTAGTCACTTGCGTCACACATGATCTCGAAAGGATAATCCCAGTTAGGCGCTTGCACAATCGGAGCTGTGACCAAGGCAGTCTTGATCATCTCAAACGCCTTAAGGCACTACTCGTCAAACAAGAACTCAGTCTCCTTGCACAAGATACGTGTCAAAGGACGAGCTATTTTTGAGAAGTCCTTGATGAACCTCCTATAGAAACCGGCATGACCAAGGAAACTCCTTACGTCCTTGACTGTCTTTGGTGGAGCAAGCTGACTCATCACCTCAATCTTTGCTTGATCAACCTCGATCCCCTTTTCAGATATCTTGTGTCCCAAGACGATTCCTTCCCTGACCATAAAGTGACATTTCTCCCAATTAAGCACTAGGTTTGTCTCCTCGCAGCGCTAGAGAACCCTGCACAAGTTAGACAAGCAAGACACAAAAGAACTGCCATAGACAGAGAAGTCATCCATAAACACCTCAACCGTGTCCTCAATCAAATCCGGAAAGATAGACGTCATGCACCTTTGGAAAGTCGCCGGAGCGTTACACAATCCAAAGGGCATGCGTTGATGTACTTGCATTTTGCATAGTTTTAGTACATCTTTTATGCATCTTTTGCATAGTTTTAGCATCCATTAGCATCATATCTTGTTCCTTTTCTCTTCTTGTGCATTCATAGTAGTTTTAGGTTGCATTTGCATACATATGCATGTTTGGTCCTTTGAAATAGGTCTTTTGGAGCATTTGGAGCATATGGGACGTGAGGAGCATGGAAGGACTTGGTGCATGGACGCAGCTCAACTGGACACGCAAAGGAAGAAGGAGGAAGCCATCTTGAAGACCAGCTCGACCACCTACTCGACCACCGGTCGAGTTCCTCAACTCGACCGGCCAAGCTTCAACTCGATCGAGCTGGAAGTCAAAGTCAAACCCGAAAAATGTTGCTTCCCCCTTGACTTCCTTTGACCCTAAACCTAATCCTCTTGTATTTAAAGGCTAAAAGCCACGAAAAAACCACCAAGCTTTAGATTACTTTTGTTTTAGCTTTCTTTTAATTATTGTCTTTTACTTTTTAGAACTCTAATCCATCTTTGTGTTCTTGAAGCTCTTGCTTCTTGAATCCTTAGATCCTGGATTATCTGTTTTGTATTTGCACTTGCTTATTTCAATAAAAGTTGTTTATCTTTATCTCCTCTTTCATTTGATGTTTATTTCATTGCATTTGCTTGTGTTTACATTCATGTGTAGTGAGTAGTTCCCATTAGGGTTTGAGATGGGATAGATTAGGGGATCTTTATGCTTAATCCTTCTTGCTTATGTTCTTAATCTAGAAATCTCTCTCTTTTGGACAAACCTTAAGGCTACATGACCACTACCCCTGGCTTGTATGTCCATAGGCGATTCTCCACATGGAAGTGATGGAAATCGTTGGAAAAGGTCCACTAAGAGCTCCAATAACTCTTGCTCTCGAAATGGAGTTCATAGGGGTTGGATGGATTAGTTTGAGCAATGATCCTATGGCCTCCAAGGCTTGATTCTCACTGGCTAACCCCCTGTTTCTGAGATCAAGTCTTGGTTGATAGCTTTCACCTTGGGAAAGGGTTAGCTAGGCATTGAGAAGCTCAATATCAAGAGATACTTGATACAAGTTGTTTGAGAGCAAGACTGATTAAGTATAGCCTTCCTCTGATTGTTAAACCTGTCTTAGACCCTAATTCTCGCCTTAGCTTGGTTACTCTGTTCCCACTCGACTCGAGTCCTTGGTCGAGCTGCTTGCTTTACTGCTTTATTTACTTATTGCATTTCATTACTGCTTCATTAGGTTGTTAGTGTTACTATCACCTAAATTACTGCTTGCTTGACTTCCTGGTTATTTCATATTCTCATAGAGTGACAACTTCACCCATTTTGGATTGATACCCTTTATGCTATAACGACTATAATGGTTAAAGGGAATTGTTGATTGTGATTGTGTTTGCATCTTACCACCTCTTTATATACCACTGTTGCATTCCACTACATCTCATTTCATATCTTTCACACCCCACACACAAATCCTACCATCATAGGCAAAGGTTCCATAGGGACATGTGAAGGTGTTTTCTCTTGGTCATTAGGGTGGATGGGGATTTGAAAGAATCCCGAATAGCCATCAAGGAAGCAATAGAAAGGATGATTCGCCAACCGCTCAAGCATCTGATCGATGAAAGGCAGTGGAAAATGATCCTTCCTAGTCGCCGCATTGAGCTTTCGGTAATCTATGCACATTCGGTGACCGGTTATGGTTCTGGTTGGGATCATTTCGTCTTTTTCGTTCTTGACTACTGTGATTCCACCTTTCTTGGGCACACAGTGTACCGGCGAGACCCAAGTACTATCCGAGATAGGGTAGATCACGCCGGCGTCAAGCAACTTAAGGATTTCCTTTTTCACCACCTCTTTGAGGTTGGGATTTAAGCGTCTTTGGTGTTCAATAGATCCTTATTCGTTATCAAGGTGAATGCGATGAGTACAAAGCTCAGGAGATATGCCTTTGATGTCCTCTAAAGAGTAACCAATTGCTCTCCTGAACTTCCTCAACTCATTAAGGAGGGAGGTTAATTGGGGTGGGGTAAGTTCTTGGTTCACAATTACGGGATAAGTTGAATTTGGTCCAAGAAATGCGTACCTTAGCCCATCTGGTAAGGTCTTGAGGTCCACCTTTGGGGCTTTGAGCTCGCTCCAGTCATCTGTCTGAATTGCTCAAGGTCGTGCTCTGCCTCTACCTTGTGGATTTCCTCAACTCTCACGGAGCGTCCTATGATTTCCTCAACCACGTCATTGGGAACAGTCCCTCTGTGGGAGTCTAAGAGTCGAGCATACTCCAAGGATTCGGTGTTGAAGTAGCTCTTTTCCTCTGCCTTTCTCAGTCAAGGTTAGCTGAAGCTGGTCCTCTGTGGCTAACTCCTCTAGATACTCGTCTGCCAACTGATCCAAAGTCTCTACCCAGAAGAGCTGTCCATCAATGGTTGGTTTCTTCATCGATCTCTTGATGTCGAAGCTGAGCTTGAAGTCATCTCCAAAGTTTAGCTCAATCTTCCCTCTCTGAACATCGATGATAGCTCCAGCGGTTGCCAAAAAGGGCCTTCCCAAGATCAGCGGATCCTTGGGTTCTTCATCCATCTCAAGGATAACAAAGTCAGTGGGTATCTCCACGTTTCCTACTCGCACAGGCAAGTCCTCGAGCATACCCACTGGGATGCGTACTGATCTATCCGCAAGTACCAAGGAAACGTCGCACTTTTGATACTTCTCGAACCCAAGCCTCTTAGCTACTGTGAGTGGCATCACAGATACGCCTGCTCCAAGATCACATAAGCTTCGGTTGAATGCCAGGGCCAATAGAACAAGGAAGAGTGAAACTGCCTGGATCCTCAAACTTCTTCCCAACCACTTTCCTAGTGATGATTGCGCTACATTCCTGAGAAAGAACGACCATGCCCTGAACCTCTTTTTCTCTCGGTTACAGCGTCCTTGAGAAATTTCTGATAGGGATAAGCATACATGCGTCCAAGAAGGGCATTGTAATATCAATCTCCTTTATTTGCTTATCAAACAGAGCTCTGCTTTCTCAAGCTGTTGTTTCTTGAATCGGGCAGGAAAGGGAAGTTGCGGTTTGTAAGGAGGAGGAACGAAAGCTGGGGCTTTCTTCTTCTTTTGCACTTCCTCTGGTGCTTTCTCTTTCTCTTGAACTGGTGGTTCCTCTTCAGTCACAGGTGCTGGCTTCAGTTTCAACTGAAATCTCCTCCTCTTGTTCCTCAATGTCCTCATTGACTGGTGCGGGTCCTGTTCTTGGAGGTAAAGCGCGTCCACTTCTCAATGTAATTGCTTGTACGTATTCCTTGGGATTCTGCTCTGCTTTACCCGGAAGTTGACCTTGCGTTCTGGATGAGGAAGCTGTTCCGCCTTTGTGTTCAAGCTGATGGATTCTACTTGTGAGAGCTTCAATCTTAGTCTGAAGGTCGTGGTGCGAGAAGTCGATTCTCCCATTGATCTCAGATAGTCGCTTGTTGAGATCCACGTTTCCGGTAGACTGTCCTGAAGTAGTTGCTGAAGCATCTGCTTGACTCCAGGTTCTTGTGGACCTTGCTTAGCCTCGAATCCAGGTGGAACAGAGGTGTTTTTCTGATAGCCTCCTTGGAAATTTTTGTTGTACCCATCACGTGGTTTAGTTGGGTACATCTTTCCTTGACCAGACGTGTTGGCTTGAGGAGGATAGACTTGGTCCTGGGGTTCTCTACATTCGTGCTTCGATAGGACATATTGGGGTTGTTCTTGTAGTAACCCTGGCTATGAATGTAGTTGACGTCCTCAGTGTAAACTCCTCCTCTTGATCGTCATCGCGTTCCTCCAGCATGTGTACCGACTGTTTTTGCTGGACTATAAGCAGTTTGTCAAGCTTGTCGTTCAGCACCTTCAGTTCCTTCTTGTGCTTTTCCTCTGCTTCGACGGATCCTCTGTTTGTGCGGTCATGATCTTCGCCGTATGTACCATTGCTCATTGCCATGTTTTCCACCAAGAACAGACCGTCGTCACATCTCTGGCCAAGAAGTTGCCTTGGCTTGCTGTGTCAAGCATCTGCCTAAAGCGAGGCAGTACACCACGGTATAGAGTACTTAAGAGTGACTCTTGAGAGAAACCGTGGTGTGGGCACTTCGACTGATATCCTTTGAAGCGTTCCCAGGCGTCTGTGAAACTCTCGCCGTGCTTTTGCGAAGCTTGAGATGTTGGTTCTGAAGCTTGCAGTTCTGACTGAGGAGAAGAACTTAGCCAAGAAGGCTTTCTTGCACTGATCCCAGCTTGTGATGGACCCTCGAGGTATCGTCTTTTCCCATTGGCGAGCTTTGCCATCAAGTGAGAATGGGAATAAACGAAGTTTGGTTGCGTCTTCGCTTACCCCATTCTGTGTGATCAAATCACATGCTCTGTCAAACTCGTCAAGATGGTCCAACGGGTCTTCCTCAGGTAGACCGTGATAGATCTTTTGTTGGACTTGATGCAGAATGTGCGGTTTGATTTCGAAGTTGTTGTGCACATTCGGCGGGGCTATGCCTTGACGGTTTTCGTGAGTGTTAGGTGCATCGCCGGCACCTATTTGACGGTGAGGTCGCAGAGGTGGATTGTTTCGCTGACCACCTTGTTGTTCCGGTCCGGGTGGGAATCCTTCCTGTTGGGGTTGGGCTGCCATGTCCGGAACCTCTTGTCTTCTGGTTCGCGAAGTAACTCTGCGTGACCGTTTGTTTTGCTCTGCTTTGTCAAGATCGCTTGTACTTAGGAGGTTGTCTCGTCCTTTGGATCTGGTGTGCATACACCTGAGGTCAAAGATGAGAGGTTTCACAGAAAGTTAGCGACTTTAGGCAAGATAGAGCAAAACCGACTTAATCTAAGGTTTTTCTTGAAAACGAAATGCTTAAAAGTCTCCACTTTGGCAACGGCGCCAAGTTGATAAGTAGGATTTTTGTATCAACTATCTCAATCCATACCACTCATGTCATTGTAGTACTTGAGATGTCAATCCAAGTGGAGATTTAAACTATCGAAATAAAGAAAAGGCAAAGATCAAGTTTGATAAAAGATTGGGTTTTGTTTTGTAAAGATCTATGCTTTAAGCTAACAAGATGAAATAAAGATTTAAACTTTAACAATAAAAGATAAAGGAGGCGTCTTGGGTGAGATTAGTTGGGATCAACGAGCTCAACCTTCCTTTCTCAACACACCAAGACTCAAGCTTTGTGCTTAGACTTTGGGTAAATCCTGCCACTCTCGTGGTCAGATCGCTTTGCAAGCTGAGAATCCAAAGCTAGCTCTGCTAGTGGACTCAAAGTTACAAGCTTTCACAAGATCTAGTCTAAATGCACAAGATACATCCCAACAACCAATCTCTTAGGTTGGGAATGTTTCTCTCTATCGCTAGCTCTCTTAGGCATTAACGCAAACACCTTCTAGGTGTACTAGCCTAGATTCACGACTTCAAGTGATCAAGAAGAAGCCGAGATATAAAGCTCTAGCTAAAGAAAAGCTGGTCAAGGGAGATTAAGGAAGAGGTTAACAGGAAGCTAAAGCTCTGACCTTTCCTAATCTCACCCTCGAAACCTCTAAGAACTACTCGCTACTCATACTCGAACCGAAAGCAAAGAGGTAAAGAAAGCTAGAAATCATCATTAAGACAAGATTAGCAAACTAAGTACTTCTTAAACTTAAAAGATTCAAAGTAAAAGCTTACAAAAGATCTCCAAGAACAAACTGTTTTTCTTGGAGAGAAACTGGTTACAAGATAAAGATTGCCTAGAAAATTAGGTCTTAAAGGTTTATATAGAGAAGGGAAAAGTGTATCCTTTGGTCAACGTTTTTGCTTTGACTTCACAGATGCGCGTAGCTTGAGCAACTTCCTCAAGCACTCTGTTTCCTTTTGCTCAAGGCTCTGTTCCGTCTTGCTTGTTTTGCCATCCGATTACTCCGATCTCCTTCTGGTCCATCTCCGATCATCACCTCCGGTCTGCTCCTTCGCCATAAGCTCCGAATACCTGATAAATGCACCCCAAATGCAATGGAAATGCAAAATGCTAACCTAAAGGCTAAATGATCCTAAGTAGACTAAAGCTACACTAAATGTTATGAAATGAGACTCAATTATACACAGAACTATGCAGTATAGAGGCTAAATGTATGCAAATGTTGAGTATATCAATTGCCTCACTAAGTATTTATTAAATACTTATGCAACTCCATTCCAATGTGTTGCAGGTAAAAGATTTGTGTGATCGTGGAATCAAGGCTGAAGAGGGGGATGATAGGATGTTTATTGCTTTTATTTATTTTGCATTAGTTTTGCTAGACTTGTTAATTATTTATTTGCTTCCGCTGAACTGATTTATTATTTTACTTGCTATTTATTAATTTAATTATTGTAAGACCTTCGCTAGAATTGATTAGTATTTGTTTAAAAAAAAAAAAAGTGTTGGTTGTTTCATTTTGGTATCAGACTAGACGGTTTTAGGACTGTTAGAATTGATAGGCTTTAGTATCATCCCCTTTCAGCTACAGGAGATTCGCGGTAAGTTATTGGTGTTTGTGTTTTGTGTTATTTGTCTAGTTGCTCATGTTCGGGTCCATGCAGTGAGATGGACGGAGCTCCTAGAGGTCGTGGCGCGAGAGGGCACGGTGCTAGAGGTCGTGGCGGCAGAGCTGGTGGTAGAGCTGGAGGCCGAGCAGGCCGAGGTCGTGGTCGTGGACTTCCGGAGGAGTCGGGAGAGAGTGTGGCACCGAGTGTGCATACTGCGTCGGTGACCCAGTCAGTTCCGTTGGCGGGTGATGCCAGTGTGAGTGTGGTTTGGGAGCGGGGGCTGCTCCGGGTGGGGGTGGCGCTCCGGCTCCGGGTCGTGATGACTTAGTGGTGGGGTTGCTGACGCAGCTATTGGCTCGTTTTCCGCCGGTGGTTCCACAGGGGGCTCCAGGAGTACCGCCAGTGGCAGAGGTGCAGCATGTTGCTGCAGACGTTGCGCAGCCGGAGGCTGTGGGTGCGGGTGTGACCCGTTATTTGGAGTTTATGGGCCACATGCAGAGGATTGGTACGCCTTTCTTCGAGGGTAAGAGTTGGTCCGGAGGAGGCAGACGCGTGGCGTCAGAGAGTGGAGCGGAACTTTCATTCGATCCGTTGTCCTATGGAGTACTGGGTGGAGTTAGCGGTCCACTATTTGAGTGGCGATGCTCATTTGTGGTGGCAGGCCGCGGTGGGCCGGAGGGCATTTTGGACTTGGGGCGACTTCCTTGTGGAGTTCAACGCCAAGTATTTCCCGAGGCAGGCTCGTGATCGTCTTCAGATGCGGTTTATGGACATTGAGCAGGGTTCGCGTTCTGTACGCGAGTATGATGCGGAGTTCAGTCGTCTGTTGGTGCATGCAGGCTTTGGCATGGAGGCCGAGCATCAGTTGACGAACAGGTTTCTGGAGGGACTTCGCAAGGATATCGGACTCTATGCAGGAGTAGTACGCACACTTCGAGGCGAGTCTGGTAGAGCCGTCAGCAGTTGCTTCTGCTGCCCAGCCTCGGGTCAGCATCAGCAGCCGCGACAGCAGCAGCAGCAGCAGCGCAGAGGTGGTTCGAGTTTCAGTTCTGGTTCTGGCAGGGGCGGTTTGCCTGCGCAGGTCAGAAGAGGAGTAGAGAGGAGTTTTCTGGTGCTAGTCAGTTTCCTCGTGGTTCGTGTTTTGGGTGTGGGAGCACGGAGCATCGTGTTTCGAGTTGTCCCAAGAGGGAGTCAGCACCGAGGGTGTGCTACTACTGCAAGGAGCCTGGGCATATCAAGCCCATGTGTCCTAAGTTGCGGAGTATGTCGGTGGCTTCGGTTCAGCCAGTAGCGGCTCAGCCAGTGAGTCAGATCGCAGCAGTGCAGCCGTTGGGTCAGATTGCACCGGCGCCGCGGGGTTACTCTTCAGTGGAGACTGGCGGGACTAGTCAGACCGGGCAGATCACAGAAGGTTCATTTTTATCTGTGATAGTCTTGTGGAGGTTCTCAACGCAATTGAATGTGTAGGGACCTTGTTAGTGGGCGGTTTTGAGTCCCACGTTTTATTCGACTCTGGAGCATCGAATTGCTTCATTACACCGGAGCGTGCCGAGAAGAGTGGCATCCGGAGTAGCGCGGGCGAGAGCGCGGGCATGGTCAAGGTGGCGGGAGGTGGATTCTTGTCTACTTTGGGCCGTGCTAGAGGAGTCGAGATCGAGATTGCGGGGCAGTCAATGCCAGCAGACTTAGTCATCAGTCCGGTGGAGCTGTATGACGTTATTCTCGGGATGGACTGGTTGTCACACTACAGAGTTCATCTGGATTGCTACAGAGGTAGAGTGGTCTTCGAGCGAGATGCAGGGAGGTTGGTTTATCAGGGAGTGAGACCGACTTCCGGGAGTATTGTGATATCTGCTATTCAGGCCGAGCAGTTGTTACAGCGGGGCTGTGAGGCGTATCTGGCGACGATTTCTATGTCTGAGTCAGGAGCTGGAGTTGTTATGGGAGATATTGAGGTTGTCCAGGATTTTGAGGATGTCTTTCAGTCACTGAAGGGATTACCACCATCTCGGTCTGATCCTTTCACGATTGAGTTAGAGCGGGGACAGCTGATGTACTTGCATTTTACATAGTTTTAGTACATCTTTTATGCATCTTTTGCATAGTTTTAGCATCCATTAGCATCATATCTTGTTCCTTTTCTCTTCTTATGCATTCATAGTAGTTTTAGGTTGCATTTGCATACATATGCATGTTTGGTCCTTTGAAATAGGTCTTTTGGAGCATTCTGGAGCATATGGGACAGAGGAGCATGGAGGACTTGGCACATGGACGCAGCTCAACTGGATACGCAAAGGAAGAAGGAGGAAGCCATCTTGAAGACCAGCTCGACCATCTACTCGACCAACCGGTCGAGTTCCTCAACTCGACCGGCCAAGCTTCAACTCGATCGAGCTGAGAAGTCAACAGTCAAACCCGAAAAATGTTGCTTCCCCCTTGACTTTCCTTTGACCCTAAACCTAATCCTCTTTGTATTTAAGGCTAAAAGCCACGAAAAAACCACCAAGCTTTAGATTACTTTTTGTTTTAGTTTCTTTTAATTTATTGTCTTTTACTTTTGAGAGCTCTAATCCCATCTTTGTGTTCTTGAAGCTCTTGCTTCTTGAATCCTAGATCCTGGATAATCTCTTTTGTATTTGCACTTGCTTATTTCAATAAAAGTTGTTTATTTCATCTCCTCTTTCTTATGATGTCTCTTTTATTGCATTTGCTTGTGTTTACATTCATGTGTAGTGAGTAGTTACCCATTAGGGTTTGAGATGGGATAGATTAGAGGATTTCATATGCTTAATCCTTCTTGCTTATGTCTTAATCTAGATCTCTCTCTTTTGGAAATCTTAAGGCTACATGACCACTACCCCTGGCTTGTATGTCCATAGGCGATTCTCCACATGGAAGTGATGGAAATCGCTGGAAAAGGTCCACTAAGAGCTCCAATATCTCTTGCTCTAGAAATGGAGGTCTAAGGGGTTGGATGGATTAGTTTGAGCAATGATCCTATGGCCTCCAAGGCTTGATTCTCACTGGCTAACCCCCTGTTTCTGAGATCATTCCTTGGTTGATAGCTTTCACCTTGGGAAAGGGTTAGCTAGGCATTGAGAAGCTCAATATCAAGAGAACCTTGATACAAGGAGTTTTAAGAGCAAGATTGATTAAGTATAGCTTCCTCTGATTGTAAACCCTGTCTTAGACCCTAATTCTTCGTTTAGCTTGTTAAAGTCGCTGCCTTTATTGCTTTTTACTTCAACTCGACCCTAAACTCGATCGAGCTCGGTACTCTGTTCCACTCGACTCGAGTCCTTGGTCGAGCTGCTCTACTGCTTTATTTACTTTCTGCATTTCATTTCTGTTCATTTAGGTTGTTAGTGTTACCCCAAATCTTTACTGCTTGCTTGACTTCCTTGGTTGTTTCATATTCTCATAGAGTGACAAGTTTCCCATTTTGGATTGATAACCTCTTATACTACATGACTATGATGGTTAAGAGGAATTGATTGATTGTGATTGCACCATACCATTTCATCTTTATTCACCCCTGTTTGCATTCCACCTCATATCTTATCACATCCACACAAAATCCTATCATCAATTTGGCGCCGTTGCCGATTTGGGATATTTTGTTGCATTTGAGTTTCAAACACACTTGGACGATCAAGCTATACCACCCCTGTTCTATTGTACTGCTGGGTTTTTGTCTCTTTTTGCAGGTGTATGCGAACTCGATCGAGTCGGTCTACAGAGGACTTGGTCGAGCTAGACTTTACAACGGGTAGAAAGAGGGTTCAGAGGTCACAGAGGGTACAAGAGGAACCTGAGGTGCTTGTTGCTGATACAATGGACGTACCAGAGGGGAATGGAAACCCTTTGGGCAATGGACTCGGTCGAGCTAGGCAAACTCGACCGATTGGTCAAGGAGATGCTCCAAACCGCCACCAACAGAGACAAGGGATTGTTCCACCACCAGTGCAGAACCACAACTTTGAGATCAAGCTGGGAATGATCAACCTTGTTCAGAACAAGATGTTCCATGGATTGCCAAGTGAAGACCCCATTGACCACCTTGATGAGTTTGATAGGCTTTGTGATTTGACAAAGATCAATGGTGTCTCTGAAGATGCCATCAAGCTGAGACTCTTTCCTATGTCTCTAGCTGACAAAGCTCACCAATGGGAGAAGAGCTTGCCCCATGGCACAATCACCACTTGGGATGAATGCAAGAAGGCCTTTCTTGCTAAGTTTTTCTCCACCGGTCGCACAGCCAAGCTTAGAGGAGAGATATCAGCTTCATCCAGCGAAACAATGAGACATTCGCAGAGGCTTGGGAGAGGTTCAAAGGCTACACAAGTCAGTGCCCACACCATGGATTCAACAATGAATCACTACTCTCCACTCTTTATAGAGGATGCTTGCCTAGGTATAGGGAGATGCTAGACACAGCTAGCAATGGGAACTTCCTCAACCAGGATGTAGATGATGGCTGGCAACTTGTGGAGAACATAGCCAACTCAAATGGAAGCTATGGAGAAGAGTATGATCGCACCAATCGGAGCTCGACCCACCACTCGATCGAGTCAGACGAAAAGTTGAGAAAAGATGTTAAGGCATTGAATGAGAAGTTGGATAAGCTGATCTTAGCTCAGTCCACAATGAAGAAAGTCAACTTTGTGTCTGCTGAAGAGATGGAACCAGTCCAAGAAGGGGAGGATACACAATTTGCTGAGGTGTGCTACATGAGCAATGGGCAAGGAGGCTACAACAAAGGATACTATAATTACAAGTCCAACCCTGCCATGTCATACCGCAACACTGATGTTGCTAACCCTCAGGACCAAGTATATCCTCAACAACAAGCAGCTCGATCGAGTCAAGGACCACAACATGGGTATGGTCAAAAGAACAATTACCAAGGACCACAAGGAACTTTCCCTGGACAACAAATGAATATACCACCAGGCTTTCCCCACCAACCACCCCAGCCTGCACCTTCGCAAGAGAATGAGCTCAAGGCAATGCTAAACAATTCTTCAAGGGCAAGCTGATGGGGTAGTGGACACAAGCAAGAAGCTAGCTGAAATAAACTCCAAGATCGAGAATCTCAACACAAGGGTTTACTCTCTGGAGAATCATGCTTCTTCTGTTGCTGCTGCTACAAAGCAAGGACAACTACCTGGTAAAGCTATTCAGAACCCCAAGGAACAGTGCAAGGTCATCTTCACTCAAGAAGGACTTGTTGAAGAAGAGGATCAAGAGAGGGTCATTGAAGATTTTTGTTTACTGCTGAATGATGATGAGATTGTTGCTGCTGAGGCTCCTGGAGTCCAGATTGATCAACCAGAAGTGCAGGCACCTACTGTGGCCCTTCACACTTCACCAGTTGAGCTTGCACAACAAGCTCGATCAGCAGCTCGATCGAGTCGAACTCTACCTCGATCGAGTCCGACATCTTCTGTCCCAAAACCAATTCTGCTTGATCCCTACCAACCGGTTGCCACTTCCTCATCTCGCCTACTTAGTCAAGGGCACAAGGAAGTACTCCCTCCGTTTCAAATTAGTTGTCGTTTTGGCAAAATGTATCTGCAAATATTTTGACGTATCTGCAATGCAAAATATGTCCAGATACGTCCAAATATTTACAGATACATTTTGTCAAAACGACAACTAATTTGAAACGGAGGGAGTAATTCACAAGTTCAGAAGAGATCTTAGTGGGATTGGAATTGAGTTGCCTCCTATGGATAGCATAAGTGAGGCATTTGATCAATTGCAAATGGTCAAGGATGTTCTAGCCAACAGTGATAAAGTTTCAGAGGTCCTGAAGGAGTCTACTCATCAGTTCAACCTGCTTACTTCACCCACCTTCCTACCAAAGGTCAAAGATCAAGGGAAATTCACTCTCCATTGCACACTTGGGCATCTTGAGCTTAACAATGCCTTAGTTGATTCTGGAGCAAGCATCAATTTGATCTCTCTCTCAATGGCAGAGAAGCTAGGCATTGCTGGAGCCTTGCAGCGCCCTACTACTTCAATCATGTTTGGAGATGCAACTTCTAAGTCTCCTCTTGGAGTGTTCAAGAACTATCACTTGAAAATAGGAGAATGCATCATCCAAACTGATCTTACTGTGATGGAGATGGAAGAAGAGAAAGATCTACTTCTGTTATTGGGAACCCCATTCCTTAGTACAGTTGGCGCTTCAATAGACTTTCAAAAGCAAGAAGTGATCCTTCACAAGGTGAATAGTTTGGTGTCATATCGCTTGCAGCCTAGAGGTTCAGGCTTTTGTGCCACAATTGACAGTACCACTCTCAATTCTAAGAGTCATGAAGCTACAAAGATTGTGAAGGAAAGAGTTGACAAAGAACCAAGAGTTGGGAAGGATAAGGTTGAGAGAGGACCAAGGATAGAGAAGCCACGTCTTGAGAGGGCTAGAGTTGAGAAACCACGCTCTGATAGACCACGAGCTGATCGACTTGTTCAAGCCCCTTGTGTGCTTGATGAAGAAAGCCTTCAAGCTTTGTTTGATGAGCCACTAGGAAGGGCTCTAAAAGAAGGGGAGGATGTAGCCTCTAAGGCAAGACCAGGGGATAAAAGAAAAGATCCACCAGCTCAGGCCCCTTCATTCAAGCCATCTCAGCTCACAATGACTTTGTTCCCCACCAAGTTTGAAAATGGGAAGATTGAGTACAAGATAAGGTACAAGGGGAGATCAAGGCCATTCTCTAGAGCCAAAGCCTTGGTGACTTCAGAACAATCCAGGGACCCATCCAAGCTAAAGGAGCTTCTGTCTCAAGTCCTCACTATCACCCTTGATGGTGGGACTAGCTCAACCAATGCCTGAGAAGGTAAAGGTCAAGCTATGGGACCTTAAACAAGCTCACTTGGGAGGAAGTCCCATGTTTATCCTTGTACATATTCTATTTATGCAATTTCTGTCTCTTTTCATGGTTCTAACCTTACAATGAGTTAAGTTTAGGTGACATAGGAGCCAGCTCGACACACAGCTCGATCGAGCCAAGAACAAGGGCAACTCGATCGAGTTCCACAACTCGACCGAGGTAAGTTTTTTTGAATTTGAATTTTTAACCGTTTTCTTGGTCAAAGGGGTGGGTCCCACAATTCAATTTTGGTCCCCCAAACCCTAATTGGATCAGAAAAATCCCAAGCTTTTGTTCCCCCTCTTCATTCCACCTTTTAATCCCAACCACACATCTCAAACACTCCCTCTTCCCCATAACTCGATCGAACCCACTTCTCCACTCTCCCACACTTTAAAATTTCTGAAACTCATCTCTCTCTCTCATCACCACAAGAAATTTCGAGTTTCCAATCTCTCTCTTAAGCTCTTGCGATTTCCTCTTGTTCTTCATTGCTTTGCTTTGGGTTTTAGTTTACTGCTCTTCAGTTCATCATTCAAATAAGGTATGAACCCTAAGACCCTTGATTCCTCCATCTCGATTTCCACTATTTCTTGTTTTCTCTTTGATTTTTGATTGCATGTGCCCCTTATGGGATTGTTCTTGAGAAATTGCTTTCATATCATTCTCCTGCTCATAGTTTTTCGAATTTGCCACACCTCACCTCTGTTTTGCCATTAGAACTTGTTGCATGTGTTTAAAACATTGAATTTGAGTTTGGTATTGGTTAAGATGCTTAGTGCTTCACTAGAATTGCTCATTGTTCCATTTACTAGTTGTTCTTGGTTCAATTTGATTGATTAGCATCCTTTCCAGCTCTTAATATTTGAATTAGGTTCGGTTATACTCTGTTTTCACCTAGCTCGATCGAGTTTGTCACTCGAGTTTTTTGACTCGATCGAGCTGAGTGTCGAGTTGGCCAAGCCGATCATTGCAACTCTAATTCTTTGACTTGTTCATGCATTTCAGGAACCCAACTTCAAGAAGCAACAAGTTCAAGATGTTGAGAGGTGAGGGAAGCCAAGCGACAGTGGCAAGAAAGCAAAGGGCAGAGAAAGCAAGAAGAATGAGAGAAAGGATGTCCATAGATGAAGGGTTGGAGTATGTGAGATCAAGGGAAGAGAGGAACCAGCAGATGGAAGAGTTTGATGCAGAGAGGCGTGTCTCCTCTGAGGAGAGGTCTGAAAGTGAGAGGTTGAGGGAGGAAAGGAGATCCAAGAAGAGAAATGACCCAATTAGTAGTGAGAGTGAGCAAGGGGAGTTTGAGATTGGAGTGAACCTTGTACAGAGGAAGGTAATGGCTCTCCAAGTGAAGAAGGAAGTGATGAGACTGAGAGTGAAGAGGAAGGAGAAGAGGTCAATCAAGAGATTGAGGGAAGTGTGCATGAGAGCAATGAGAATGTACCCATGGAGGAGGCTGAATCAGAGGAAGAGGATGAACTCCCCATGTACCAAGAGCACTACAATGCCCTCTTCTCCATGGATTTTATGGATACCAAGTACCCACATGTTGACACAATGAAGGCCCTTGGAATCTTTGAAGATGTGGAGCTAGTTCTCAAGAACATGCACTTGGCCAAACTCTTCTCTTATCACATGGAATCCTACAAGGAGCTCACTTGCGAGTTCTTAGCTTCAATGTGGTACCACATGTACGACGAGGAAGATAGAGCTGATTTGGACCAAGGACTGTGATGGATCACGTTCTTGGCTAAGGGAGAGAAGAGAATGGTGACCTTTAGGCAGTTGGAGATCTTGTTTGGGTTCAACTATGGAGAAGGTACCAAGTGGAACTTCAAGGAGAAGGAACTCCAAAGGGTTTGGGCAACAATCGCTGATGGAGAGCTCTTCCTCAAGGTCTAAGGCTGCTCAAATCAGGAGCCCAGTGTTGAGATATGTGCACAAGGCACTAGCCAACACCTTCTTTGCAAGGAAGGCAACCGGGACCATTAACGAGGGGGAACTCAAGTTCCTTGACATGGGGATCAAGCCTATTATGTCACGCACAAGCGATGGCAAGAGGATCATGGGAGATAGATCCAACACAGGGAACCTGATGCC